AGATTGCAGTGATGCAATAGAATCTGCGGATTGTTCTGAAACTGTGGATGACTTTGATGAAGATGATGATTTAACTGTTCGAATGTCATCAACATGTGACGATTCCGATTTAGTGGATTTAATATCTCGCTTTTGTGGAATTGAAGAATAAGAATCATTTGTGTTTTCTTGCATATGATTACTGACGCTTTGTGAAACACTTGATGCTGTTTCTGAATATGTATTAATACTGCTGTTGAATTGTCTGTGACTATCAACTGAATCTGGACTTTCGATTTCTTTGTATTTAGCTTTTTCTGAAACATTTGATATGCTCTCTTCTTTCTTCTTTGGCATCTTATTTTCTGATACTAATGAAAAATCGGATTCTGTTTCTTCTGTAGAGTGAACTGAGTCGATGTTCGAAATCAGCGAAATTGTTGATTCTGGCTCTGATTCGGATATTGATTCACTACTTGAGCTACTTGATTTCTTTTGACTCTTTATTGAGTTCTGAATTGTTGATTCTGATTTAACTGCATGTTTGTTAGACAAATCTCTCTTGACTTCGTCACTTGAAACAATTGATTCACTGTTAGATTGCATGTGTTTGCTTACACTGTTACTCACACTCGATGCTGTTTCTGAATATGTGTCGAGACTACTGTTGAATTGTCTATGACTATCAATTGAATCTGGAATATCAATTTCTTTGTATTTAGCTTTTTCAGAAACGTTGGACTTGTTCTCTTCTTTCTTCTTTGGCATTTTATTCTCTGATACTAATGAAAATTCTGATTCTGTCTCATCTGTTGATTGGATAGAATCAATATTTGAAATCAATGATATTGTTGATTCTGGTTCCGGTTCTGGCATTGATTCACTGGAAGAACTACTTGATTTCTTTTGACTCTTTATCGAGTTCTGAATTGAAGAATCTGATTTGGCTGCATACTTATGAGATAAATCTTTCTTTACATCTTCACTTGAAACTATTGATTCACTGTTTGATTGCATGTGTTTGCTTTGACTTTGTGAGACTGATGATGATGTTTCTGAATATGTATCAATACTGCTATTGAATTGTCTGTGACTATCAATTGAATCTGGAATTTCGATTTCTTTGTATTTAGCCTTTTCTGAAACATTGGACTTGTTTTCTTCTTTCTTCTTTGGCATCTTATTCTCTGATACAAGTGAAAAATCAGATTCTGTTTCTTTTGTGGAATGAATTGAGTCAATATTAGAAATCAATGAGATTGTTGATTCAACATCATCTTTTGATTCTATTTCACTATCTGAACTACTTGATATTTTTTGTGTTTTGATTGAACGTTGATTTGATGATTCAGATCTTTCAGCTTTGTTGATTGGTAAATCACGTTTGATTTGTTCAGTTGAAACGGTGGATTCATCGTTGGATTGCATGTGTTTGCTTTGACTTTGTGAAACAGATGAGGCGGTTTCAGTTGTACTATTAACACTGTCAATGTATTTCCTTGATCTGCTGAATGATTTTGGATTATCAATTTCTTTGTTCACTTTCTTTGACTTTTCATTTGATGAATCATTAGATTCTTTTCCTTTTCTATATTCGACATCAGAAACAAGTGAATCAATTGTTGACTCAGGAAGATCTGATGTAGATATTGACGATTCATCATTTCTTGATTGTAATGAAGCAATAGTTTGAACAGATTTTTCAGAAGTTGTTGATGATTTAGAAGATGATTTCACCGTCTTTATATCATCAATTTGTGATTTTTCAGTATCATTTTCATTGATTTCACGCTTCTGAACAACAATAGAATCAGAATCATTTGAATTCTCTTGCATGCGTTTGCTGACACTTTTACTGATACTTGATGCTGTTTCTGAAGATGTGTCGAGACTACTGTTGAATTGTCTGTGACTATCAATTGAATCTGGACTTTCGATTTCTTTGTATTTAGCCTTTTCTGAAACATTCGATTTGTTTTCTTCTTTCTTCTTTTGTAATTTATTCTCTGAACCCAGTGAAAAGTCTGATTCTGTTTCTTCTGTTGATTGAATAGAATCAATATTAGACATTAGTGAAATCGTAGATTCGGCACCATCATTGGATTCTTCTGATGAAGAGGTTTCTCTTTCAGATTTTATTTTCTGTGTATTAATTGATCTGTTTGAAGTTGATTCAGATTTCTGAGCAAATTGTTTCTTTTGATCAGGAATAGTTTGTTCAGAAGATACGGTGGAGTTACTATTAGATTGCATATGATTACTAACACTATTGCTAGCACTTGATGCTGTTTCTGAATATGTATCAAAACTACTGTTGAATTGTCTGTGACTATCAACTGAATCTGGAGTTTCAACTTCTTTCATTTTTCCTTTTTCAGAAATATTTGATTTGTTATCTTGTTTCTTCTTTGGCATCTTATTTTCTGATACCAGAGAAAAATCCGATTCTGTTTCTTCTGTTGATTGGATTGAGTCAATGTTTGAAATCAATGAAATTGTTGATTCAGCATCATCTTTTGATTCTGATTCACTTTTGGAACTTTTTTTCTGGGTGTTTATTGAATTCCTAGATGATGACTCAGACTTTCCTGCATAGTTATTAGGTAAATCACGTTTGATTTGTTCAGTTGAAACGGTGGATTCATCGTTGGATTGCATGTGTTTGCTTTGACTTTGTGAAACAGATGAGGCGGTTTCAGTTGTACTATTAACACTGTCAATGTATTTCCTTGATCTGCTGAATGATTTTGGATTATCAATTTCTTTGTTCACTTTCTTTGACTTTTCATTTGATGAATCATTAGATTCTTTTCCTTTTCTATATTCGACATCAGAAACAAGTGAATCAATTGTTGACTCAGGAAGATCTGATGTAGATATTGACGATTCATCATTTCTTGATTGTAATGAAGCAATAGTTTGAACAGATTTTTCAGAAGTTGTTGATGATTTAGAAGATGATTTCACCGTCTTTATATCATCAAAATTTGAAGACTGAGAATGAGTAGATTTGATTTCACGCTTCTGTGGAATTGAAGAATCAGTATCATTTGAATTCTCTTGCATGTGTTTACTGACACTGTTACTTGCACTTGATGCTGTTTCTTCTGATGTATCAATACTGCTATTGAATTGTCTGTGACTATCAATTGAATCTGGAATTTCGATTTCTTTGTATTTAGCCTTTTCTGAAACATTGGACTTGTTTTCTTCTTTCTTCTTTGGCATCTTATTCTCTGATACAAGTGAAAAATCAGATTCTGTTTCTTTTGTGGAATGAATTGAGTCAATATTAGAAATCAATGAGATTGTTGATTCAACATCATCTTTTGATTCTATTTCACTATCTGAACTACTTGATATTTTTTGTGTTTTGATTGAACGTTGATTTGATGATTCAGATCTTTCAGCTTTGTTGATTGGTAAATCACGTTTGATTTGTTCAGTTGAAATTGTGGATTCATTGTTGGATTGCATGTGTTTGCTTTGACTTTGTGAAACAGATGAGGCGGTTTCACTTGTACTGTTAACACTGTCAATGTACTTCCTTGATCTGCTGAATGATTTAGGATTATCAATCTCTTTGTTCACTTTCTTTGACTTTTCATTTGATGAATCATTAGATTCTTTTCCTTTTCTATATTCGACATCAGAAACAAGTGAATCAATTGTTGACTCAGGAAGATCTGATGTAGAAATTGATGATTCATCATTTCTTGATTGTAATGAAGCAATAGTTTGAACAGATTGTTCAGAAGTTGTTGCTGATTTTGAAGATGATTTCACTGTTTTTATATCATCAAAATTTGATGATTCAGATTTATTATCTTTGATTGCACGAACAACTTTGTTATCATCTGTAGTAGTGTCTTCATCAATAATTGATGCTTCTTGGTTGTGACGACTTGTATCATTAGAGATATCACTCTCCGTTTGAGTACTTGTGTCAACACTGTCAATATAAAGTCGTGATTTACTTTCTGATTCCGGGGATTCTCTATTTTTATGTTGTTGCTTGTTAATGTTCTGAGAATCATTCGAAATCTTTTCTCTCTTGTGTTTCATCAAATCTTCAGAAACTAATGATTCCAAAATAGAACTTGAAGAATCAACAGTTGAATTTCTCTTCGAATTCAATGAAATATTATGTTCTGTTGACATTTCATCTGAAGAAATGTCTGATGAAGATGATTTTGCATTTTTAACTGTAACAATATCTTTTACAGATGATGAATCAGAAATTATATCTCTTATTTCTCGTTTTTGTTGAACAGAAGAACTCAAATCATTTGAATTTTCTTGCATGTGCTTGCTTTTACTTTGTGAAACAGATGATGCTGTTTGAGATTCACTTCTAAGAGATTCATTGAATGTTAAATCTTTACTGAATGATTTTGGTCCTTCTTTATCTTTTAGTTTCTTGTTTTGTTGCTCAGTTAGTTCAGATTTCTGTTGATGATTTGTTGGTTTTGATTGGGAAACTAATGATTGAACATCTGATTCAGAAGTAGATGATTCAAAGCCTAATGATTGTAATGATTTCGTTTCACTTGTTACTGAATCACTTTCACTTGATGAGAATTTTGTTTTTGCATTCTTAACACTTTGAAGATCTTTTACTGATGATTTTTCACTTATGATTTGATTTCTTTGTTTTGGAATTACGATTTCAGAATCATCTGTTGTATTTGCTTGTGAATGAGCACTACGTTGTGTTGAAAGATTACTTTCAGTTATTGTTTGGGAATTGTAGGAATCAAAGAATTCTCTTGATTTTGATTCAGATTTAGGATTTTCTTTATCTTTCAAGTTCTTTTTCTCGGATTTTTCTGTTATCTGTTGAGATTTTTGTTTGTTATAATAAACATCAGATTCTAAAGAATCAATTGTTGATACATTAGTACCTTCATCTGATTCATTCTTTGATAACAATGAAATTGACTTTGAATTTTCTGTTGTCAAAGATTTTTCTTGATATTTCTTTGTACTTTTGATATCTTTGATTGTTGATTCATCTTCTTTCACTGCTCTTGTGATTCTCTGTTGTGGAATTGAATCTTCTTCAATAATAGAATTAGCTTGAGAATGTTTTGATTTTGATCTACTTATATTTGATCCACTTTCATCAAATGTTGGTTCTGAATCAAATATTTGTCTATATTTAGATTCAGATTTTGGAGAATCTTTGTCTTTAAATGTATTTGGATCTGCTTTTGACTGCAAATGTCTCTTTGTCTTATGAATATCAGGAGATGATTCCAATGACTCTAATGCTGAATCAACTGATGATCTCGAGTCTGTAATATCATCATGAGTATTGAGTGAAATTGTACTCAAATTTGATTTTTCATCAGCAGCTAAACTAAAATTTTGCTTCTGTTTTATCTCACTTCTTAATTCTGAAATTGATGAGGAATCATTTGCTTTGTTTTGTTTGATTTGTCGTGGAACAATTTCTTCTTCTTCAATTGAGTTTTCTTGGTTATGTAAACTTTTACTTTGAGATTTTTCGCTTTGTGTATTTCCTTGTGAATCTAAACTATCAATGATTTGTCTTGATTTGTTTTCAGAAACAGGAATTTCTTTGTCTTTGAGTTGTTTGTTGTTATCGGTTTGTATTTGTTGTGGTTTCTGATGTTTTGAATGGAAATCAGAAACTAAAGTATCAATTGTTGATTCTGAATCCAAATCACGAATCTGATCACTCGAAAGTTTCGAATGCAGTGAAATTTCTGTCGTTGAATTATCTTCTTTCATTGATTTGGAAGATTCAGTTGTAGAATTGTTAAATTGTGTATTTAATTCAGAATTTGATGATGAACTTTCTGGATTAACAACTCTCTTTTTGAATGTTATTTTTTCATCGTCGCTTGAATCCGAATTTGCTTGGCTATGATTATCACGAGATTCCGTCATTGAAGAAGCATCTTTTGATACCGTTTGCAAACTATCAAAGATTTGTCTGGATGATTCGACGGAAACCGGTTCTTTCTTATCAATTCTGTTGATTTTTTCATTATGATCTTTGTTCTTTCTGACTTTCTTTCTCTTTGGATGTTCGGAAACTGATTTAATTGAATCAATTGTTGAAGCATCATTTGATAAATCTTCATTTGTACTCGATCTAGAATTAATTGAAAATGTGTTTTCTGAATCTTCTGTTGAAGAACTTCTCATATTAGATTGTTTATCTGTTGCTAAATCTCCAATTGTTGATTCACTAACAACAGATCTTTTGACTTTACGACGTTTCTTTGATGTTGTTTCTTCAGCTGCTGAAGTTGAACTCATTGTATTTGCTTGGCTGTGATTATCTTTACTTTGTGAAATAGATGAAGCTGTTTGAGAAACGGATGATAATTCACTAACAAACTGTTTATCTTCTGTTGCAGAAATTGGTTCTCCTTTATTTCTATGTCCTTCAGGATTGACTTTCTTCTTTATTCTCTTTCTCTTCTTTACATTTCCTTCTGAAACAATCGAATCCATGAATGAACTTTCTGATTGACTTGTTGGAGCTCTTGATGAATTCAATAAGATACTTGATGATTCACTCATCGAACTTGTAGATATTGATGAAGAAGGATTATCTAATTTAGATTCCAAACTTCCGAATTCATCTGATTTAGAAACTTCTTTAATTGAACGAGATTTATGTAATGGAGTAACCGAATCAGAAGTTTCGGAATTTGCTGCTGAATGATTGCTTCTACTACTTGAAATTGTTGTTGTTGAAACTGTTTCTGTATCAAGAGAGTCATCAATAGTTCTTGTTTTGTCTTCTGATTGAGGAACTCCTTTAACTTTATGGTTTTCATTTTGTGTCTTTACTTTCCTCTTCTTCTTATGACGTAATGGTTCAACTGTTGAAATTAATGAAGATAAAACAGATTCAGAAGAATTATCTGAAACTAAATGAGAGTTAATTGAAACATTAGAAGATGAATATTCACTTAATTTGCTCAGTTCTCTTCTTGGCTTTATTTGTAACTCTAATTTGTTATTCAGTGAGCTTGATGTTGAAGAATCTTTCTTTGCAGCATAAACTGGAACAATTTCATCCATTGTTGACTCGCTTTCGATATTCGACATGTTATGAACTGATTTACTTTCTCTGTCATTGTCAACTGTTTCAGTTGCTGTTGATAAATCTTCTTGTAATGATTGATATTTTGTAATTGATTCAGAAGCGTTCTTCTTAACAGATTTCGTTGATTTATCATCTAAATCCTTTTGTTTCTTCTGTTTGTTGTAGAACTGTTCTGAATGAATCGAAGACATCATTTCAGAAGTTGATGAAGAAGATTCATTGGAATCTAATTTACTTGCTAAAGAAATTTGGGATTCTGAAATTGATCCTTCTTCTTCCTCTTCTTCGTTTTCGTTTTCTTTTGGAATGACTTGTGTATGTAGTTCTGATTGAATTGAATCATGTTTCGTCTTCAAAGATGATTGAGATTGAGCTGATTCAGACATAGTAAAATCAGAAATTTCAGTGATATTTCTTGACATTGCACTTTCATCAGAAAATGTATGAACTTCATTTAATGAAGGTGCTTCATGTTGGTTGATCCAATAATTGTATTTCCTTTCTTTCATTTGTTTCTCGATTTCTGATTCATCAATTGATTTATCTACAGTATGTTCAGAACTCTCAGACAAATTGAAAGAGAAGTTTTGTGAAGTTCTTTTAGATGAATCAATCTGAATTTCTGAATCAGATTCAGAAGAATACGATGAATATTCAACATTGTGTTCTTTGACTTTTCTCTTGGATCTGATTGACAAAACACTTGTTTCTGTATCTCCTGTAACAGCCGTAACTGCTTCAGAGAAAATAGATTCAGGATCTTGTGGAGCATATTGCATATCATAGTTCTCTTCGTAAACTGATCTCATACTATCTTTTTGTCTTTTAGCTGTTTTTTCTAACAAATTCAATTTGTTTACAGGTAAAGCTTTTTCTCGTCCATATTGATCGAATTTGCTGTCACTCATTGTGACTTCAGAATAAACTAGTTCAGGAGCTTCTGAGTTGATTGTAATTGTCTGAGAAACTTCAGAGAAGAATTCTTCTTCTTCAGAATCTCTTCCAAACTTGGAGTTGATTGAAACAGATTTCGATTCAGATTGAACTGATTTTTCTCTTGGAACTTTGTTTGTTGTTGATGATTCATCATTCGATTGTTCATGAACAGACTTAGATTCACTAATTGATGAAACTGTTTGTGTTTGTGAGGATAAAGTATCATCAACAGTTCTAATTTCTGAAATAGATTCATCTTCAAGTTTTTGTTTTCTGATAACTTTTTCTGGAATTTGTTTTTGTTTTTCAGCAAGTTTTGATTTCTGTTCTTTTCTACTTACAATGCTTTGAATATCTGATTCAGTATTTGAACCAAATGCATCAGAATGCAAAGTTGAGAATTCGTCAGTTTCTGTCATTGTTGATGTTGATTCATCAACTAATTGTGTTTTAATATCAGCAATTGATGATTCAGATGATTCTGGTTTGACATTTCTTCGGACTTGTAAATCAGAAACATCTTCTGAACTCAAAACATCAGCCATTTCATGTTTGGATTTGGATTGAGATTGAGAACTTTCTGTTACTGATGCCGAGTCTAATTCAGAGATCTCTGATTGCTGGTTGTCAATCGATTCTGGTTGATTTCTTTGTTTCTTCTTTTCTTTCTCAATGCTTTGTGATTTTTCAATCGATTTCTTCTTTGGATTAAATTCACTAACAAGAGAATCTAAAATAGAAGAAGACATTGTGTTTTCTTCATCTAATTTAGAATTAATAGATGTCATTGATTCAGAAGATTCATTATCAATTTGTTTAGATGATTTCTGTGTTGACAACTTTGACATTTCACTTGATTGACTCATGTTATCTGGTCTGATTTGTCTTGGTTGTATTTCTTCAACTGTTGATTGTGAATTCGATTGTTCATGTTTGGAAGCTTGTGAAGAAATTGATGAAGCAGTTTCATTTGAAGTATCCAGTTCATCAATTATTTCTTGTGATTCTAAAACAGAATTTGGTTGGTTCTTGACTTTCTTTTGTTCTTTTACAGAAGAAACATCTTTTAATTTCTTTCCTTTTTCAAATTCAGAATGTAATGATTCTAACATTGATTCACTTGTTGTTTGCAAATCAATTGATTGTGAAAGCATCGAGTTTTCATATTCAGAAACAGATTTCGAACTTTCGGTTTGTTTTTCATTTAACTTAGAATTGATTGATATTTCAGAAGATTCATTGATATTTCTTTGTTTATGAATATCTCGTTTGACAGAAATAGATGATTCTAATTCATTTTCTGCTTCATGTTTAGATTTCATTGATGACTTATCTGACTGTGATTCGTTCTTGGAATCAATAGATTCTAAAATTGATCTTTGTTCTGAAATTGATTTTGGTTCATTTCTTGCATTCTTTTGTTGTTTAGAATTGTTTTCATTCATTTCTTTCTTATTATTCTTCATTGCAACTTCACTCATCAATGATTCTAAATCACTTGATGATGTAATTGAATCAGCTCTTTCTGAGTTCAATGTAATAAATGATGATTCATTTTCTGATTCATTTACATCATTTGCTTTGAACTTTTCACTGACAATTTTAGCTGATGTTGATTCAGAAATTTGATTTCTATTTCTAACAGGAACAATAATTCTTTCTTCTGAAATAGAATCGGCTTGTTCATGCTTAGATTTAGATTCACTCTGTGATGAAGCACTTTCTGTTTGAGTGTCCAAACTTTCCAAAGCCATTCTTGATGATTCAATTGATTCGGGATAATTTCTATCTTTTCTATTTTCTCTTGCTTTTTCTTCATCAATTAGTTTTTGTTTGTTTCTAAATGCAACTTCACTTTCAAGAGAAATAATATCACTCTCTTGTTCGGAATCAGAAACACGACGAGAATTAAGAGTCATTGATGATTCTTCTGTTTCAGATTTAGATGCAGAAGGATGTTCACTTATTAATTTATATGATTTAGACTCTGATTCTGATTTAATTCTCATGTTTCTTGGTATTTCACGGATTTCTTCATCAGAAGATAAAATATCTGCTTGTTCATGTCTTGAAACACTTTGACTTTCAGATGATGCAGATTGTGACATTGTATCCAATTCAGAAATAACTTTTTCTTCTGATTGAATTGAATCTGGATTTTGTTTCTGTTTACGTTTTTGTTCTTGTTTTGATTCATTTTGTTCTTTTTGTTTGTTTCTCATTCCAACTTCACTCATTAATGATTCCATATCACTTAATGAACTCAAGTTGTCATCAGCTCTTTCACTATTCAATGTTATCATTGTACTTTCACTTTCAGAAACAGTTTCATCTTTTTCTTGTTTCATTGTTCTGAAAGAGAATGATGAAGATTGATTGGGATTACGATCAACTCTTAGTTCACGAGCAACAGAAACATCGGATTCCATTGATGGAGGAGCTTCATGTTTAGAATTAGTTTTACTAACAGAAGAAGCAGAGTTGCTTTGAGATGATAATTCAGAAATAATATTTTCAGAAGAATAAATTGATTCAGGTCCATTTTTAACTTTCTTGTTTTCGATTTCTTTATCTTCTTGAATATTTTGTTTCTTCTTTCTTCTAACTTCGCTCATCAATGATTCCGTGTCACTTGTATCAATACTATCATAGCGCTGGCTATTAAGTGTTTCATCAATATCAGATGTCTGTGATTCCTCATCAATCTTTGAGTTAAATTGAGTTTTAAGTGATTTTTCTTCTGAATTTTCTGACATTGGTTTTTGATTTCTAACTTGGCGATTTATTGGAACAACTTCTTCTGATTCAATGTTTTCTTGTTCATGGGTTGATTTGGCAATACTCTGTGATGAAGCACTTTCACTGCGAGAAGAAAGTTCTGAAATACTTTTCTGTTCTGAAACAATTGATTTTGGCTCCAATTTTTGTTTGTTATTTGTTTGACTTGTTTCTTTGATTTGTTTGTGTTTATTCTTTTGAGCAACTTCAGACATCAATGATTCTAAATCGCTTTCTGTAGCAATAGAATCAGCTCTATTTGAGTTCAATGTCATTAAATCACTCTCAGACTCAGTAGATGATGATTCATTCTTTGCAAACTTTTCACTTCGGATTTTAATTGTTTCAGAGTCATATGATTTCTTAATTTCTCTTTCAGATAATGAATTTTCTTGTTCATGGCGTGATTTTGAGCCACTAACATTAGAAACACTTTCATCTTTTGTATCAAGTTCTGAGTTGAATTTACGTTCAGAATTATAAGAAATTGGTTCTTTTTGTTCTTTTCGAGCAATTTTTTCACCATTAATTTGTTTTTGTTTCTTTTCTCTTTGTCCAACTTCACTCATTAATGATTCAAGTTGGCTATCACTGACAATATTTTCAGCACGAGAAGAATTCAATGAAATACTTGATTCTGTTGTTTCTGAGTCAATAGGAATTCTTTCACTGTTTAAGATAATTGAAGTAGAATCAGAATTTACAACTTTAACTCTGATTTCTCTTGGTTGAGTTAATTCAGAACTGATTGTATTCTCTTGTTCATGTTTAGAATTCTCTTGGCTAAATGATGAAACCGATTGACTCTGTGAAGATAATTCAGATAAAACTTTTGCATCAGATTGGATTGACATTGGTTCTGCTTTTTGTTTGTTACTTTGTTTGGTGTCTTTTTCTTGAACTAATTTCGTCTTCTTTTGAGCAACTTCTGACATTAATGAACTGATATCTGATGATTCAAATGAATTATCATATCTGTCAGAGTTTAATGTCAACGTTGTACTTTCATCTTCTGAACTTGATTCTTTTGGTTTGAACTTTTCTGACTCTAATTTATATGAAGATGACTGAGATTTATCAGCTTTAACTTGTCTGTTTCTTGGAATAACATTAATTGAACTGCTTTCCATAGAATTCTCTTGCTCATGCTTTGATTTGTTTTCACTAACTGATGAAGCACTTTGTGTCAAAGAATCTAATTCTGACAAATCTTTGGCTTCAGAAACAATTGATGTCGGAATATCTTTAGCTTTCTTTGATTCTTTGATTTCTTGATTCTTCTTTTGTTGTTTGTTCTTTAAAGCAACTTCACTCATTAATGATTCCATGTCAGAAGAAGTCATTTCATCAACTCTCTTTGAGTTCAAACTCATTGTATCAGAGATTACTTCTGATTCATTATTTTTGTTTGAACCAATTTCAGATTTGAGTTTAAATGATGAAGATTCTGATTCTTTTGGTTTGAAATGTAACATCAAATCTCTTGCAGATAAATCACTTGATTCAATATCAGGAGGTGCTTCATGGACTGATTTTTCATGGCTCATTGATGAAGCACTGTTACTTATTGATGACAACTCAGAAAGTTCTTTTTGCTCTGATTCAATTGAATCAGGACTGTTCTTTAAAGGTTTCATTTCTTTTTGATCTTTTTGCTTTTGCTTTTTGTTCTTTAAAGCAACTTCACTCATTAAAGATTCCATGTCGGAAGATGTTAATTCATCAACTCTGTTTGAATTTATTGAAATCGATGAACTCTCATTTGCTGAGTTAGAAACATCTCTTTCTTTACCAATCATTAATTCCGAATGAAGTTCTATAGGAACGCTTTCTGATGTATGACTTGAAGTCAAATCAATTCTTGTTAATGATAATTCTTGTGAATCAAATCTCCAACCGCATGAAAAGAGATTTGGATCATTTCTTATTGATGTACCAATTTGAGGAATATCTGAAGAATCCCATAACATTTCTGCATTTCTTTCGCGAATAATTTCTTGATAAGCAGCTTGTTTCTTAAGAATTTCTTCAGTGTTTACATCACTTTCACTAAGTTTGGAAATATCACTTGAAAGATTGAAATGGAACTTATTGTTGTTTCTATTTTTAGATGTATCAACAGAAATAGAATCAGGATAAGGAGGTGGAGATGATTCATAAGAAGAATCATAAGAATAACTATCAAGATGTTTAAGATTTGCATCACTTTTCTCTTTAAGAGAAATGTCATTTTCTGTTGTTAAATCATCTTCATTTATCAAAGCGACTGAAACCAAAGAATTAACATTTGATGATGAATCCATATGTTTTCCATCATCTTGTGTTTGTAATGAAGATTTCCATATAGTTGATGATTCCTTTGACTCAGAAGATTCAACTAAAAGCATTGCTTGATCAGCTCTAACGATTTGGTTTTCATTCATTTCTATTTGTTTCTGTTTTTCTCTCTTTCTTTCAACCATTCTATCCAATTTCTTTGATAACTCTGATGGTAATGAATCATTTGATTGAGTAAATTGTTCCGAGAAAATGTTCATTGATGATGATTGTGTTGGTTCTGATCTACTTGATTCCATTTTAGTTCTTATTGATTGTAACTTTGAATCATTTGAATCTGAAACTAAATCTTTAGTTTGTAATGAATCAATGTTTGAAACACTATCTCCATCTTTAGAAGTAAATGAATTGGATTTAATAGAGAACGATGTTGATTTAGTAGACTTTGTGGTGCTGGGTCTTGTTGAGAATTGATCTGTTTCTTCATCCATTGTTGCTTCACTTTCTAAGACATAATTCCTTGATCTAAGATTGGAATTAAATGATGAAGAAAAATCGGATTTGTCATCTTTCTTTGATTGCAATGATTTGACATTTGATGAAGTTGAATCTGATTTTTGATGGCGATGTTTCTTGAAATGATTCGATGTCGCCAATGATTCTAATTGTTCATCAGTTAACATTGATGTATAATCATTTTCTGTCGTCAAGTTAATTGTTGATGAATTGGAACCTTCATTACTTCTTGCTTTGATCATAGAAATAATTGATTGACATGTTGGACTTAATGTTGATGGATCAAATCCTCTTGAAACTAAGTCTCCTGTAACAGAGTCTCCTTCTTTTGCTGGAGGAACAATTCCTTCTGTTTGCAAGGCAGAGAATGTTCCTTCTGAAGTGATTTGTGAATTTGAAGAATCATTTGTTGTTAATTTAACAGATGATGAAGAATAACTTTCTGATTTATTTCTTGCTGTTACATGAGAAATTATGTCTCCAATTGAATCAGTGAAAGAAATTGTTGAACCTTTCTTTGTGTTGATTGATGATTCAATGTTTGAAGACTTGTTTTGAAGATTCTTTCTCGATACTTCTGAAACTAATGACTCTAATTTAGAATCAGAATCAATTGTTGTCGAATTATCTGTTGTCAAATTAAATGAAACAGAAGTATTCGATTGTTTGTTATCATTCTTTTCGTATTGAGAATGTAACTCAGAAATAGTTGATTCTGAATTTAATGATTCTTCATCTTTTTGTGTTTGTAAAGTATTAACATCACTTGATGATGACAAAGGAACTTTTCTTCTTCTTAATGTAACTTCAGAAGCCAAAGATTCTAAATCAGAAATACTTGATAAATTAGAACTATTATCAGTTGTCAATGACTGATCATCCTTTGTTGGTGATTCTGGCTTGTTTTCCATTTTGGAATTCATATTGATTGTTGAATCAGAAATTTCTTCATATTGCGATGATCCTTTTTCTGTTGAAAGAGAATTGATGTTTGATGACTTGGAGAATGATTTTTTGGATGGATCTGTTATTGATTCGCGTGTTTGTAATGATTTCATGGACTTCTTTGTATCAGATAATGTTGAATCTGTTTTTGTTGATAAAATAACTGATTCAGAAACTCCAAGATCTCTTTCTTTTTGTTCTTCCATTTTAGATGTCATTTTAATTGTTGATTCTTGTACATTAACTGTTGATGATCTATCAGTTGTCAATGAAATATTTTCTGTTGTTGTTTCGGAATTTGGTCTATTTGATAAATCTAAATCTCTTTCTTTTGCATTAATGTTTTCAGTCATTAATGAACTTCCTGGAGTTAAAACATCATCATATGAATGATCATGGTGTTTTGTGGATAATGTATCACTTGTTTCTGATTCTCTTGATTGTGATTGAGAAGAATTTTGACGAATAACAACTTTGGAAATCTTAGAATCAATGGAAGATGACATTTCATCAGTGTTTGAATCAGAATCGAATAAATGAGACTTGTTTGATCTGTCCATTGATTCATCAGAAACAGAAATATCATTATCCTTGAATCTATTAATCTTTGAATTAATTGATTTATCTTCATTTGTTTGTGAAACTGTTTTAGAATCTAATCTTGATCCAATTTCAGAAATTGTTGATCCGTCTTCCAATGGTTTAATCATTTGTGATTTCATGTCTGTTCCTGATGATGTTGTTGATTCTGATGCATCATTTCTTCCTGACATCAAAGTGAATGATTTCGATTCAGATGTTTCGGAATTTTGTCTTTGTTTTTCATTCCTATTTCTTCTAGAATTAATTGATTTGACATCTGACATGAAAACATCACTTTGTGATTCATCAAATCTTGAATCCAAATTCGAGTTCATTGACATTGAATCTGTTGTTGTATCAACAGGAATATACATTCTTGATTCAATTGATGGACCAACGGATGTATCTCCTTCAGTTGTAACACGACTAGAAAGGTTAGAAATCGAATCAGAAGTCTCTGAACTTGAGATTTGGTTTTGATTTGGAAATCTCTTGATTTTCTTTGATTGTAATGATTTGATATCTGATTGTGTTGACTCTGATTGTTCATCAATTCTTGATGCCAATGTATCTAATGTTGATCCTGATGTATCTGGAATAAATCTCAAATCTTTCCTTGAATAAATTGATTCTCTGTCAGTTTCTGTTGATTCAGAACTTAAATCATTCTTTGAAACATTTGATTGACTGACAGTTGAATCAGAAACGTGTGATGGATTGTCAGAAAACATAATTTCATTATTAGTTTGTAATGATTTGATATCTGATGAGCTTTGTTCATCATTTTTATTCTTCTTTGGTCTCATTTCTGAGTTCAAATCATCCATTGTTGATTCGGAAGTTGATGATTCTTGATCGAAAACTCTTGTTTTAACAGAATTAAACGTTCTTTGTGACATTTCTTCTGTTTTATTGAAGTTTTCTGTCTTTAAATTCTCAGAAATATTAGAAACAGACATAGATAATCCAGAAGTTGAATTGATTTTTCCTTCTGAAAAAGAAATATCTTGTGTTTTCATTTTAATTGATGTTGATGATTCATCTTTCTTATTCTTCTTTTGTCTTGGCCTTTCTGATGTCAAACTTTCCAAATCACTCAAAGAACTTAATCCAGAAACATATGTTGATTCATCTTCATCAGTGAATGTTTTAATTGTTGATTCCTTTGATAACTCACTTGCATTCATTGTTGATGTAGATTTATGTGAAGGTAACAATGAATTAATTGACATTCCTTCACTTGTTTTAGATTTAGATTTTTCAGAGAATAATAATCCAGATCTTGAATCAACTGTAAATTCTTCAGTTTGTGTTGTTTCTTTCTTCTTTCTCTTTGCTACTTCTGATTCTAATGAATCCATTTGACTTTCTGAATTAGATAAACTCTCTGATTCATCTCTTGTCATCATTGTATCTTGGATTGTTGATCCTTCATTTGTCTTGGAATTCATTGATCTGTTATTGTAATTCAAAGAATGAACAGAAATTCCTGTAGATGTTGTTGAACTCTTTGGCATTTCTGATGATGAATTTCCAAGATTTGATTGTAAATCAATTGTTTCTGTTTCAGTTTGTTTTCTCTTTTTACGACCAAACTTGGAATCTAATGAATCCATTTGACTTAGAGAAGAAGATTCTGATTCACTCTCAAAATTAGTTGTCATTTGTGATGATCCAATTGTAGAATTGGAATTTTGGGATGATTTTTGATTATAATATTTAGAGTTAATAGAAATTCCTTCAGATGTTTTAGAATTTGAAGGAGTATCAAATACTTTAGAAAGATTTGATTGCATAATAATTGATTCTGAAGTTCTTTCTCTTTGATTTTGTTTCCTTTTTCCTTCAGAAACCAAACTTTCTGACATTTCACTTTCTGATGTTGAATAAATACTTTGTTCTTCTGTCATCATTGTTGATGGGATTGTTGAAGCATTTTTAGATCTAGAAGAATGAGAATTAACATTACTATTTATAGAATTATCCATCATTGATGAATATGTTCTATTTTGTTTTTCTCCTTGAATTGTTTCAACAGTAAATTCTTCTGTTGTTCTGCTCTTGTTGTTTTTATTTCTTTTCGCTTCTGAAACAATCGAATCCATCATTGATTCACTGTCAGAAGAATAAGTTGAATTCATTCTTGTTGACAAATCAGTTTTATTTTCAGGGTTTGATGATGATCTGTTACTAAATGACATTTTTTCCGATGCTATTGTGTTGTTTGTTGTTGATGTAGATCCAAGAGTTTGTCTCATTTCAGATCTTTTATTTGTTTGTATTGAATTCAATTCGGATTTTGTGATTGAAGCATATTTTTGTCTCATTTTGTTCAAAGAAACCAAATCTTCATCGGAAACATCAGATAATGAACTAGAACTGGATCTTTCTGCACCTAGTGTATGTAAATTAGGTAAATCTGAGTCGCTGTTTGATGAAATTTGTCTTGAAAATCTTTCACTCTGTAAAGTTGTCAAATCAGCCAAAGAAGATGACGAACTACGAGTTTGTTTATCCTTTGTTGACATTTCATCATCATCTGTTGTTGAATATCTGCTTGTATTTGCCAATTCTTGTGTATAAATTGTGTTTGGCTGTGAAGAATCATTTCTTTCTAAATTATTCATCATAAATGTTTTCATTGTTGATTCATCAGCATCGAATTCAGTTCCTGACCTTGTTGTTGGTCTTCTTGAGTTAATTGTCTGTGAAACTGATTGTGAATTAGTATTATCTCTCATTGTTGATTGTCTCTTTGATATCAATGTTTCATCAAAATCTTCGGAATCATCTGTATCCAAATTTTGTCTGATTCTTGATATCAAAGTATCATTTGTTGATGATTCTTCTGTTTTCTGGATTGGATTTGGTCTATATAGCTTAGATCCAAATGATTTAGAATTAGTTTGTGTTGAATTTGTCATTTGTTTTGACAAATTTCTTGACAAAATTGATTCTTGATCATTTGTTTGTGAATATTTCATTGCAGATCTACTTAAATTAGTATTCAATGTTGTATCATCTTCTCTATCATCATCAGATGAATCTAATTGTGATCTAATCCTTGAAATCAATGATTTTTCTGTTGTTGTTGTGTCACCTTTTTGAAAATTCTTTGGATTTTGTTTAGTTTGGAATGACAAAGTTTGAGAAACATTATTTGACATTTGTGATTTAGTTTGTTTTGTGTTTATTGTATCCATCTCACTTACATCTTTAGTTCTACTATGATGTACTTTTGATCTAGATATTAATGATTCATCATCATCTCCAGAAAGAGATTCAACTTGTTCATTTAATTTCGAAATTAATGTTTCATCATCAGATTCATTTTGCTGAGGATTGAAATATCTTTCATTATTTCTTCGTGTTAACAATGATTGTTCTTCATTATCTGCATCTTCTGTTCCTGTTCTATTTACTTTAGATCTAATTGTTTCATCTTCTATTTCGTAATCATCATCATTTGATTCTCTGTTGTGTTCTCTATAAACTCTTGATTTCAATGTGTTATTTGATAATGATGATGTTTGACGACGAGATGTTGAAACTCTTGATCTCATTTCGTTCTCATCATCAGCAATAGATTCAACTTGTTCATTAATAACAGATAATAAAGAATCATCCATCATTGATCCATCAAAATCTCTTTTGTCTTTTGTTTGTTTTGTTCTCATTGAATAAGATTTTGATTCATAATCATTGTTTTTGTAATTTTGCGAACGAGTTTTTATTGTATTATCTCCGAATGTCATTTCATCATTAAATACTCTTCTTGATGACTTTGATTTAAGAGATAAATCATCATCAATTTCATCATTTCTTGATTTTATTTTTGATTTAGATTTAAGTGACAAATCATCATCAATTTCTTCATTTCTTGATTTTATTTTTGATTTTGATCTAAGAGATGTTCTTGATAAGTTTTCATCAAAATCATCGTTATTTTTTGTTTTTGACTTTGATTTCATTGAAAAATCATCATCTTGGTCGTATTTTGATCTTCTTGATCTTGGTGATTTTCTTAATGATTTTGTTTTTAATGTATCCATTTCATTGTCTGCTTCTTCGAAAGCAACATTGTTTGGCTTTGTTCTGAATGAGTTATTCTCTTCATCAGAACTTTCTTCTTCAAGAGCTGCTGAGTATTTGTTGTATTTTAAAGCTGATTTTCTTGATTTCAATGATTTTGTGTCTGGTTCGAAATTTCCTGTTTTATAACCTGTTTTTCTTGATTGTAATGAAGTATTTGTTGATGATGTTGGTCTCTTCCTTGATACAGAAATGTCTTTCTCTGTTAACTCAAAATCATCAGAATCTTCATCGTCATCACTTGAATTTGTCACTTTTTCTGTTTTCTTTTTAGATTTTAATGAAGTTCCTTTGGATGTTGAAGTGTTTACATGGTATTTAATGGATTTTACAGACATTATATCATCTATTTCGTCTTTATCTTCGATTTCTACGTCTTCTCCTCCACTTTCATAAAAATTCTTTCTTGATTTGAACGAAGTTTTTGATTTTCTGCTTTTTGCATCATCATACAATGCTTTCTCAAGTGATTTATTCATATCATCTGCTTGTTTTCGACTTCTTGCATCTAAAGAAATATTATTATTTTTTCCTTTCCTTCTTTTATTGAGATATGAACCAACAATCTTCTTTTTCGCCTTCTTGTCTTCTTTTATTGACATGTCTATTGAAGAATAATTCAATATGTCAGGAGGTTGGAAAATCATTTGGTCCTGAAGTTTATTTGTTGCATCTGTAAGGTCAATGTTCTCACTTGTATCATCATTCTTGTTTCTATGATTCCTTTTATCAATGATTCCTTCATCAGTTAATGTAACCAAATTATCAAGATCTTTAATTATCTTATTTCTTCGTTCTTCCTTCTCCAACTTCATTAAATCTGCATTTGGTATATCAGAAAGGGTCTGAATCATGATTTCATCAATTGAATCAATATTATTTATTTCAGGAGATTGAATTTCTTCTTGTTTTTGTGGAGATTTCTTTCTCAATCGCGGCGTTTCGATGTTTTCGATAATTATTGGGTTTTCAAACGGTTCTTCACCAACATCTCGAATATCTATGATACTTCCAATGTGAGATTTAGTAACTGACATCTTATCCATGAATGATGATTGATCAGGTGTAAGTTTTATCGAATCTTTATGCTTTGGAGGGTTAAATGTCGTGATTTGAGATTGTGGAGGTACTAAAAGTGGAGATAAATCGTTTATCTTAGTAGATTTTGCATCTAATACGCCTATTTGTACTTCTGGTTCGGGATATATCTTTTTATTCGGAAGATTGACGGATCTGGCTTGATTTTTTGATTTTCGCGTTTTCTTTGTTTTTGGCTTGAGTATTTGTTGTTCATCATCTTCTGGAATAGGATCAGCAAAACTGGATGATATTTCTAAGTTTTGTAATTCGATTGGTTTAATATCTTGGTTTTTAATGTTCGAAAGGATATTTTTCTGTAGTATTGAGGAATTTTCTGATGCTGATTCGTAATTCATATCTCTAAACTCGAAATTCGACGGAGTTGGTTGTGCATAATTTACTTTTGGAATATCTATTGTAATTTCTTTCGAAGCATTAGTTATAAATTGATTTAGAATATCATCGTAGTTGTTTGCTAAAGTGCAAACTCTTTGGAGAAAATCGTCTGTGTTTAGGAAAAATCTGGTTTTATTCACATAGCTATTGATGTTGAAGTAAGATGACTCATCCAAACTGATTGTAATATAACGCTCTCCTTTGTAATCTGAAATATTATACTGAAGTGGTTGAATTGTTTTTGGATTTTTCGTGATAAAACATATGTAAATGTGCTTATTTGAAATTACTTTTGGTGGTGATGGCCTACCTTTTGAAAAAATTAAGTAATATTTGCAATTATTTGATTTTGAAATGATTTCCTCTGAAATTTGCTGAAATCTGGATTGAGAATTTGATTCCATGTCTGACCAGAATTTCTCATTTCCTACTATTGAGGAAATTTCACTGTCAGAAACAGTGGATGATGAAATTCCCATTGTCAGAAGTTATGTAAAATTTTTGTAAACAAAATTTTGCTCAAAAAAAAAGTATGTTTTTACATCCAAATCATAGAATATTGACTTATCGTTATTTTTCCTTTCATGTCCCCCAATGATCGTTGTAAAAGAAGTATATAACGTCTAAAATGATTACTGAAATTATCCATATTAATGCTTTGACAAACATAGAAATATAACGATTAGTTATTTTTCGATACAAAATTATCAATAAAATGAAACTACTTATTAATATTATGCATTTCTTAGCATCTAACACGTATTCGGTAGGTCTCAAACGGATGAACTCACCTAGTACATTTAGGTCATCAACTGCTATTGAATTACCGATAGAATTAGATTTTCCACCATGTAACTTTAAGAGAACTTCCATGTCGTTCTCCGGCAAAGAATCGAACAATTTTTGGCCATTTTCCCTCTTTAAATTCGTTTCATTTTGATGTAGCTTGATAAAACGTTCATATTCATTTTTGGAACGCATAATAGCAATATCGAGAGGTGTCTGACCATTTTTATTTAGAGAATTTATTTCGGCACCATGAGATATTAATATTTCAGCGCTTTCCACATTGGAAAATAATGCTGCTATATGAAGAGGAGTATTTCCATGAATATTTTTTGCATTGACGTTTACACCATTTGAAATCAGAAGTTCAATCAAATCTTTGTTATTGCTTTCAAATTTAAAAGAATCTTTAAAATAAATAGGGAATATTTCTAGACGATAATTCAAATAATATTTGTAATTATATAATAATGCCCAAACAATAGCATTATTTCCATATTTGTCTGTTATTTTGATGTTTGCGCCACGTGAAATAAGAAATTGTTCCATTTCTATAAGATTAAATAGCGCGGTATAATGAATAGCTGTGCGACCACTTTCAGTCGTCTTGTCATTTATATTTGCACCATGCGAAATTAGAGTTTCAACAACTTTTTTATTATTAAATAAGGCCCCATACTGAAGTGGTGTGAAAATATTTTGAATAGTAAAGTTAATATCAGCCCCATGCGAAACAAGTAACTCCACCAATTCAGTATTGTTCCTATTCAAGGAAATATTTAATGCAGATCCAAATTTTCCATTTATCACATTAATATCGATTCCATTCAGAACTAGATATTCTGAAATATCTGTTTTATTTTCCACAGCTGCAACAATAAGAGCGTTTTCATCATCTACATTTTTGTAGTTAATATTTGCGCCATGCAAATGCAAGTATTTACAAAGAGATAGAATACCAAAAGCAGGGGAAAATGCAAAACACGAGTTGATATCATTAGTTTGATTGAAGTAAAGAAATAAAGCATGAAGGTTATAGTAATGAGCAGTCATACCTGGCTTAATACTTATATTGTATTCATTCATCAATTTAAAAAGATTATCGATATTATGAGATTCAATCGCAGCTGCCATTGTGCCTAAATCCGGTTTTTGTTCTTTCAAACATTCATTTATGATGAATTGATTGTTACTAAAAAATGAAATATCTAGACAGTCTTTGGTAATATTCACATCAAAATTTGTTATTAATAACTTGAAACAATTAATTGCTCCATCAGCACAACATCTATAAAGCAAATGTTGGAGATCATGACTTCCTCTATTCATGGATTCTAGTAATGCTTCAACGGCATCATTTATTATTGCCAAATAATGTGTGTCTGCCAGATTTCTATCAGTTGAAAAAAGAAGTAATGTTTCATAAGTGGTTTCACATGGATATTCTTCAAACAATCTCTTTATTAATTCTAAGTATGCATGACGATAACGTAATCTATTCATTCCAAGGAGACTTAAAATGTCAATGATCCTCTGTGGTGTTATATATCCGGAATCAATTAAGTTGTCTTTAATTTTCTTATACAATCCTATTGTTGAGTTTATTTCATCAGAATCTATTTTATATATTGAATCAAATGTTTTAATATATTCTTTGTATTCCTCCATAAGTTTTTCATAATGAATACTTGCTTGGTTCACATCCATTAATTGAAGAATTAAGATAGGTATCATTAATTAAAAAGGAGGATTTATATGTCAAAAATATAAAAAATCCAAATTTGAGAGGAGGGACGATAATCTTTGATTTTAACCAAGATTCTCGAGCAAACAAAGAATTAGCATACCATTAAGAGATTGCAATGTTTGTTACATGAATTAAACTTTACAAAAAAGAACATATTTTGATTTTTTGCAACCTATCACCCAAAATTCTTCAGACCATTTTCACTAATGCCTTTATCTTTAATAATATAGGTAAACTAATTCACACACACTTATATATTCCATATAATCATTCAAATTTTATCACCGAGTACCCCCTCCAAATGCTGTTCAATCCTGTTAAAAATGCAATAAGCATATAATTTTTAAAAAATAATAAAAAATCAAATTGTTGATTAAACTTTATTTAAATCATTGATTTTGCTGATGACTCAGATAAGAGAGGACTCTCAAGTAAGCCAGACTTTTCATATAATGCTTCATCCTTAACGAGGCACATGCATAAGTTGAGTTTCAGTCTTGTGCAGAATGAAGTGAATTTAACTCCTTGTAAAGCTTTGTCAGCAATCTTTCCTCTATAACCGATATTTGGATTAGCAGCTTCAATTGCTCTACAAATGATGATCCAAGTTGTTTTGCGCCCAATGAACAAAGGTGGGTGATGGACTAACTCCTTCTGGATTGCGATTGGTATCTGTTCAGAATCGACTTCATTACTTTGAACAGCATTCCTTGTGATATCTCTGATTCTCTGTTTGTCCTTCCTTCTCCTTCCTGACAAATTGTACAAAACAAACAGAGTTCCTATCATTATAACAACAATTACACAAATGAATAATGGATATGCCTTGGAAATCTTCTGAGCTCTGTCAAATTGGTCACAGTCCTCGCAATATGTTGTGTACTGTGTGAAATGGCTCTTTGAGTTTGTATCATAACAAACAGAATCTTTTGAGTATTTCTTTGAACAGTTTACAGGCAAATTAGAAATACAATCGAAACTCATTCCTCCGAAAGCTTTCTTACCAACTGAAACATGGAATGTATCGAGATAAACTCTCTTGAATCCTTTGCAATTGAAGAAACAATGGTAACCAACAAAAGAAACATTTGCAGGAATTCTCAAAATTCCATTTAATTGGGAACAATTTTCGAAAGCGAAATCACCTAAATAAACCAATGATTTCGACAAATTAATTGAAGATTTCCATGATTCGCAATTAGTGAATGCATAATTCTCAATTGACTTGAGATTTTGTGGTAAAACAAAGTTAGTAATCTTAGAACATCCAGAGAACATTCCTCTTGAAATATTAGTTATTTTCACAGGAATAACAACTTCGCCATTCAACAATTTCAAGTTTTCGAAAACAGATATTCCAATTTTTTCAACGCTCATTGGTAACTTTAATTGGCAATTGAAGTTGCAGTTCTTGAAACAGAAGCATCCGATTTCAACTAAACTATCCGTCTTCAAGTCTAATTTTCCATCTAATGATGAACAATCTTCGAAGCAAGATTGTCCAATTTTTGTCAATGGACCATCAATTACTAAATCTCCTTTCATTTCTTTGCAGTTATAGAATGAATAATCTCCTAATTCAGCGATCTTTCCTTTGAAATCAAATGCATTGATTTTAGAAGATTTGAAGCATGAGTTCTTCAATTTGATTTCAGTTGCTTCTTTCTTCATTTCAAACTTTTGAATTGATGAAGAACCAAAACTACTTTCTGAAACTAACAATGATTGGCAATCAACAGTAAAACTGTTGATTTGTAATGTATTATTGAATGCTCCACTCATTATATTAACAGTATTTGCTGTAACTATGACTTTCTGAACTGATGATTGAGCAGCAGCATTTTCTTCAAAAGTGACAACTGTTTTGTCATCATTTGATTTTGGAGAAATTACGAGTTCTGCTTTCTTGAACATATTAAATATGTTCTTATTTACTGTCAAATTATTATCATAAGCTAAGTTAACCTTTGACTTCATATCTTTGCAATTTGCAAATAAGTTATTGAAATCTATACTTCTTTGATCAGTTTCAATTGAAATATCTTTAATGTTGCAGTTCTTGAAAACTTGTCTGCCAATTTTTTCAATCTTTTGTAAGTTCAATTCTTTCAAAGTTTCCATATTTGTGAATGAAAATGCTTCATCACCAATTGATTTTAGATTTTCAGGAAGTTTAGGAATAGTTAGTTTTTGGCAGCCTTTGAAAGCGAATCTTCCTAATTCTAAAACATTTTTGATGTCATCTAAACTAATTGTCAGTTTTTGGCAGCCCAAAAATGCTGAATTCTTGATGTATTTGATGTTTGATTCGACGTCGTTATTGGAGAAAACTGTCAATGCTGAATTAGCAAAGCTGAAATCGCTAATGTTCTCTAATGAACTGTCAAACTTAACAGATTGGATACTTGTGGATTGGAATGCAGAATATCCGATTGATTTGCAATGCAAAATCAAGTCTGTACTTAATTTAGAACAATTATAGAATGTGAGAGGATTAATGACTAATACATTCTCAAGCAAGTCATTGATATTCTCTAAATTCAGGCAAAAACTGAATGCTCCTTGTCCAATTTCTGAAACATTATTCGCTGAGCTGCATTTAATTTCAGATAATTCGGAATATCTGAATGCATTTGTATCAATGTTTTGAAGTTTTTCACCATAAGTAAATGTCTTAAATTTAGTTTTTTCGAATGACGAAACGCCAATCTTTGTGATTGTATTTGGTAATGTGACATCATTCAATGAGATGCAATAGTAAAAAGTGAAGTCAGGAATTATGTCACTTTTCTCGAAAATTTCAAAACCATTTGTCAAATTTTTACAATCTTTGAAAATTGAGATTCCAAAGTTTTGTAAATTATTAGTTGACTTGAATGAAACTGATTGAATTGCAGAAGATGCAAAGCATTCATCTCCAATTGTATTCAAATTCTTTCCAAAAACAATTGATGTTATTTTAGAATTAGAAAATGATTTTTCCCCAATCATTTCAACAGTATCAGATAAAGTAACAGAGATATTCAAATTCAAGCAATAGTAAAATGCCATGTCAGAAATGTTTTTAAAGTTTGTCAAAAATGAAATATCACTAATTTTTGAATAAGAGAAGCATTGTTTTCCGATTTCAACTAAATTGTTTGTATTTCTTGGTGTAAATGTTTCTATTGATGATCCTTGGAAAACACCATCAGAAAGTGAAGTGAGTTGTTGACTAAATGTCACTTTTTTAATTGATTTGCAACTCAAAAATGCGAAACCTCCGATTTTTGTAATTTTATCAGGAATTTCGAGTTCACTTGGCAAATTGTTAGCTCCTGAAAACATTCTCTCAGGAATTGTTTCTAAGTTTGCAATGAAACTGATATCAGACAATTTCTGGCATTGGTAGAATGCCTTTTCTCCAATTGTTTGGATGGAATTCTTGTTGTTTATTGGTGAAAATTCTTTGATTGTTGAATATGCAAAACATGATGATCCGACTTCAGTTAATTTTTCATTAAATTTAACTGTATCTAAACTAGTTTTGCTGAATGAAGAATTACCAAATTTTGTGATGTTTTCATGTAATGTCAAAGTTCCGTTTATCTTTGAACAATTCATGAAAATTTGAGAAGGAATTTCTGTCAGTTTTTCGAAGATTTCGAAACTGTTTTGTAATTTAGAACAATCCATGAAAACGCCAGCTCCTATTGTCTGGAGATTATTAACTCCTTTTGGTTTGAATGACAAAATGTTCGTGCCTTGGAAGCAAAAATCTCCAAGTTCTGTCAAACTTTTTGGATATAAAATGTCAGATGTCAAATTTTTACAATATGCAAATAAGTGAGGTGACCATTTTGGTAAATTAAAGATTACATCTGGTATCTTTGATAAAGAGTAGCAGCGAGAGAAAGCAGCATCTCCGATTTGTGCCAACTTGCTTTCATTTCTTGGTAAAAAGTCTGAAATCTTTGTAAAACAAAATGAATAAGAACCAATTGATGTCAAATTATTTCCAAAAGTGACTTTTGTAATTGCTGTCTTATAAAAGGCTTCTGATTCAATTGTCTCAACTGTTTCTGGTAATTCGAGATCGCCTGCTAAAACAACGCAATTCTTGAAAATTCCTCCTGAAATTTTTGTAACTTTTTGTAATAATGAGAAAGCATTTGTTAATTTTCTGCATTCTTCGAAAACATTACTTCCGATTTCTTGGATATTGTTGTCACCATATGGTTTGATCTCAACTAAACTTGAAAATGAAAAAGATTTGTCATCAATTTTATTGAGATTTGGACCATATGTTATTTCGCTAAACTTTGTATACATAAATGATTGCTTTCCAATACTTGTTAACTGTTCTGGTAATTTAAGTGATCCGTTAAGAGAAACGCAGTTATTAAATGTAAGATCATTAATAACGGTCAATTTTTGTATGATATTGTCGATTTTAACAAGTTTTCTGCAGTCATTGAATGCAGATTGTTCGATTTCTTGGATATTGCTTTCTGATTGTGGGATTAACTGCTTAATTGAAGAAGAATTAAAAGCATCTGTCTGTATTTTAGTAAGTTGAGAACCATACATAACATATTCTACATTGCTATTCTGAAAAACTCTATTGCCGATAGTTTTGACCGAATTTGGTAAAGTTATATTAAATGTAGATCTAATATTCGAAAACCATTCATCTCCTATATTCTCAATGCCATCATCAATAAAAATAATACTGATTGCCGAGCATTTAACCATGTTCACGCCCTTGATTGTATTTGGTAAGGTAATTTGTATAGTACTTGGCATAGTTCGTGCTGCTATTGTATCCACAGTATATGTTGCTTTATTGTAAGTAATCTGTGAAGGGACCTGTACAATTGTTTTGCTGCAATCAACAAATGTAGCAGTGGATGATTCATTGGATATGAGGAATGTCATATCATCATAAATTATTTCCGTTTGTTGAGCAAGACCAACAAAGAAAAGTCCATATAATAGCATCTTGAAGTGAACTAATAAAAAATTTGATTGAGAGGAGGGAGAAATTGAATAAAATCATCCAGATTTTAAGATTTAGATCAGCATAGAGGATATTCTTGATAGGTCGGTGAAATTGAATGGACCAAATCTTATTTCAAATTTTCTAAATTCAATCAATCGGTTGACAAAATTGACAAAAGAATAAAAAAAGAAAGATGAACATTGAATGCTGAACACATGTTTTTTCATTTTACAATTTTTTATTTTTGTTGCAACCCAACAGCGCGCGATGCAAAATTTGAGTATCTTCGGATATAAATTTATATACTATGAATATGAGAAATCATGGTTATTGATTCCGAATACCTGAATTTTGAAATTTCAAAATATTGGAAGAATTAATATTATTTCAGACCTGCTTAATAGCTTTGGTTAAATTGCATGCAACTTAGAGATGATGAAGCTCTTATAGATCAGTCAATATGAAACCGAAATGCAATTTTCCAATAAAAATAACTTAAAAAATTGGATGTAATTCAGTAATTTCAACTCGAATTCGAAAATGCGAAAGATCGTTGAGTTGTATTTTCTGAAAAAGTTAAAAATTAAAAATCGATGACGAATAGAAGCTGTAATTTAAAACAAAAATGAGATAGAAAGTTTCATGGAATAATAACTATATCAATGATGTAATAATTAAAAACAATATAAAAATACCTCAGAGGTCGGCTGATCCACCATTCAAACTGCCGACAGATCCATCTACGCCATCAAGCATAGATCCCTGTTCTGAGGGTGGTTGCATGCTAAGTGATAAATCCATTTGAGCATGTGTTGGATGTTGACTCTTTAAGCCAGAGTACCATCTATTTTTAATAGCGCTTGCGCTTCTTCCAGGTAACTGATGAGCAATTACAGCCCACCTGTTACCTATTTCTCTTTGCTTTTCGATAATCAAACGATCTTCCCAAGGTTCAAATGGTTCATGTTTAATACTAGGATCAAGACGATGATGCCACCTTTCTCGACATTGTTTGGAGGTTCTAGTAGGTACGAATTTTGCGATATCGATCCATTTTTTAGGCCCAAGTTGTTGAACTGCCGCGATTAACTGCTCATCTTCTTGCTGTGTCCAAGAGCCTCTGGCTGTAAACTCGTTAGGTTGAGAGCCGTTTTGTTTTGTAATTGTATTTTTAAATAATAGCGAGTAAAGTTCAGGTGGAAGGATAGGCGTTCCATTTGAATATGAATTCTGGAACTGCTCCATTCCAGTAGCTTGATGAGCATCTGGATCCACAGGTTGTTGTAAAAGCTGGGGCTGATCCATAGGATTCAAGTCTGACATGGAATTATCAAATTGGCGCCAAATAAACTTTTTAAAAATTTCGATTGTTTCATTACACATTAAAATCTGATTGCAAGGAAATTTATAAGGGTTTCGTTTTGCTAAAATTGTCACTTTTATAGCATATTTGTTTTTGGATGTTTTGCGAAACCAAAAAAAAAAAAACTATGATATACAATGTGTGTGTAAAGAAAATACTTTATTTACTAGTTAAAAAATCATTTGGTATTGATCAAGTTATTTTTTCTGGATAAGATATTATATGGATAATTGGATAGAAAATACAATTATATAATCTTGTACCTGGTTTAATTAAGCTAATTGTCATCAGAAACTTGTAATTTTTATGAATTTCAGATTTTCTTTTCATTACTGCTTTTCTTAATAGGTCAAGTTCTTATTTACGTTATAAAGTATGATATTTACAAATATCAAGTTATCATGTTTTTTGAGAAATTATGAGAAACAAACAAAAATGAAAAAGATAGGAATAGCAATGAATAGTGATGTGGGTATAGAAAATGTAAGAGATATGAATGCAAAGCAATCAGTATTTAGGATATTGACCATAGATTTCGAAAAAAAAATGCTGCATATTGAGCGAAAACTATGATTATATATATAAGGCTGTCATTTAAAGCATAATGAAACTATTCCCTTTTCATTTTAATCGAATAAGATAGTAAAGATTTTTGAATTAGCTAGAAACTGATGAGATGTTTTCACAAATCAGATTTTTAATCTCTATAATGCATAATTCACTCAATATCTCAATTTTGATATTGCGAGATATTTTTGCTATCGGTTTCGCAATTTTGACACAATAGCAAGAGGGTTCTATAAGCATTATTATCAACGTAGAATCTGAATATCATATCAGAAAATGTCGCAAATCTGACATTTACCCGACCAAATAGCAAAAATAATTGAATACTTTTCGCCAAAACTTTAAAAATCGATAAAAATATGAAATATAGATATTAAAGAGACTTTTTATATAATATTCATAAAGATTTTCCAAAAATATGATACCGCAAAATTAAAAAAGTGACGTCTTGAGTGGAGTCAAATGTCGAAATTGCTAGCTAAATGTTTTTTTAGCGAAATTGCGTATTGTACGTTTTTTTCGCAAAACGAAACCCTTAAAATTTATTAAAGGTCGAGTCAACAAAAATCTGACACATGACTTCACTGATATCATTTCTAGTTAAAAAACATAGAATACATCATTGATTTTCATATGAATATTTTTATCATTTGTTATACTTCTAAATATTCAAATCATAATGGATATAATTAAGATTTTATTGTTTCATTATATTTAAGATTTCGACAAAAAATCGATTCTGGCTTTTTTGTTGTAGAATAAAGCATCTGTCTATATTGTATTACAATAATATGGTAAGGAAAATTCCAACAATTTATATTTTCACTCTAAAAAAGATATTTTCTAGAAAAAAAATACATTAAAATCAATTTATTCCATAGCTCTAAGTTATTTATGGTCAATTTCCATAGACTTATGGCAATCTCTTTTTAGGGGAATAAACATTCAGGGTTGAGACAGAAATATTTAAAAATGACTTAATATTATATTAAATTTTTATTATTTCGAAACATTCTCGTTTTTACGTTGAATGTCAGTATCCCCAAAAAGAATACCATAACAAAGATAAAAAGATTTCAACAAATTTTCACATATGATATATTTATTGTTGCCAATATAAATATTTTTGTAAGTATCTTATACTGTTACTCTTATGATGCTTATTATAAAACTCAAGATAAAAAGATTTCAACAAATTTCATTATATCTCATTTTTATTAATGTGATTATTATTAGTAGTAGTAGTGTTTTATATTAGAACTCTTAAATACGATATTTGAATTTCAAGTGAAGTCACTTTGTTGAGGCGGCCTTTAAACAATATTTTTTCAGAAAGCAATTTATAGAAAATTCTTTTGAGAACTTTACAATTTAATGAAATAGACATGTGATATGAAATATATACGATAAAATCAATTTCCACACGATAGCTTCTGTAATTCAGCGTGGAGTTGTTTGGATCTTTATATATGAAATTTTGAGATTTTATGACTGTAATTTCAAAATCTTTTCAGGATTGCCAACGTCTGGTTTCATGGTTGGTATCCAAGATAGCATTTCAATAGGACACGAAGCTACCCTCAAATATTCCATAAGGCAAAAGATGAAATTGGGTGTTTAATTTTAAAATCTACTGAACAATAATTATATCCTTTCTTCAGAGAGCTCTTATTTTGTATTCAAACTCTTTGATTTGATTAATTAATTTTTATGTAAGAATAGACAATATTTTTTCATATTTTAATTATTTCTTATTTTATATTCATTAATTGACAGCCAAAAAACAATATAATTTAACTTTTGAATATGACTACACAGGTGCTCCACAAGTTTTTCCTGGTAAATTTAAAATCCAATTATGGGGAGCAAGCGGAGCATTAGTATATGATGCTACAGCAGATGGATGTTCTAGAGTAAAAGGAAGAGGTGGATATGTTTCTGGAATAATTGATATTGATGAAGTTCTTGATTTATATATTTATGTTGGAGAAATGGGGAAAATGAATTCAGATGGATTTAATTGCAATAATGTACATTCGAAAATTTCCGGAGGAGGAGCTACAGATATCAGACTTGTTAAAACCGCAAATTGGTTTGATTTTGATTCATTGAAAAGCAGAATTATGGTAGCTGCAGGTGCTGGATCAGGAGAAAGGATTTGTGGTGGAGATGGTGGGGGTTTAAATGGTCTTTCAACCAGTCAATTAATTTCGACTGATATAAACAGCCAATTAAATGCAACAACTGGAGCAACCCAAACTTCAGGAGGTATTTTTGGGTGTGATGTTCATTTCCATATATGTGGATATTCAGGACAGTTTGGGATTGGTGGATCTGGAAATAATTATGAAGATAGCGGCCCAAGTGGAGGTGGAGGTTATTACGGAGGTGGTGGAATGGCCTGGGCAGGAAGTGCTAGTGGAGGTTCCAGTTTTATTAGCGGTCATCGATTATGTAATGCAATTTCCAAGTATTCTACGGCAAGTCGAATATATCATACTGGAAATCCGAAACATTACTCAGGTAAGTACTTTACTGATACAACTATGATTGATGGACAACATCGAATGCCTTCACCAAATCTTAACTCTTATGAGATTGGTCATCAAGGGAATGGATATGCTATAATCACATATATCGCAAAGAATGTGGTTTGTTCATGTCGAGTTTATAATTTTCGAATTAATTTATTTATATTTACTAATCATTATATGACACTTGGCTTTTAGTCATTGATTTAAGCAAAGGTTTCTAGCTAATAAAAATGAATCTAAAATCTTTTTTATGATTTTTTTACAATTTTTAAGGGTGCTGGAAAGTGAGATGACGCGATTTCGAGTATTGCTCATAACATCATTTGTGGTAAAGATATTAATGATATTGAAACATATATTAGTAGGGTATATACTGAGGTTTTTATTTCTATGATATGGAGTTCTTGGATACTTCCAGTATGAAGAAAACATCTTCGCAATTTTCGATATTGCGGGCATATCTAGTCCCTGGTTTTTCCATGGGAGGGACAGAAAAGTGTTGTTGTTATAATAACTTTCACTTCACTTTCCGGCACCCTTAAAATTTGATCCAGTTATTGTTTCACATGAGTACCCTTAAATGAAAAATATCTATAAATGTCGTATTGATTTATATGTTAGTCACAAATCCATGTAATTTAAATAAATCAATGAAGAAAATAAATAATAAAAACTTATCTTGTTTACTTTGATTCGAGGCATACGATTGCCTTAAGTGCTGAAACGCGGACCTCAGGTGAAGGATCATTTGACAACTCGTTGACAACTTCCTGAATTCCGCTGACGTTTGCTGCAGCTGCGAAGTACAAAGCGACTGATTTCACAGTTGCATCAGGAGAGTGACAAGCGACAATCAATGACTTTGCAGCATCAGCCGGGTTCTTTGAATCATTGATAGAAGCGCTTGCGTTTTTATCAGCAAACTCTGTCATGCTCAATGAAGAAACAGATGGTTCGGGATAAGCGAGTTTCCTTGCGATCTGTGATGCAGAGCGAACAGCTGTTTCTTTATCAGTTGTGTAGATATGAACCAAACACAAAGGATAAATCGCAGAAAGGCAGTCAAGCGCCTGTTGTTCGCACATCAAAGCGTTTGTTGTTGATAAAGCAGAAATGATTCTAAGAGGTGTCAGCATTGAAGAATGGAGACACAACATTTCTCTTACGTACTTGAGGATGTTTACTCCGACATTCTTCAACTGTGACTCGTTAATTGTCTCTGAACATGTCAATAACAATGAACTGACATCAGCTGAATCTTTAGCATTCAAAGCGATTTCAACAACTCTTTCGAATTCTTCGTTTCTGACACTTGATGGTGCTTTGCTTAAATTAATCAAAGCATCAATTCCTTGTTGTATTGTGTCTTTGTTTTCTTGTTCAATGATCTTCTTGAGACCATCAATTGCCTTCTTTGCTGTTTGTTCGTATTGTAACAAAGCAGATAAGCAAGAAACACTTGTTAAAGTGTATTCTTTGTCGTATGTTCTGTCTTGTGTTGCCAAATCTAACAAAACATTCTTATCAACTCTGTTCTTTTCGCACATCGCAACGAATACATCGTAATCTGTATCTCCGTTTGGAGAAACTTCTGTAACAATGATTTTTCTGGCCATTTCATTGATTTTTTCTGTGGAAATCAATTTGTTTTTCATGACAACTGTTCCGAAAATTCCTTTTTCTCTTTCGCCTTCGAATCTCAAGTCTCCGCCTTCAGCTGTATCATGAAGGATTCTGAATGATACTTCTCCTTTGTTCTCTCCTTCCAACATTCCATTTGTAAGGACTTGTATCACTGTCTGACTGAGTTCTCTCTTCGAAATGAAACTCGAGAACAAATTGGACAATCTTCTCGTGTAATTAACAGATAAAGCTGTATCCAATGTTGTTCTCGGGTCTTTCTCAATGAGAGAAACAAAGGCATCCTTAACATCCATTCCACTTGAGAAACAAACAGTGAAATAATGCACGGATGTCTCAATATTGTTCAATATTGTTTCGTTCTTCGAAAGCATCTTCAAAACATCACATGCAGATGTTTGATACTGGAATGGAGTACCAGAACTGAAAAGACCTAATGCTTCAAAGACACTTCCAATGTCTTCTTTCATCAAACCGTTGGCTATCGTCTCTGCATTCAATTCTTTATCGGCAAAACCGCTAAGTTTGTTAAGTAATTTCTGACAAACCGTTTTTGCGATATCATTTATTGTTGTCAAGTAAACGACACCGTAGAAAGCGGCAAGTTTTGTCAGGTACTTTTCGTCGATTTCCTGGAGGTTGTCGGTGATTTTGGACATTGCTTTCAAAGCGGAATTCTGTTGTTCGCTGAAAACATACTTTTGAATGATATCTTGGTATTTTTGAACGATTTGGGTACCGTTCTTAGAGCGTTTGGCGGCGGATGCTGCTATATCTGCTGTCTTGAGAATAACTGTGGCAACGTCGTATGGATTCCAGTTACTTTTGACTTGAGAAAAGATTTCATTTATTATATTGAAATCTCCAATGAGTTTCTCGTCGATGCAGTATGCAGCAGCGATACCAGCAACTGATGCAACAGCGTTTGAGACGTCCAAGTCCTTCAATGATCCTAAAACGTTGTTGGCAAATTTCTTATTGTCGATTTTAACGTTGTTATAGTTCTTAACCCTCATAAGAGCGGATGACCAGAACCTGAGCTTCGAATACTTCGGGAGATGTTCGTTGGAAACGAACTTGTTCTCGGATGTAAATGAGATGTTGTCCAAATTAAGGGATTGTGGAGAGTTTTCGAGTAATTCTGATACACAAAGGACAACACCTGACATTGGAAGTCCTGTTTCGTTCTTCTTGACCCAGAATTTGTATTTGTTCTCGATATTTGCGACCAAAGTATCGGATTGTGTCTTTGTGAACTTCATTGCGAAGTCTGGAAGGTATATTGAGCTGAGACCAATGAACTTTGCGATGCATGACACTTCAATAAGGTCATTTCTGTCAAATTTCGACATAATCTGGGACAAAATCTGGTCAGCTTTGGTTCTGCAGTATTCTGATTCCATTAAATGGCCGCAGAAAATGGCAAAACCGCCTCTTAAAGCAGATCTGATGTTTGCAGGAAGAATTGGCTTTTCGCCGCCGTATTGGATGTATCCGTCGAAATATTTCTGAGCGAATGACTGTATGTCGAAGTGATAATCCTGTGTGTTGTTCTGATTTAACAAAGTTGTCGTTAAATCTTGGCCATCAACAGCTGTGCAGCCAGAGAGACTCAATACCAATTGGGAAATATGTTGTTTGGTCTCGAAAGAAAGCACTTCAGAGTAGTAAAAACTCATTAATAATGCAACAAGTTGGATTGGCTTCAATCTTATGGTATCTAGTGATTCCTCGTGGTTTGTTATCTTCGAAATATGGAGAGAGGCGATCTCAATAAGTGTTGGCGATGCAAAGAAATATACTGGATTGTTTATGTACTCGAAAATCACAGGATAGAGGATATCGTAGGATGATTCGGATTGTCTGGCTGATGCAATGAGGGATAAGATGGTTCCTCTTGAGTTCTGTTGATCAGTAGAAATAAATGTGATCACATTCTTAAAAATTTCATTGATTTTAGGGTGTTTTGTTGTACATTTCCTAATTAATGTTGAGAAGCAGTTGCAATACATCTCTTTTTGGTCGGATTTGAGTGAAGCAAACTTCACATTTGCAATTGCTTCAATAAGTTTTGTTGCGTAAACAGTTGTTGCAAGGCTGGAACAGAAATAGTTAAGAATGAAGAATGCAGCGATATTTGGAAGCTTAGAAATTGTTGTTTCTAATGGAAAAGCAGGATATAAAATTTGAATTGTAGAAAGAGCTCCAACAGCTTCGTTAAGTGACTTCATAATTAATCCATCTGTTTGCATGTTCGCGTATTCATTTAGAATGTATTCAATCAAAGCTTTGGCCAAATTTTGTGTTTGAACTGCAGGAAGCTCTTTTGCTTTTTCTAATGTTGTCATGAAAGGACAAATACTACCTGGAGCAAATTGTTTGAGGTTCTTTTGAGAGGCGGCATCGTAAAACATGAAAATTAATTTATCTGCTCTCTTCTTGATTTCTGCCTCACCAGCAATGATAGAAACATTGCCAATTGTAGAGAGTATTTGTTTTTGTAGTTCAACGCCTGATGATTTGTACCAAAGAGCTGACATTTGTTCAAGAATATCAGCAACGTAGACAGAAAGGCCGCAACCGGTCGAAAGTTGAATTGTTGATGATAAGTTTGCAGCAATTTGGATTAAAAGATTGCAAATTGCAATTCTTGTTGGTTCTTCCGTAACTTTTGTTGATTTCTGGAGGTATTGAATAAATAAATTAGTAGGAACGTTATTGTTCATGAAAAATGTTAATTCGCCATTGCGCGCACGCTTTATAAAGAACTCAGTAAGTGGCAAAGTAACGTTAATGTCGTGAAACTCAGCGATAACACCATTAATAGATCTATCAGAGAAGTTGCAAAGTATTTCTTGGCAAATTTCTGAGACTTCTCCTTCGATTTGTGGTACTGAAGTTAATAATGTGATAATTGTTGGGCAAACTGTACGAATAAGCTCTGGTTCTGGACTGAATTTTGTAATTTCACGAATTGCCTTAAGTATCTCTATACGATTTACTGGCTGTGATGAAGAAAATGAATTTAAAGTATTAATTAAAATTCGAGAAACTTTAGTTGCAGCTGGTTTTCCCATTTCAATAATTGCTTCTGAGGCGTATTTAACAACATCAGGAGATGGATCACTTAATAATTTAGCTACTGAAGTAATTAAAGATGTAAAATCACTCATTTTTTCAATTTTAGTCACTTTTTACTTCATTTGTCACATTTTATTTGCAATTTTTTTCAGCTTATATCCGCCATACTGCGCTACATGCCGATAGAAAACACTATATATAATTGTGTCATTTCCGGTGTAATAAGGATCTCGCATGGAGAAAAATCTTCTCCAACTCTAAAATTCTGTTGAAAACTTATGAATATTTAGGCATTCATCTATCCACTTACACATACAGTGTACTAATTTTGCGCTTGGAATCATATTTTTTTGGTATCTCCTTATAGCATCAAACTAAATTATATTTTTAAACCTCATCTCTAATATACGCATGAGCACACATAAGTATGCAAGCAAAACTTTTTGCACAGCAGTTTACTAAAAATTGAGATGCGGTTTGTAAAAAATCACTTGTAAATTATTTCTTTTCAATTTCAACTTTGAAAATATAAGATGAAGAAAGAGGAGCATCTTAATGATTCTGTGTATAGTATATTAATGTGGACAAAAATGATTTTTATTGATTATTCATCGAGATAATGTGCTAACAAATATCTCAAAATTGAAAACATTAACATCCAATTCTCATATTAACCTACAGTATGGCCGACCATCGATACTTGCGCCATGTGAAATAAGAAGTTCCGCCATTTCTTTTTTCTTATTTTCTTTTGCAATATAAAGAGGAGTTTTTCCATGTTTATCTGTTGCATTGATATTTGCACCATGTGAAATAAGAAGTTCAGCTTTTTCTTTACAATTAAAATGCGCTGCTTCATGAAGAGAGGTTTTTCCATATTTATCTTTTTCATTGATATTTGCACCGTGTGAAATAAGAAGCTCTGCGATCTCTTTACTATTATTTTCTGCTGCAATATGAAGAGAGGTTTTTCCATATTTATCTTTTTCATTGATATTTGCACCATGTGAAATAAGAAGTTCAGCTTTTTCTTTATGATTAAAATGCGCTGCTTCATGAAGAGAGGTTTTTCCATATTTATCTTTTTCATTGATATTTGCACCATGTGAAATAAGAAGTTCAGCTTTTTTCTTATGATTAAAATACGCTGCTTCATGAAGAGAGGTTTTTCCATATTTATCTTTTTCATTGATATTTGCACCATGTGAAATAAGAAGTTCAGCTGTTTCTTTATGATTAAAATACGCTGCTTCATGAAGAGTGGTTTCTCCATCAATATCTTTTTCATTGATATTTACACCATGTGAAATAAGAAGTCCGGCTGTTTCTATACTATTGGAATAAGCTGCTTCATGAAAAGCGGTTTTTCCATTTTTATTTTTTGCAATGATATTTGCACCATGTGAAATAAGAAATTCGGCAGTTTCTTTACAATTATTTCTTGCTGCATAGTGAAGAGCATTTTCTCCATCAATATCTTTTTCATTGATATTTACACCATGTGATATAAGAAGTTCAGCTGTTTCTTTACAATTGAAATATGCTGCATAATGAAGAGCTGTTCTTCCATATTTATCTTTTTCATTGATATTTGCACCATTTGAAAGGAAATATTCACAAAGAGAAGAAATATTAAATTTTGCCGAAAAAACAAAGCATTTGTTAAAATTATGAGTTTGATCGAAATAAACTAAAAAGGATTCAAGATTATTGTATAGTCCACAATAATCTAAATCTATATCTATTTTGTACTCATTTATCAAGAATGTAACAAAATCAATGTTGTGTGAAATAATTGCATACATCATACAAACTCCATTAGGTTTTTGATATTTCAAACATTCACTCATGATCTCTTGATTATCTCCTAAAAATGAGAGTTGTAGACATATTTGTGTTATTTCTGATTTAAATTTCGTTCTCAAAAACTTGAAACAATCAACTGCTCCGTGGTAACAACATAATTCAAGTAATGAATATCCTTCAAAAGTTCCTGGATATAACTTGCTTTTAAGTTTTTGATCTTTATCAAATCCTTCTCTTTCTGTGAATGAAATGAATGTTTCTATGTCATTATACATAATTGCTCTGTGAATTGTATATTCTGTATGAATATCGATATTTTCGTATTTAATTTGTTCAAAATCATCAATTTTGTATAGTTTAATTCCATATTTTTTATAAAACATGAAATTGGAAATACTTAGAATCCCTAGGACCTGTTTCACATTATAAGCATTGGAAATGAGTTTTGCAAGAGTCAAATATGACTTTGCATAGCGATTATTATATGGAATAATGTTTAAAATATCTTTCATAATACAGTCTGGGTGATAATTCCTTGAATCAATCAATTCTGTTTTGATTAATTTAAAAATCGAATTTAATTCTTCAACATTTTGGGTTTTTAGCTGATACAATGCATTATATAAATTGATGTAGTATTTGTAGTTATCTCTCAATTCGCTATAATTGGTTGGATGAATGTCTTGATCAGCCATTAAAATTTTTTGAAAGTTTTTGGTGGTAATTTTTATGTGAATCATTCAATTATAAGAGACTTTATTGTAAAACAATATAAAATATATAGTGATCTAAAAATTTTGTTAGTGGCCAGAATACTCGGTAACGTGGGTGATTTTTCACCCAGCCATAAGGGGCGCAACATTTGAGAGTTTTACATGGCATTTGCCGGTAAATGCCATGTAATTTTTTCTCAATTATTTGCCAGGGGTTGCTGGGTGAAAAATCACCCATGTTAGTGGAAAAAGTTTTTTCAACATTGAGTATCATAATAGTTATGGTCGGTAATAGCTAACTCTCCAGCATCAGTTTAAGAGTCAATAAGCTTCATCGTCCATGTTTTCGGAGAAGATTTTTTTATCTGGTTATGGATATGAAGCAAATGTACCCGTTTTTGATAAACATAGGATGAATATAGTCCACAATCAAGCCATTCATCCCCTGTCATCTCATTAATAAATTGTTGTCAGCGGCGTGATGCGACTCAAAAAAGTATGAGAAAAGTGTGAAATCTGTATAATATGATTGTTTTTGTTTCTTTTTTAGAACTGCATTTGAATCAAAAAAATAATCGTTTGTAAGAATTCTTTTTTTTTCTGATGAATGAGTTGTTGTACAAGATTCAACTTCAGATTAAAAAGGATGATGAATGCCAACAGAGACAACTTGATGAAACAAAAAGAATTAAGACCGATTTCATGAGCCAAATCCAGAATTATGTCATTACATTATATAATTTTGTTCTTGCAATGAATTTCGGAGTTAAAGACAACGAACAACCATTTAATCCACTAAAAAAGAATTCAATTCAACTGAGTGAAGATCAAAATCTCAGTGAATTTGTGGATTATTTAAGTTCGAATTTCTTAGACGTGTTAGATGCATGCTTCGGAGCAGAAACTTCTTTACCAAAAGAAGCTATTGAGCTCATTTTAACTAATTTTCATTACTTTTGGGCAGATGAATATTGCCAAAAATTTTATCAAACAATTGTCAAGTCAAATCAAAATATTCGCGCAAAACTATGCAGAGTTCTAACATTTCAGCCTAATACAATGATTTATTTTGTATCTGTTCTTTCAAAAGTTTTTGATTCAATCGATGATGACATAAATACATATGATCTAATCAACATATTTACGGAATATGCTGTGAAACTAGCTCCTATGCTTCCTCTTTTTGTACGAAAGTGTTTACTTTTAATGGATGATCCCCATGTTATTTATTTCCAAATCATGGAGCCTATACTAAACAATTTCGAATACTTTGGCATTGCTCACCCCGAAATACGCCAGTATGATTTGGAAACTATTGAAAATTTGATAGAAGAAATCAAAGATTACTTCAACCGGGATTCAACCGAGAGCTTTATCCACAAAATCATAGACAAAGAAGAATATTATTCATCGCAACCTCAAGAAATCAAAATTATTGACGTAATTAGCGAATATAAGCAATTTACTCTTGTTACTCCAGGAATTTTCAGTATTAATTATCCGAACTTCAAATTTGCATCTAAACCACCTCAAATTCCTGTTTTTGTTAACTCAAATACTAAAATTGAAAGAGATCCACCCCCAGAATTTCAACTTGACGAAACTTATGAAGCAATCATTCAGTTTTTGCTCCACGCTCAATTAAATCGTGTAAGTTCCGTTGATGGAGATAATCCAATGAATTATTTCCAATCATTATGCGATTTGTCGTCAGTTTATGGAGATCCGGACCTGGAAGATGATTTGGATAAGCTAATGAGGCTTGTACAGTTCGATTCTTTGAAAGAACTCCTAGAAAAATTAGAAAATTATTATCAGGCCAAAATGCAGCATATCCAGTTCAATCCGCTTAAGGTGATCACTCAGTATTCCCTACAGAACAGATACATACAAAGACTATTGGATTTCGTAGCAAAAATTGAAAATAGAAAAATAGAAGCGATAGAATACAATTCCATGCTTTCCAAGCTGAAGAATATTGATGACTTAGCAGTACACGATAAGAATGGCGACTTTTCAGAGTCGTTTTGTGAAGTTTTTACTAAGATTTCGAACCAATTAGGAGCAACATCCCTTTCAGAGCTTCGCGCTGTGTTTAATACCATCGGTATTAAAAATAGAATATTCACAAAGATGGGAAACTCCTTAATTGAGAAAGATTCTCGTTTCAGATTTTGCATTTGCCATTTTTCGACTGAAATCATCAACACCCAATCCGCTGATTTCATGGAACAGTTCAAGAACGATCCATCAAAGTTCGAAGTCTTTGTTGAAGAAATATCTGTTGCAACAAGGTCTGTTTCACCTCTTGAAGCATGTTCGCACATATCTAACTGCATCCAGTTGCTCTGCAGCTTGTTAGAATCAGTCGGACTCAAAGAAATTGGCGCAGATCAAATAACTCCGATTTTTATCGTTGCAATTTGTATCGCGCACCCATCCGGACTCATAATTCTTAGTGAGATAATGTTTAAGTGCATTGTTCCTCTGTTTACAATCAAATCTCCACTTGATCGTCAAATTGAATACTCCTGCGTTCAATTTGTTAGCGCAGTCAAGTGCATTAATGAGTTTTTAGCATCTAAGCAATAATGCTTTACTTATATTTATATTTTGTTTATTTAAATTATTCAGTTGTTAAAAAAAATTAAGTATAAACTAGAAATACAGTTTCTTTGCGTGTGATTATCTCAAATCTCCCCATTTTTTAACATAACAATGTATATATATGTGTCTTTGTTAAATTTATATCAAGATGGTCCTGAGAAAGTTTATGTATAAATTTGGCTTCAGTGCATTGTTTATTATGGCAGAATTTCTCTAAGTGTGTTCTCAATTTTTTTTCTAATTTTCACAAAAAAAATCATTTTCCAACAAAAAAAGGAAATATTAAATAATATATCAAATCAATTCATTTTGTAAGGAAAATATAATTTCATTTTCTACTCACTCTCAAAATTGAATTCAATTGAAAAAATTGGGACTATAAATTTATAAAAAAAAACATTTTGCCAAATCATTTTTATGGTTGAATTCGGTATTAATGTTGACCTATCAGAACTCCTCAAGGATACTGGTAAGGATTTTACAGGATCTGGCTGCAACATTGAAGGTGGTGGAATGTTTTATGGTGGAGTTGAAAATGGAATAGTTTATTCTTGTTGTTTTCATCCCACAAAAGAGCATTCTGCCACTGTTATTCCTGGTCTATTGGCGGAACCTTATCCAAGGACAAAAACATGGGTACCTGCTGGCCAATGGGCAGTATCCTATACAAAAGCAGGTAATTTTGGAAACAAAGCCAAATATGATGTAAAAGATTAAAAAAATATTTTTTAAAATAAAAAATGATGGGAAAAAAATAATAAGAATAGAATAAAGTTGATTACTTTTCGAAAGACTTGAGGAGGCAAGTAGCCTTGTCAACGAGCTCAGCGTCACCTTCCTCGATAACCTTGAATGCTATTGGGTAGAGGTTCTCATAGAAACCAGCAGCCTTTGAGTATATTCTTGTCTGGAACTTAGCCAAAGCGTGGAGGATTTCGATTGTTCTCTCTGTAATCATTGGAACTGTGCATGAGAGTACGCAGTTGTTAGCAACATTTGGAAGGCGTTCGATGTTTTCGCATGTTCCGAATATAACTTCTTCAACCGTCTCCTTCTCTGTGATCTCCTTAAGGATGTTGTAAGCAATCTCTGCGATGTCCTTTCTCTCACTGAAGCAGCGCAAGAGGATTGCAGCTGGTCTGGCGATTCCCTTCTCTGTGAACTTGACTTTCTGCAAGTGGCAGATTGTGAGGAGTGCCTCCATCATATCCTTGCGGTGTGCGATCTTGTTGGAAGCAGCATCGAGAGCGACATAAACCTTCTCTGCGACTTCAGCCTTTTCATCGAACTTAGAGAAGACACAGCACATGAGTGACAAGTTGTCATCGATGTGCTTCTCAGAAAGAGCTGTTTCTGCGAGAGCTGCAGCAGCATGGACAATGATGGACTGCTTGTACTCGTGTGAGATCTGTTCGATGATGTCTTCCTGTGTGACTTGGTTGAATGCGGCGAGGATGAATCCAGCAGTGTGTGTTGTTGCGTTCTCAATGGACATGATGAAGAGCTTGTAGAATGTCAAGCAGAGGTCTTGGTTTGTCTTGAGAACAGCGAACTGTGCTGCAAGGATGGCAAACAATGTGCCGAATGTCATTGATGTCATGTCTTCACCGGACTTGACATAGGCTTCAGCGTTTTCTGCGATTGCCTTCAACTGGTCGACAGAGAGGTTGTATGTCTTGAATGCAATGTCCTTGAGAGCGAGGTGGAGGTCGTCTTCGATAGCCAAGTTCTGTGGGTTGATGATTGTTGACTTGATGATCTGTTGTGAGAGGACAGAAGACATGAGAGACTGTAATCCCTTGACTTTCCTTCTTGTCTGCTTCTGGACTGAGTAGAATGACAAGACAATGAGGAAGATGACTGGATCGAACTCTGATGTCTCGTAGAATGCCTCAACGATCTCGAGGAACTTGTCGTGGTTCTGTTGTGCTGTGATTTCGATGAAGATGGCCTTGACGAAATCAGGTTCTTTGATCATTGCGCGGAAGACACTTAATGTCATTGGGCGATATCCGATTGCGAACATCTTGGCAACAACTCTGCGTTTGTTGTCCTCTGAATACTTCTTGAGGGACTCGAAGATGTTGTTGAACATGAATGTGTTTGCCTCGAGAAGGAAGAGAGCGTCGAAGTCCTTCTCATCGATGCAATCTGGTCTGTGATCAATGACAGCAGCAGCAAAGATTGAAGCAGCTTCAGACTTGTCTAAGTTCTTTGCGCAGAACTTGAAAACTCTTAAGATGCAGTCTCTGTCGAGTCTCTTGACAATCTCTGACCACAATGTGTGGACAATTGTTGTGATCTCGCTGTGGGCTAATCCGGATGTCTCGACACTGCAGCCAACTTCGTAGACGTTCTTGAGAATTGTCAATGCGTAGCCTCTGATCTTCTCATCAACATGGATTGAGTATGGGATGATGATCTCGATCCACTCGTGGTCATTCTTTGTTGATGTGTATGGGATGGAAAGATGTCTGGCAACTTTGGCGACCTCGGCCATGAGTTCTAACAACTTGATGCAATCGTTTCTGTCGGCGAGTCTGGCGAATCTCTGGAAGAAGCGCTCGAGAACCTTTGCTTTCTTGCCGGCATTGAGAATTGCCTGGAGTTGCTCGCTGTAGTTGTAGCCGAATGGTTTTGTCATTGCGTGCTGGATGATTGTGATGATTGCATCGTCGATTCTCTCCTTTCCGATGGCAGCGAACATGATTGGGATGAACTCTGGGAATGAGGAGTCAAGGATCTTTTTAACAACATTGTCTGGAATGCTGCCCTTGTTGAGAGTAATGAGGGCCTTGAGTGTCTTGATGACAGAATCAGCGCATTGGTCGGTCATGGCTGGTCCTGGGATTGCGATCCTTGTGATGGCAAAGAGAAGCTTGATATCCTTCTCCTCTTTGACAACGTTCTGGACGAGCCAAAGGATTGTAAAGAAGGCGGCATCGTAGAATTCCTTCGGTGGTGGTGGCTTTGTGAATTGGATTAATGCTGGAACAACATCGTTGACGGCAACCTTGAACTGCTCAAGTGCCTGTGTGACGTTGTTTCTTGAAAGGCTGATGAAGTATTGAGAGTAAAGTCTCTGGTTGGCATAGGAGTTCTCAATGTTCTTTGTAAGAATTGTTGTGTTCTTGTCTGTAAGCTTTGGTGTGCCAGCAGCAAGAGCTTCGTAGCCTGTGTTCGGGAATGCGATGGCCTGCTTAAGAAGGTAAGCCTGGTACTGGGCCATGCGGTCGCCTTCTGAGCAGTAGTATGTTGCAATGTTGTTTGCTGTTGTTGGGCATGGAATTGACTCCATATTTGCAAGAATGCCAAGGAACTTAGAAACTGTAGCTGTTGTCTGTGTATCCTCCTCGTCAATGATGAGATAGCGGGCAAGTGTGCCGATTGTCTCAAGTGGGAATTGCTCTGAGGCAGCTAATTCTGACTTGATCAGGAATTCGCAGAACTTGCGGACAACAATGGCGTTGTTGATGTAAGCGCAGTTCTCAAGGAATAACTTGAGTAGAATTGCGTGGAATTGGTTCAACTGTGGTAAAATTTCGACGCACTTCTTAAGCTGCTCCTCGTCATTAAGGATATCAGACTTAAGGGCGTTGATGTATGCTTCGGCAACAATCTGGATTGTGTCGTCTGTAACAGCATTGTTCTTAAGAAGGTAGTGAATTGCCTCGATAATGAACTTTGGTTCCTTAAGGGCGTTCTTGACCTCATCTGGATATGAAGCGAAGATGCCGAAGTTGACTGCGTAGATAATTACGCCATATGGAGCTAATGACTTGACAACAATCTCAAATGTTGGTGCATCTTTGCGCTTTTGTGTGAATTCGATGAGCATTGGGACAAGTGGGTCATCGAATGATGTAATAGCGCCTGAAAGGTTTGGAGCGGCAAAGCTAAGCTGAACTGCAATGTTGAACTTGTCAAGTTCGTTATATTCTTCGGGGATTGGCATCAAGTTGAGAATCTTAGCGATATACATGAGAGTTCTTGGTGAGCACGAAGAGAATTTGTATGGTAATTCTGGTGTGACCTTCTTGAAGATGGCAACTTTCGTTTCGGCATCGACCTTCTCAAGAAGATTGTGGATTAACTCTAAAGCGACATCGACTTGTGTCTCGGAGTGTAAGAATTTGTTGACGTCGGCAAGAAGTTCTTCTGGATTTGTCAAGTGCTGCATGATAGCCTTGAGTTCAGACTCTAAGCCGCCTTCTGGGTTGAGGTCAAGGTTCTCAATGGCCATTGCAAGGGCGTGAACTGACTCTCTTGTCTGTGGGTACTCAACATAAGCGAGCTTGACAGCATCGCCGCAATACTGTTGGGTCTTTGTGGAGAGAGTGGCAAGTGTGAGCTGGTGTTTTGTGATCTCGGTGTCGTTTGGATTGGCCTTTGTGACAAGTTCGAAGAAAACTTCGTTATAAAGTTGGTAATCATCATAGTTAGATAAGATTCTGGTGTACTTGGCAATCTGGTTAAGGTATTCAGTGGCCTTCTCAGCACTTTCTGGATAATGCTTGGATGTAAGAAGAAGAGCAAGAAGGAATAGCTTTTCGCCCTGAACTTGATCAACGAGTGAGTTAGAGCGCTCGTAAATCTTTAAAATATATTCGTCAACTGTTGGAGACTGAAGAATCGATTCAATAAAAGGTTGTTTATCGGTTACACGTTGGGAAACAAGGACATCAATAGTCTTTTGGAAGAGAACTGTTCCGTATGAAGAAATCATATTGAAAGTGAGATAAAATATTCAAAATTTAATTTAAGAAAAAATTTTTATTCGGGAATTTTATTTGTATCAACGAAGAAGAGCAAAGTGAGTTGAAATTTTGCATCGGGTTTTCTTTCAAAATTGTGCTATACCAGAGGTAGGGCAACGATAGAAAATTTTTGGAAAAAAAGTTCGGAGATCTTAAACGTATCATATTCCCTGCATGGTTTGGTATCTTCCGCCATGCGTTGTGCCAAACATATTGACACTTTCCAATAATTAATTTATGGTATGAGTCACAGAGTTAGATTATAAAAAGAAAGTAAATAATTGCAATTAGAAATCATATATGTCGGAAATCAAATGTTGATGAGCAGAAACCTTTTACTCATCATAAAAGAGATAAATCACTAAAGATTTGTATACATTAAAATTTGATATTTGGTGCTCGAAAACTGTCTGATGGGACTCCTCCAAAATGAACCAATCTATCGCTGAGGACCAAATTAGATGATGTGGATGGTGTATTCTCTAATTCTAACTTAGGAAGAATGGGAACAAAACGAATGACGACAACAACATGTCAAACATAGATTAAATATCTATGAATCAATAAAGTATACGTGCATTGAAGGTGATAACGATCACTTGAGGCTTATAACTCTTTGACTAAATTATGCAATAATTAAATATAATCATTTTTATATTTTTATACTGATAGTAATTAATATACTATCCTGCTTAATAAATGGTATGATCAAATTTGTTTGAAAATTTAATTATGTATATGAAACTATGTCTTCTATATAAAAATCAAAATTTTCGGACGAACCTAGATTGAACCATTATGAAAATCTATCATTTTTGTTAATTGAGTTAATATGAATCTTTTACATATGTATATATAGCATTGATAGCTTATATAATCATGGTTTATTCCATATTAACATATTTTTTCAGTTAAATTTGTTAATAATATCATGTAACAAATTAATTCAAGATTAGAATGTCTACAAAATGCTAACAAATAAGAACAAAATACGATTTCTCGACTTAAATTTTAATATGGAGTAGTTTTTCGTTGAAATCTAATTAAAAATGAATAAAAACTTATCTTGTACTATTTTCATTCAAAGATTTTAATAATGTAAATCATGCATTTTCATAATTCAGTACAGTTCTTTTTAGAATTAAAGTTGATGAGGATGATATTTGTGATTTAAAATAATTTGTTAATGTTCACCTTTTATTCATCACCTTGTGGTATGCCCTAAAGCAATAGCATTATCAATTCTGCTGAATTGATCAACTCAAAATTCCAAAAAAATTCAAAATTTCAAAAATGAAATTAAACAATTTGAATTTTCACATGAAAAAATCAATTTCGAAAAAAATTTGGAAAATCAAAGTATTTGATAATTAGTCAAATAATCAATTTACATCGTTTTTACTCATAAAAAACAACTAATTTTGATTTTGATATCATATTTGATAAATACTCATTCCAGAGTTGACGTAATGTATTAATTATTGTTAGAGATATTGCTTTCGCAGCAAAATTCTTATTTCATGAAAGAAAAAAAATGATTTTATTCCAACAAAAACAAGTAAACAGATGAATGGAAACGTACTATATTTTCATAAATGTAGTAATCAGCGTGTCAGCTTTTGTTTATCATGTTCGAGTCAAAATGTATTAACTTGTAATAAGAAATATTCGAAGATTATATGAAGTATTGAGCATTCTTTGTAGAAATATTTGTAATTCATTACTAACATATATAAAAAGTTGTTTTTTTTTCCTTATTGCAATAATTTTGTCTGATTTTAATAACTTTTCATGTATACGAGTTGTGTGAATATGCATCATAATATGCGTAAATATACTTATTTGCGACGAATAATGTGGTTGCATAATGGAGGTGCTAAATTTTGATTTTTAATATGGGCTTTGGTATGTATAATCATGTTCTTATCTCAACGTAGGAGTATTGGTGCAATATGATTAAAATTTACGAGGTTGATCCTAAATTGAATAATTCTGGAGTATAAATCACAATGCAGCTAATTCTATGTTAAAGATAGATACAGATTGTAGTAATCAATTAGGGAGTACAAATTCATTCTTTCATTTCTGTCGTATTGAGCAGAAAGGAAGAGATCATAACCCTAGGAAAAAAAGCCCAAATTTGTCACTTTTCATAGTACGTTAAACTCAATTCGCTCGGCGAATGCCGAGCACACGTACTCATCATTCAACATAATATTCTCATTCTTTGGTTATTATAGTGCCAGACAACACAAGATTTCAAAGAATTACTTGAGTTTTCAATTAATCTTAATCCGACTTTAGATTTATCGAGAACTCCATCATCACAATCACATACTTCAGTGCGGTAACTACAATTATCCATATACAGAAGGAAGTTCTTTTCGAACAACTCATTTGGAGTCTGTTTTGGAAAGAACTTCTTTCTGTCCGACTTAATTTCATAGTTCCTGATCAACCAAAAGACAGAAACCACACACTATCTACTTAGGAAAGGAGTTCTTTCTAAATCTTCCTTAAATTGAGATTTTACGAGAGATAACCCTTCTATTGCACTTAAAAATGAACATTTTGATATCTTTAGTATCACACATGGTCATATATAGTATTTCATCTACATAAATACATTCATCTTTCGAAGTCTCTCATTAAATGGGAGGCTTCGAAAGATGAATCGTTTTATTCATACAACTTTAAATCTCGAACACATTTAGAGAGTGAGTATATCATTTTATTCTTGTTTTGAGTTTATTCTGATTCAAAATTGCAGTGAAAACAGAAGTTCACACATCATATCTGAATGTGAGCTCATCTATACTTATACGATCTCAATACCTCCACTCTAAGCATAAGAGGTGAAGTTATATAAAAATTATCAGATGCGTTGAAGTCTCAAAAGTATTGCCTGAATGCTTGTTTCATATTTGTCCAAGTAGTTTCAATGAATAAATGTATTGTTTTGTATAATTTCGATTTATTTTTAGAAAATATTCAATATAACCTTTATTGTGTTATTTACATCTCATAAATTCTCTGTCTAAATCATATAAAAGCGCGTTTTACCCCTATGAATCAAGAAATTCATTCAATATTCATGGTATATTTATTAAATTTATACGATTTACTAATAATCAATATTATATCCTCATAAATAGCAATATATTTTGGTAATCTATGATAATCATATACAATATTTGAAATCAAATTTTCATTAGTTTAGGTTCCTTGTTAATAGTAAACCATTATATTTATTACTAATAATAAAATCTATGTGTCGTATTGAAATTCAATAAAATTACTTATTCGGTCCAAAAAAACAAATTAGATAAAATTTTTCTTTTTTTATGTAATTTTTGTTTTTCATTTTTCTCAAGATCCTAAGTTATGTTCTAACTTTTGACATCATATCCTATCATGCTAGGCTATATATTATAGCATATCCAAAAGGCAAGGAAATCTATCAGAGAAGCCTTTTTGACCTATCGTTGCCCTACCTCTGCTATACCGATAAATTTGTAATGGGAATTTTATGCACTACCCTCAAAAAATTTTTTTTCGAACATTTCTATATGATTTGAAGTATTCTAAGTAAAAGATGAATATTTTTAGATTAGCTTTTCATGAATTTTTCTATTGTTAATTTTTATGAAGCTCATTTATTATAATAGGAGTAATATATGTAAAATAGTTTTATCAAATAAAATAGTCGAATTGTGAATAACCTTCAAATATCCTTCAGATATTGTATTCAATTTTGTGAGACTAAGTTTGAATAAATGGAAATAATATATAGTGTTTCATTCTTTGTCACTGTGCAAAAACGTGCTTTATTGAAAAATGCATTCAAAAATTTCGATCAAATTGAAGTGAAGTGATCATTTATGAGCAAAAAATATATGGATACAATGTGTCTTATAGATGAATATATGCACAAAGTTTAAGAGGCCATTTTCTTTCAGAAACCGAGATTTGTGAATTTTTTCAAATTTTGTGCTTTTTTTGAATTTTCTCGATACCAGATAAGTTGTGTTGGCTAAATAATATATGGATACAATGTGTCTTATAGATGAATATATGCACAAAGTTTAAGAGGCCATTTTCTTTCAGAAACCGAGATTTGTGAATTTTTTCAAATTTTCTAGTACAGTATACATTGTGCGTCGCCTGTAGCCTACAGCTACAGGCACCGACACAATGAAAAAAGTGACAGAAAACTGACACCATACGGGCGCGCATATGTACGCATATATGTGTAAAAATAAACGTTCATATGTAAACTAACCTTTATTCACTAGCAGGGGCTGATAAATCATAATCGTCGAGAAGTACGATAGGTGGTCCCACCTGTTTAATCTGTATGGAGAGGCAAACGTGACGTAAGAAGCATAACACTGGTTTCTCAGTATATTTAATAGACTCTGCTGTTGGCTTAACTGTAAGCTTATATGTAATAGGTGAATTAGATAACTGACCCTGTTGGAATGTATAATCAGTTTCGCAAGGGAATCCACATAGGTAATGACCTAAGTCATTTGACTCGATTCCAAATTGAGGGACTGATGTGGTTGTGATAGACCTCATGACATCATAGTTGAAGCCAACAGTATCGTTATTATTGTTAGTGGCATTTGCCTGCATCTCATAGAAGATTGGATCATTAGATGCTTGAGCCTCAGCGGGTATGTTACCATATGCTCCACAGTTCAATTGAATTTGTTCAAACAATGGATTTTCATAGGTAGTGTTATAATTAGGTGTTTTCTTAAATAGTGTATAAATGGTGTTCACATATAATGGAGTAAATGCTGCCGTGAATGTACAAGGAGTTCCTTCACCTTTAGCCATTGAACCATCCATAGTAATGCAGTCAATTCTTTTGATTGGGAAGTTTAGAGTCTTTGCCGAATATCTTGTCACCAAATCACTATAGATGTTAGGGTCCAAAGAGAATGAGTTACAGTATGTAATCATTTCAAAGAAGTTTGCATTCTTCTTAGTGAACTTAATAAACTTGGTACCAAATGATATCGTACTCTTATCGGCATTCCAAGTTACAGTATCAATAACTTTGATACCTTCATAGATAGGAGTGAAGTGATTAGTGATTGGAATATAGCTTGTAACATTGGCTTGCATGTTCGGTAATGGTAGAATATCCTGATAACTTAATGGTGTCCAAACCATACCAGCAATACTGAACTTAACCTTAAGTTGTAAGTTACCAGCAAACGCTGGAAGGAATCTAATGTTATTAAGTATTAGGAATCTTCTTAGGTCAATCTTGATTGGTATGTGGAACTTTAATGTAGTTGCACCACTAATTGGTTTATTGAACTCAATAATCTGTCCAGAACGAACTGTATCACATCTATTGAAAACATCTTTATGTCTAGCCTTACTAAATACATCAACTTTCTTAATAGCTTCTGTTGTAGATGCAGTAGAAGTAATGTAACCTTCTTCTCTAGCATTATCTTGTGTATAAACACTTTTACCATTAGCGATTAATTGATATGATTCAACAGCATAGAATGAATCAATGTATCCCAACCAAATTGCTGGAAGATGTGCACATGATTTGCCACCAGCATATTTAGTATCAATTGCTTTAATTGCTGTAACATTTGATCCTGTAGGAGCTGTCTCAACAGCTCTTTCTTTATATACTTCACCATCATATTTAGGAACTTTTTCATCAGCTGGTTCAGTTTCTGTTGTAATTATGCACTCACCATCGACATAACCACTAATGAACGTATTATATAAGTCAATCATGTTCTCACCAGGTGGTGATATGTTAAATGTAATATAACCGTTATCAATAGTATTTGTCGGCATAGCTGGCACTTTTGTTGGGACATATCTATGGTTAGTATCTCCAATAGGAACTGCCCCATCAACTTGATCGAAATAATATCTTACTTGTCTGATGGAATCAGCAATACTGTATGTATTGAGGTTATCGTTCAACATCTTTCTCAGCTATAAAAAATTTACAATCTTCTTATTCTTGGGATTATTCGTCTTATTTGTGGCTGAGGTTTAGGAGGTTCTGGTTCAGGCTCTGGTTCATCATCGAAGTGTATTCTTTTCTCTTCCATTGATTGAACATATTCTTGATTCTCTTTAGTTTCCTTCTCACGTTCAATTGGGTCCATGTTTGGTTCATTAACTACACTGTTACGTTCTAATATCTTTGTCATCATCTCTAACAACATTTTATTAGTATATGCTTGTTCTTCTTCTTTCTTCTCATCAACTTTAGGAGCTTCTTGAACAACAGGAGCTGGGGCAGGAGCTGGTGAATTCAATGGTGCCTTTCTCTTTCTAACTTGAACTGAACCATTCTTCATATGACAAACATAATATAATGGATGTTGTATTCCTTTAGCTTCATTCAATATGATTGATTGCTTTTCACTTGGTGAAAGTTTTGACGTCATTTCTATCCTAATAAAATTTTTTACTCCTAACAAAATGACTGAGAATACTTTCGACAGAGAAGCACTCAAGAATGAACTTCGTGAAGAAATACTTAATGAACTCAAACCAAAAGAACAAACACAAGAAGAGAAACCAGCTAAACCAAAGCGTAAACTCACAGAGAAACAATTAGCTGCATTAGCAGCTGGACGCGCAAAGAATCCACGAATGATTGCAAAGAAATTGAGAGAAGAGGAAGAAGCTAAGAAAAATAATAAGTAAGTGTTTAGAACTTTAACTTACGTTCAAAAGATGACTTCGTTGAAATAGTGAAGTCCTTATTTTTGTTGAAGCATGGTTTCGAACCAATGCACAAGTCAAAGGTTATCTCATCACCTTCATAAAGAGATTTGTACAATTCCACGATGCTATATTTTTCCCCAACTTTCTCAGGGAAGAACAAACCTTTCTTCTCGTCATAATGTACTTGTATCGCATCTGGGAACATTTGGTTTGCAGTAAGTGCAATTACGTCCTGTGTGATTCCCTTCATTCGACAGTGGAAAGCAATTTCCTTGAGGTCATTGGTTAATTCGTCGAGGTAAGTCTTCTTTCCAACGAATATAGATCTTTGTGCCTTAGACATATGTCCTGCAGTAATCTCTGCAAAGTCTGAATGAAATTGACCCAGTGCTTTTCCAATGAGTTCTCTGTTATACCTTCTCTTGTATTCTTCTGCTAACTTATCTAAGTCCTTCTCATACAAGTGTAAACTATCTGTATCCTGATAGAACAACTTCAAGCCCAAATCTTCTGCTGTGAAGAATACTTCATTCATGATTCGTTTGGACATAGAAAGGATTGAAACACCTAATGGACAATAGTTAAAGTGACGAACGATAGGTTTAAATGACTTTACACATGAAAGTTCGGAATCGGGGATGAACTCTATTGTCTGTATGTCATTATAGTTCTTAATGATATAGTCAGTGAGCTTATTGTCCTTGATGAAACGAATCTTTTTGTCAATGGGCTTTAATATCGTCTTACCATAGATACTGTTCAAAAGAAGTTTGATGATCTCTTGTATCGGATTACCTTCCTTCTTATACTTAGCACGTAATTCGAAGAGCTTCTTAACTTCATTCCTTATTGTCATGTCCCTTTTTCCATCATAATAGTATCCATCAATGACTTTGCATGAGATCTCTTGGAACTTGATCAGATCTTGAAGCGTAATGTGGTCTACGAACATCTTGCAGCATGTATTGGAACTTCTGGCAACATGTAAGTCAGGGTTGATGTCAGGATTGACGACAATCAATGGGAATGCTGAGTTCTTACCGATCGACAAGATCTCGATCTGACAGTAAAATCCTGAGATGAACTTTTCCTTTGTTGGTTCAGCTTGGTCATCATCAAAGAGATGCTCCAACAAGTATTCACTGCTCTTCATCTCTTCTGTCATAACTTTTGGAATTCCTTCTAAACAGTAAAGTCTAGCAATTGCTGATGGATACAATGATACAGCATCGAAGTCAGTGATGAGTTCTCCTTCATTGTATTGCTTCTTGTTCTCAGCTAGCATGCATCTTCCTCCTTGAATACACTTGGAAATATATTCACGAGGTTTTCCTGCAAGATCAAAGAGATTACCGTTCTTCCAATATACTCTCTTCTCAAAGAGTTTGTTTGAGATAGAACTTATTGAAACATAATCATAAGCATCTATTTCAAACTCAGTCATGAGGTCATTGCGGAACTTAAGAAAGCCATCTCGTAAAATGCGTACATCTTGACCGCAATAGAATGACGAATAAACTTCCATGTCAAAGTGTTCATCATCAATCTTGCAATCTTCAATCTTCTCAATGTTCTCATTAAAAGCTTCAATATCTTTGACATGATTCATGGCATCATCGATGTTACCAACTTTAGTTGTATTAACTAACTCTTCCGTGTAGTAATTATATGGGAAAACTTCTTTTTCACCACTAGTGAGGTGAAACATTTCAGGGAATCTTTCCAACTTAGTTGAGATGATTGCATAAGAGTCTTTGAAGCAGAGAAGTTTTCCTTTGTACTTTCCTTGTATCTGCATCGTTTGTGAACCTTTGATGATTGGAGTTCCTGTAATCTCTTCTAACTGAGACATGAGAAAAGTGACATCGTACGATAAGTTGTGGAAATAAACTAAACTCTTATCTGGTAAAGCTTCGAGGAATTTTGACGCACAGTCACTTCCCCAAATTGATGTATAACCATCATCGTCATCTTCCATGAAACAAATGTTGTATGCTTTGTGAATGTTTCCATCAGTTGATGCTTCGAAGTCAGCAAAGAAAACATGTTCTCTTGGGAACTTCATGTCTTTCTTCGTCTCTGAACTCCAATCTTTCTTCATCCTTGCGCAATAACGCTCATTGTATGTGAGGTCAATCATTTCTTCAAGGTTCTCATTATACATCGTTGTGAAGTATGTGCAAAGTTCTCCTGTTCTAATTGGTTCGAAATAATTGTTAGCAAACAAGAGTTCAATGACTTTTGCAAGTGGTGTAACTAACTTTGAGTTAATTGCATACCTTGTTTCATATCTTCTGTTAACTAACATCTTCTTCTCTAAAGTCCAATCCTTGCACAACTTACAAACATCTTCATAGTTCTTGATGAACATTGAACTTATTGGAAGCTTTTCGTTCAACATGTAGTGGTCATACATTAATAAAAGTTCTACTGTCATCTTTGGTTCTTCATCTGGTTCATAAGTATATGAATGATTTGAATACTTCTCGTTGTATTTGATGACATGGAACCTTATTCCTGTTTCTTTGGCAATAACCTTAATCTTTGACATTGGAAAATCTTTGACACGAATGATTTCCCTCATATGATTAATTGTTGCTTCGTCAACACCAGCTTGAATACAAGCGTAGATGAAACATGAATCTTTCATCATCTTCTTTGCTGTCTCTGCATTAAGTTCGTTGAAGATCTGATACCTCTCTAAGTTAATAGGTAATTTGCATGTCCATGTCCAAAGCTGACCATTACGTGACCTGTTTCTCTTCTTTGAATGGTTTTGTTTGATGATCTTGAGTGCGATCTTTTCTTGACCTGCTGCTCTCATCGTATCTAACATAACTTGTTCTTCAGCTGTGAGTTTATATGGTGTGTACGTTCCTTTTCTCAAAGCAGAAGCATCAACATCTGAATAAGCTGTATAGTCAAAGATCTCGATCTTCCTTAACGAAGGAATACTACAAAGGAAGAAGTCATAGTTTGATTCAAGGACTTTAGATGCTAATTCTTGTACTTCTGCTATTGGAGCTTCATTAAGTAACTGATGAACTAATGATCCCATTGTATTGATGTTCAAATGACGCAAAATGTTTCTCTTCTCATCAAAGTCGTAATAGAATGTCCACTTCTGTTTGAAAAGGTCTATCTGTCCAATGAACTTTGCCATAACTCTTGGAAACATCTTGTTGAAGTAATCTTTTCCTCTTGGACTGTATTGGTCAATGTTAAACATAATGAATCTTTCTCCTGCTTTAGTTATTGGGTCTAACCATTTCTCATCAGGAAGTTTTTGACCATTAATGTTCTTAACAACGTAAAAGGCATTCTGTATTTCTTTGTATGCTAATTCGCTCTCATCAATCTTTGGTGGAGGGTCTGAGTATATTGGTTGCATCTCCATTAACGCTCTATTATGAGATCTCTGATCGTGATCTAAAGCAACTGGGGAATTTGAAGCTGGAACATTCATGATACCATTGTAGTCATCATAGAAGCTCTTAGCATTCTTGAAAATATCTGCTACACTTCCTGTACCTCCTTGATTCTTAATTGCCAGAGCTAATTTATTGGTAATGTCTTTAGCTTTCTTAGGCATTTTGATCCCAAACATATCAAGCATACCTTTCTTATCTTCTGGTGAAAGGTTATTAACTAATCCTTTTATAGCATTGAGCATGTTGGTCTTTTATAACCGATAAAAAAATATACGTTATTTTTTTTTAATCGTCATCGTAATCATAATCGTACGAAGATTCTGTATCATCATCACTGACATCATTGGTTTCTCTAACTTCTGGCTTATCTGGTTTAATCTCTATCACCATAAACATTGGTGACAATAATCGAACAGGCTGATCTTGGAAGTCAACTAAGGTAAACGTAACATTAGTTAGTTCCCATGGAAATGCATCTATCCATGGTGAGGATTCCTTACATATAAGTGGTTTACCAGATATCCAGAACTCATTGATGTTATAACATGTAGATCTGTACATGATCTTTCTTCGATCATCAACTTGGTCAATATTATTGAACCCAGAGATGACAGACATTGATGAACGAAGGTATAACTGATACCCGAAGTTGAGCATAGGTGGTTTTGGCATTTGTAGATAATAATTATGTACAATAGGTAGTTCTATTCCATATGCACCTAAAATAAGATTTGCTCTATGTGAAGCATCTTTTAAATAGACTTTATGTCCTTTGTCCTGTGACGTAAATATAAGTTGATTCGTAGCACTCAGTGAAACTGTTACATTATGTTGACCTTTTTTCTTGTTATAATAATCAAACTGTTTTGTTACAATCTCTTGTAGTTTTGATACAATAGTATCCATATCAAATGAAAGAGCTGACTTAAATGTACACACCTTTTCTTCTCCATCTTCGTCTAACTGTAAGACAAAATAATCTGTTTCGTCACAAACAATAAAGTTCGCCATAGTACTGACACTTTTTACTCTCATCTTTATCTTACTTGGATGCCCCATGTTAGGATCTGCTTGAAACTGTATTGTCCCGTAGTTATTAGGATCAGTCGATTGTAGATAATACATCATTTTTATATGTAGTAAAAGAATGAGTGTTGTTCCATATGCATATGAATGTTATAAGTCTAGCGTACTTCAATATAAAGAATATACTCTCAGAATTACTGATAATGCTTTAGTCATACATAAAGAAGGTGCTGATGAAGACATTACCATCGGTCCTGGTATATTACCTATCGAGCAACCAGATGGTACAATTGTTGAAACAGACTTAAATCAATACCTTCAAGCGTTACAGAATCGTGTGACAAAAGTAGAGAATAATTACTTAGATGCTCCATTCTTCACAACTGATAGAGATTATATGTTTTCATGTATGGCGAGTAATGGTTTGCAAGAAACTCGTGAGGTAAATATTAATGAAGCATTAGAGACTATAATATATCATGTTAAACGGTTATTATCGATTGACCATGGAGTTCATTTTGACCCAAGGTCTACACTGTTCAATATACCAATGATTGAAAACAGTCAATTAACATTTAAAGAAGATACATTGTATAATGCTTTAAACGCAGCATTTGCTTATATATTAGGTCATGAACAAGTACAAAATAGTGGTATTGCAATATACTTAGATAAAGTTATGTTAAAGAAACCATTGACATTCACAGAAGATGGTCCAAAAGCAACTGGTATTGTTGGTGATGGAACATTATTGACGAAAGAATACTTAGCAAGTCATGTCGGAGAATTTTTCTCCACTAATGATAGCATCAGTACAACACCAGAAGTTATTTTATTGAAGAAACCAATCACATTTGATGTTAAAGGAAAGACAAAAGCAACTGGTATAGCTGGCGATGGAGTTCTTCTGACTAAGGAATACTTGAAGAAAAATATCAATGACTTCGTTGAAATTGTCAAAGATAAAGAATCTGGTCTTAAGTTCAACCCTTTATCATTCATCTTTGCCATAGCAAACGCTGGTGCTACTGCAGCCTCATGGATATCACTCCAGAGTCAAATAAATGCTCTTTGGGCTTTTGTTGAAAGTCAAGAAGGTATAGATACTGTTCTTGACACTCTGGGTAATCTTGGTCCAAATCATAAAGGAGGTTTTGTGGATGGAATAAAAAATTTAGTTGAAAAGACTAAAACAAGTTTCCAGAAGATAACTCATATAGAAAGATTCAGAAATGAAGGTTATATGGAACTTGAGAGTTTTGATGTGACTGGACCTTTGGAACCAATTCTAATGGCACGTGATGCTAATGATAAAGAAGAGAAAGATCCTGGACCAAAAACAATCATTTCTACGTTAAGTACTTTGTACCCTGATTTTGTGACCTTAGTGAAAGTTGCTAATACATCAAGAAAGAACAATAATATTACTATGTCTGGTACTGATGACCTTACTGATTATCTTTATCTCATTCTTGCTGAATTAGCGAAGAAAGTTGAGGAGAACAAAAATAATGGAGGAAGAACTGCACTTAAGATTGCAGACAAAGCTGACAAAAGTTATGTTGACGAAGAGATACGTAAAGTTGCATCTAAAGAATATACTTTATCACAGTCTGTCATACTTAAGACAATCAAAGGTCCAGAGAAAGATATGTACCCAGGTGATGGTACAACAGTTAAAGTTAATGAAAGAGTTTCATTCCCATCTGGTATTGATGCAAAAGAAGTATATATTAATGGTGAAAACATCAATACAACATTGATTCCTTTGAAAAATAATGAGTTCACTGAACCTTTGACAGTTAAATCAATTCGTTCAAGAGAAGACAAACCTGTTATAATCAATAAAATAGGAGCTGATAATGACCAACCAGTTCAAATCAAGAAAATAAGAGCTGATGACATTATCTTGAACTATACTTTAGGCTCAAGTGCTCCACAAGAAGATCCTCATATGAGTTTAACAGAGACCTTGCAAAATTTGAATGGTACTGCATATAATATGTCTATGAGTTATAACAACTTTAAAGCACATGAGTTACCAGTTCTGTTAGACAACAAAGCAGACAAAACTTATGTTAATGAACAGATCTCAAAGATCTCTAATGCATCTGTAAACAATGGAATACCTGAAAGCATTACAGTTAGCTTTGGTAATAATGATATGGGTAAAGTTGCAATATTTATAAATTATAACATTGGTCCATCAGAAAAAGGTCCAAGTTACTATACATTGAGTCATGGTAAATCTATTGAACTTGTGTTCCACAAAAAAGATGGAACAAACTTAACTATTCATCCTGGAGATACGTTTGAGTTTTATTTGAACGATGTCACCACAGTAGATTATACTTATAGACCTTCTAACATGTTTGACATGATGTATCCAATTGGTTCTATATTTACATCAATGAGCTCAACAAGCCCGCAAACCCTTTATGGAGGTGTTTGGCAACCGATTGTTGATCAGTTTCTTTACTGTTCTAACTCATCAATGGACTTTGGTGGTTCAAAGACTATCAGAGTTGAAAACCTTCCACCACACTCCCATAGGTTCAGTGCAACAACATCTACTAATGGAGAGCATTCACATTCAATGACAAAAAGAGGTTATACAAATCTTGCAGCAGGTTCTGATAGACAAGGTATGAATAGATATGATATCACAGATGACCCTAGAGATGTTAGTACAGGTATTTTCTGCGGATCTGCAGGAAACCATACTCACACAGTAGCTGGAATCACAGATGCAACAGGAAAAGGTCAAGACTTCTTACCACCATTTATGACTGTATTCGCTTGGTTCAGAGCTGCTTAACTCAAGATCACGATCACAAACTGTTTCTCAGTATGAATGAGTAGCTCTATTTTTACATCATTACTGAAGTATTTCTTTTCTTCATCAATGACAGAAAGAATGTTTTCATCATCTTTTAAAGATCTTACCAAAGTTAGATCTTCATCAGAAAATCTCAAAGAAAGACTCATTTATGCACTAATAAAAATATAGCTAATTATTTTTTTATCTGAACTTTTTATCGGGTATATAAAGATGTCTGAACATCATATAAAGTTCTTTAAGATCCAACAGTTTGTAGATGAAGTGAAGAAGCAAAATAAAACAGCAAAGAGACTACTTATATGCTTACCACAAACATTATGTCAAGGAAAGTATGGTTATAGTGCAAGTCCGATCATGATCTTTGTCGATAAGCAGAAATACACAAATGAAGGTTTAGCTAATTTACTCAAGTTTGAAAAGATAGCTATAAACATTCCTGACCATTTCTCAGCGAGAATAAACCTTGACAAGACTAAAAGTTATTGTTTAATGTAGATCTCACGAAATCACAAAGAGTAAAGACAAGAGAATATAACCCAGTTGAACTTAAGACAATGGGTAAGAACTTACTCAAAGCTGCTATCAAACCTGTCGAAGAGATCGACATTGAGGATGAAGCAGAAGAAATAGATGTAGATCCTGAAGTGTTATAAACGATAAAGTTTATTTTTGGAGGAAGATGGTGTCAGACCATTTGATCTGGCATGCTTGTTCTAGGTAATTGCAGAAACCTGGAAAGATTGTTATTGGTCTGAGTTTCATACCTGGTCTCTCATCTCTCCATTGAAGCAAGTAAATTTACATGAAGAGTTCGTCTGGATTCTCAGGCTTTGGTACACACTGATCGAAGATCTGTATGACCTCTTCATGACCGTACTCCCTCTGGTCAGACATGAGTGTTCTGAAGAACTTTTGCATCTTCGGACCAGGTTTAGCATCTATGCAACGAGTGGGTCTCATTGACATTTTTGTCACTTTTATTTGGTCGAATGGAAGGATTCGAGTTCATGCCACTTGACAGCAAAGAAGGTGCAGAAGAGGTTGTTGTTGCTGCATTCTATGCGAGCTCACACGTTGACGCATTCCGAACTTACCAGGATGACCTCGAAAAAGAAGGTCGAAAGCTTGGAAAGATCCAAATGTTGCTTGAGTTCTTCCGTGGAAACCTTGCACAGAAGTATGAGAAGAAAGAATAAACAACTAATTATTACTGAGCTTAGCTCATAAATGTAAGTTTTTACTCTGATCAGATCTTAGATCTCGTCGGGACAAGCGGAAAGGATAAAGTCCATGAGCTGGACTTTTGTCTTAGTGAGCGGTACTGCGGTCATGAGTAGTTCGCGCTTGTTTGAGCCACTTGGAACGCGACCCTTCCAATTCCTCATAGATCTCAAGGCAGAGATCGTGAAGAACTCAAGGACAAAGAGTCTTTGAGACTTGGTAAGGAATCCCTCATCATCTCTTTCATCCTGGAGGGTCTTTGTGGATGCAGTGGACTTGATCTCGTCTTCCTCGATCGGATCATTCTCATAATCTTCATCACCCTTCTTCCTAAACGTCATCTGCTCTCTCTTGTAGTCGTTCCTGAGAGCATTGAGTCCAGCTTCAAGATCTTGTGAGTTCTTTGCAGGTTTATTGAAAGTTTTCTTTTCCTGCATTTGCTGTATAAGCTGGGTTTGCTGTTGCATCATCTGCATCATCATTGCCATCATATCTAGTGTTGGTGATGCTGGAGCTGGTGTTGTACCATCTTGGGACATTCGGTCGTCGGTTATGTCTTTACAAAAGACTGCTTTACAAAAGACAGCTTTACAAAAGACAGCTTTACAAAAGACAGCTTTACAAAAGACAGCTTTACAAAAGACTGCTTTACAAAAGACAGCTTTACAAAAGACAGCTTTACAAAAGACGTCTTGACAAAAGACAGCTTTACAAAAGACTGCTTTACAAAAGCATTTTCTCACAAAATTGAATACTTTTGCTTTACAAAAGACGTCTTGACAAAAGATTGCTTTACAAAAGTCTGCTTTACAAAAGACGTCTTGACAAAAGATTGCTTTACAAAAGTCTGCTTTACAAAAGATTGCTTTACAAAAGATTGCTTTACAAAAGTCTGCTTTACAAAAGACAGCTTTACAAAAGATTGCTTTACAAAAGCCATGACTGATCTTCATCCAATTTGTTTAATCGAACTTAATGAAGTAATTTCTGCATATCTCCTGCATGTATTTGGAAACGAGAGGATAAGACAACTCACCAAGGTTTCCAGACGCCAGATCCAAAGACTTGAATCAACTGCAGGAGTAATCCTAAGCTTTGAAGAAGGATTAACCAATAAGAAAGATGTCATTGACTCCAAGCGTGAAAGCCTTGCTGCTTTCTTACGCAAACACCCATGGGTCGATGTTGATCTCCAAACTCCTTACCAAGGACTCGTTGAAACCTTCACGACCTACAGACAGCTCCTTGACAGACCTGAGCAGAACCTTCTGGTCGAACGTGATGGCACATTAAGCCCTACAGACGAGTCAATCCAGAGAGAAGAAGCTCAAGAGTAAAAATCTGACATTTATACTTTACATGACATTTTTTTCATGAGTGTTCACGTTAAGATCAATGATGAAAACATGACTTCATGGGAAGATATCATTGATGACATAGAGAATGACCTTGATGAAAACATGATGGGAGCTCAAACGTCAGTTAAGGTCAAACTTGGTGAAGTTCAAGAAAAGATCTCCGAGATCAATGCAAAAATATCTGCTCTTACAGAGGTTGACGTTTATTACAGAAGCTTGGAGAGAACTTTAAGCAAACTTGAACGTCAGAACCAAAGTCTCATAGTTGTGCTCCAGAAACTCAGTCTCATGCGTAAAGCATATAATGACTACCTACATGTAAGAGACTTACCTTCTTATTCTACTCCAGATCTCGACTTTTCCGATATAAGTCCAATCCTTATTGATACAACACTTACGATAGCAGGGATGCTTCCTACATATCCAGAATATGATAACTTACCTCAGCTCTTCGAGTATCTCAAGAAAAAGTTCATGATCTTATTATGCGAGACCATGAAAAGACGTCAAAATACCAGAACAGAACGAGAACAGAGCTTACTAATAGACTTATTATATAATACTAAAGAAATAAAGGAGTTTTTATTCTAACTTTGGTATTTTTGGGAAGAACTGATCTGGATCATATTTGTCAACCACAGGTTTTGGTATCAAAAGTCTCTCTGGTTCTTGGACGGCTGGTACTGGAAATGGTTCCTTTGGTTTCCTAGCTTTTGGGAGATCTAAAAATTTTCTTGGTCTCTTTCTTTTGTGTAAGTGTTGTCCATTTTTATCGACAACGAATGTGAGCTTTCCGTCGTCAAAGATGAATGTCGTCGCTTCTTCAGTTCCCTCATCAACTATTATCTTCTTGATCTTTCTCTTCTCCATTAACAGAAAAAGTGACATATATTACTTCATTATTTTTCTGAGTGTTAGGATTAATTAAACCTCTATCTATAACATGCTTTCTCATAGGAAATTTCTCTCCATATCTTTTTGTCAATATCTCTATAAGTTCTTCTGTATAAGATTTATCACTACTGAAGTAAATAGATGGATAATTAAGGACATCAAAGGTTTCTACAGTATCTTTAAGAGTCCATTCATCTCCATACTGTATAGAATAAGTATGGAAGTATGGAGGATCACATATAAAGAAAACATTGGGAAGATCTTTATACTCATTGAAGAGTATTCTCCAATCTTTATGAACAATAGTTAAACCTTCAAGATAGTCATCTATGTTTTCACCAAATAAGTTAGTATATCTGAGGTATAACACTTTCTTCATTAATGTGTCAAGATCATAGTATTTGTATGCTCCAGAATAGAGAAGACGTGAACATAATGTATCCCAGTCTATGTATGGAGCTTTACTTATAACTTCTCTGACGATCTCTTTCTGATCAGTAGGAATTTTCTCATCTGGCTTAACATTTATTCTCTCCTTAAGTTCCTTAAGTATTTCATTCGTGTCATGAATGTGTTTCAGTCTATCAACGTAGTTATCATAGTCGTTAGCTATGATCGTTGCTTTTGGGAACATAATATGCAACAGATGAGAGATATAGAGAGAACCACCAAATAGGTCAACGAAGACATAATCCCCTTTGATGTCTTTGAGTATGTCGATAAGATCTTTCCTGATCTTCGACTTATTACCTATGAAAGGTAAAGGAGGTTTGGTAAAAATCATTTATATGGTAATAAAAATAAGTGTTTAGATTAATTGGGTTTGAGTAGGTCTGCTGCATCTGTATTGCGTCCTCTGTATCTCTCTCCTGGGAGATCGCGGTTGATCATTCCGTGGACTTCGCAGAAAAAAAGGAGCATGACCAAGAGAACAATGAACAAGTTTATACAAAAGAATACAACAACAGCGTTCGTTAAGAAGTTCATTGAACTCTTCACATAAGCTATGTCTTCTTCGTAGCCCATTAACTTAAAAAGTGTCATGACCACTTCATTTTTGATGAAGTCAACAGCTTATGTCCACTTCCTCCCACAAGCACTTGAGGGACAAGAGAAGGTCATCATTGAATACCTTCAAGCCACTGAGAAGCTCCAAAAGCTTCAAGATCTCCGCGAAGAGTTCAAGTCCCGCTTGAAACAGGAGAACTTACTACAGGAATACATGCTCATTTTGTACCCATTACTAGATGGCTCCCATTTACCATCAGAGTACACTGCAGCTCTTGATGCACTCAAAGATCTTCGCGATCACCGTCCGATCGGTAAAGAAGCCTTCGAGCTCACCATTGAGCAAGCCATCCTCGCCAAGTACAATGCAAAGAAGCGGATGCTCGAAGCTCTTGATAAGATCAAGGAGTACGTCGAAACGTTCTAAAATAATTACTTGAGTAAACAATAAGTTTTATTGAGTAAGTCTTGAAACATTTGTGCTTTTGTTCTTGTTTGAACAACCATATTTAACATTAGATAAAAAATTTTTTGGTTAAACAATAACATACTTAAGACATAAATTATACCTACTTATTAACTCAGTATATTGAGCATTATATGCATACTTAAACTCTTGAGCAATATTGTTCTCATCAATGATTCTGATCTGAGCTATTTTTGAGAAAGGTGGTGGAATACCACAGCATGTATGTCTGGGTCCAGTAGGTCTATTTCACACTTGAACCCAGTCATTCTGTGAACAACTTCTTCCAAGTCTGGCTTAGGTAGTAAGATCTGATCTTTGCTCACTAAGTTAGAAAAGAGCTCTTTGTCTTGGTCTAGAAGTATCTTCTGGTATATACTAAGTAAATACTCTTCTACACCAATCCTCGATGAAGTCTCCACAGATCTCGATGAGGTCAGGTTGGAAGTTAATGGACTTAAAGGAGGAGGATACATTGGTGCTTCTGAGTTCGTAGTTGTTTCCTCTTTTTTTATCTCTGTTGGAGCATCACTTACTGTACCAGATGGATAGTTCTTTATCACAATGTTATTAGTTGTTCTTGAATCAACATTGCTTGTTGGTTCAATTGGAAGATTAGCTGCACCATAAAGAATTGACTTCGATCTCATTTGTTATGAGTAAAAATTGTTTTATTCTCATATAAATGACGAACATTAACCCAGAGAACAACACAGAATATACTGCAACAGGAGTTGTTTACAATGATCTAGATCAGATCGTCCAACTCAAAGCCCCAAGAGGAAGGAATTTAATAAGACAACCTCCACCAAAGATATATGTTGATGATGGTAGTAATGGGTTCAACTTAGTGTATCATTACTCATATCCTCAATATGCAAAAATTGGGTCTACCCCAAACGTGACAAACCATTATATGAACCTTTATGATGAAGCAAGGTTTCATGCACCAACGAAGAAAGAACCTGATGCATCAAGATTACATGAATTCGCAGACCATGATGGTTATAGCGATTACTCAATGCCTGTAAGACTTTAACGTTAATAAAAAAATGACTGTTGGTAAACAAGAAAAAACTTTAATACAAGAGGATTTTGATGCTACCAATATATTCAACTGATATGGGAGCTTATCAATTCGATACATTTGAGAATCCTGGTGGAACACCACCATATTTTCTTTTGTTCATCAATGTAAACAGTAGAAAAGGTTATGCGTTCCCAATGAGTGAAAAGAACTCAAACAATGTTCTAAGTGCAATGCAGAAGTTCATTTCACAAGCTACAGGTGAAATGAAGCCTACAATACTTACTAGTGATGAAGACCCAGCTTATACGACACAAAATGTTCGAGATCTGTTGGTCAGTCATAACATTGAGCACATGACGACACAGAAATACAATCATAACATACTAGGTATTATTAATAGGTTCTGTAGAACTATTAGAACTATGTTACATATGAAGTTAAACCTCAAAGAAGGTGATAAAACACCACCTTTCACTGCAGATACAATGAGACAAATTATTAATGACTACAACACTGAATATCATTCAAGCACACAACAAAAGCCTGATGATTTCACAGAAAAGGATAATGAGGAATATATAAAGAAGCAAAGATTGAAAGAAGAGTATGTCAGAAAAAATAACCTTTATAACTTAAGACCTGGTCAAAAAGTTCAAGTCATAGTTGAACCAAGAACATGGGGTAAAGGTAACCAACAAAGAAGACATCTTGATCCTTCTTATTATACAGTTGATTCAGTTGATACAAGTGCATACTTGTTAAGAGCAAAAGATGGAAGTGTTGCAAGATATCCACGTTATCAGATATGGACAAAAATAGAGCATGGATTAAAGCAAGGAGAAACTTTAGATCAAGGAAGACACGGTGCTGTTAAAAGTATTGATGGTCATGAACTTGTCGGTAATGATGTAAAGTATGATGTTACGTTTGAGAACGAAAATACAGGAAAAGTGACAGGTAGAGGTATGCGTGAAGGTAATCCAAACAGGTTGTCACAAATGGAAGTACAGTATTGGAGGAAAAATATTAATGAAGGTCATGTTAAAGATATGCCTAGTTTTCTTGAGAAGTATCGTGGGTTTCGAGTTTAGCTTGTAAGTCCTTTATTTTTGTTTCATACAATGAGATCTTCCTTCTGATCTGTTCATCATTGAGAGGTTGCTTGACTTTACGGAACTGTACACGTCCGTCTTTCATTGTATGTACATAATATCCATCAGGAACCTTACCATCTTTTATATATTCAGTTAACCACTTTTGTTTAGTTGATGCTTTAATGACTTGACTCATTTCTTACTGGATAAATTTTTATGTTTTTTATCTTTTGACGATTTTTTCTTATCCTTATCTTTCTTCTTGTCCTTGTCCTTCTTTGATTTATCCTTCTTCTTGTCCTTGTCCTTCTTGGACTTCTCTGCTGCAGGTGGTGTTGGATTCTGTTTGACTTTAGCACTTGGGTCAGGACCTTGTCTTTGAGACTTAGATATAGATTGTTTAGGAGCTGCTGCTTGTTTAGTTGCTTCAGCTTGTTGTTTAGCTAATTCAGCAGCTTGTTTATCATTCTCTTCTATTTCCTTTGCACCAGTTGCGACTTCATTCTTGAACTTTTGGAGATTCTCAGCAGCATCCATTACCTTATTCGCTCCTTTAAACAATCCATAAAATTTCTGCCATGGTGATACTGAAGGTATATTTCCACCAATTGCTGGAGGAACTGATGCTTCAGGAGTTGGAGATGGTGTTTTGTCTGAATTGAGATGCTTTTCTGCTTCAAGAACTTGTGTAGTATTTTTCTCCAGGTATGCTTTTGCAACCTCCTTAACTTCTGGACGTTCATTATTTACATCCTGTCTTGGTGTTGATGTTTCAGTAGCGTTTTCCTGAGTTACATTAACAACAGGTTGCTCAACTGCTGAAACATTAGCTGCTTCAGTAATGTTATGAGTAGTTGAAACATTTCCTGATATACCTTCTCCTGTTGGAACTCTTGGAGCAATTGTTGTGATGTTCGCCATTGCAGGAGTTGGAGTAGGAGTGTCATCAATCTTTCTGTCAGCTTTCGTCGTTTGCGTTGTAGTATTTGTTGTTTCATTACCATATTTTGATCTTAGTCTGGTAAGCTCTAACTTCATATGTTCTTCAGGATATGCATACTTATTATATTCACCCTTAATATTCTTTTTCCATTCATCGTATTTATCTTCTGCTGATTTCTTAATTGATGCTAGTCCGTTTACAGCCAATTCATCAGTACCGTTATCAGTAGTCTGGTTATATAAAAGATTAGCAGCTGATCTAATTGTGTAATCCGTAAGATTACCAAAACGCTCTATTGTACCTAATGTTGTGTTCTTCAGTTCCTTTCCAATTCCTTGTGCAGCATCTTTGACTAAATCAGCACCCCATGCACCAAATTGTCTCACAGGAGCCGCTATTGATGGTGAAGGAGATGGAGATGGCGATGGAGTTGGTGATGGTGAAGGAGATGGAGATGGTGAAGGAGATGGAGTTGGCGATGGTGTTGCTGCTTTCGCCTTTCTATCAGCTTCTTCCTTAGCCTTTCTATCTGCTTCTTCTTTCGCCTTTCTATCTGCTTCTTCCTTAGCCTTACGAGCTTTTTCTTTCTTCTTAAGTTCCTCTAGTTCTTTACGTTCAGCTTCTTCTTTCGCCTTTCGTTCAGCTTCTTCCTTAGCCTTACGAGCTTTTTCTTTCTTCTTAAGCTCCTCTAGTTCTTTACGTTCAGCTTCTTCTTTCGCCTTTCGTTCAGCTTCTTCCTTAGCCTTACGAGCTTTTTCTTTCTTCTTAAGCTCCTCTAGTTCTTTACGTTCAGCTTCTTCTTTCGCCTTTCGTTCAGCTTCTTCCTTAGCCTTACGAGCTTTTTCTTCATAATATTTTGTATACTTATCATCAGCCCAATTACCAAGTGATTTGGCACCTGTTAGTATTCCATTTGCGGTTGATGTTGCTGTTCTTCCGAGCCATCCCCCTACCGCTGAAGCACCATTGCCAATAGCACTACCAGCATTTAAAATTCCACGACCAATCCATATCCCTGGTTTTGCCTTTGTATTAAGAGTAAGAAATTCTTCCTTCCTATCTTCAGGTGTAGGATTTGTAACAGTTCTTACAGTATCAACAACAGTGTCAACACTGGTTCCAATAGCACTACCAACAGCTGTTGCACCAGTTAGAATACCATGGGTAACTAAATCAGTAGCTCTTGAGACAACATTATCACTCGAGGCTTTCTCTGCTGGATAGTTTGATCCTTTGTAAGTTCCTGGACCACCTCTATTTGAAGCTTCTCCTTCAACTATTTTCTTCTCTTCTTGTGCTTGTTCTCTGGCAACACTCAATGCACGTTCTTGTCTTTGAATGTTGTCTTTCTTTAACATGTAACCACCAAGTGTCTGTGGTGGTGTGTTTTTATCTAGTGCAGCATCAATTGCAGCCTTTTCTTTTCGCTTTTCTTCGTCTAACCAATTTTGAATAGATTCTGCATCAGTTGGTTCAGCTGGAGTTGGAGACGGTGTTGGAGCTTTAGTTGGTGTTGGAGACGGTGTCGGAGCTTTAGTCGGAGTTGGAGATGGAGTAGGTGCTTTTGTAGGTGTCGGTGATGGAGTTGGAGATGGAGTTGGAGGTACTGTTGGTTCTGGAGTTGGTTCAACAGTCGGTGAAGGTGTTGGCGCCTTTGTGATTCTTGGAGTTGGCTCTGGTGTTCTAATAGGGGAAGCAGTTGGTGTATTAGCTCTTTTAAGAACCTGTGATCTTTCCGCTTGATTTGAATCAGATACTGGGTTAGTTGTACTAGGATGTGATACAGGAGTTATTTTTGGTGTAGGTGTTGGTTTATTTAATGTTATACCATGACTACTCGACATTGGTGGAGGACCTGCGTGAGCAGTTGGTGTCAGAGTTGGCGTTGGAGCTACTGTAGGAGTTGGCGTTGGAGCTACTGTTGGTTCAGGAGTGGGAGTTGGTGTTGGAGCTACTGTAGGAGTAGGTGTAGGAGTTGGTGTTGGAGTCGACATTTGTTTTAACCTCTCATTATACCAATTCTCCAAATAATAAGCCTCACCCATTAAGTTACTCTGTCTTTGTTTTATAGAAAATTCACCTAACAGTAATTCATCATGAATCATTTTCTGCAGCTTTGTCGTGTTTTCTACTTCCTTTATTAGAACGCTCGATGTATTCGCCAATCCTCTATATTCCTTAATCATCTTATCTAGTTTGTTCATATTTGGTACTTCCTTTTTCTTCTCAGCGTTAATCTCATTAGATCGTTTCTCCAATTCTTCAACTACTTTGTAAAGCTTATTTATCTTGACATGTGATTCCTTTACTTCTCCAGTCCTTGGATCCTTAGGTTCCTTGTATTTAGCTAATTTCGTCTCTATATATCTTCGTTTAGCGTCATATCCAGGATCACTGGTTCGTAAAGGATGCGAAGGTGGACGAAAATAAGGTATGTAGAAATCTGGATCATCATTAATAGAAGAACGTGCTTTAAAGTTACGAACCGCGTCTGTAAAAGGGTCTCTACCACGTGCTGTATATGTTGATGTAATCAAAAAGCCTTCTCTTCTCATTGGGAAATTAATACGACCTTTTTGAACATATTCTTTCTCAAAGTATTGCCTAGCATTGTAATCAAAAGCAAGATCATTATATATATCGCGCAAAAAATCAAATGTATGCTGCTTGAACTTTTGATCGCTAATTATGGTACGAATTATCGGACGTTCATTCTCCCATTTCTTAACTCGTTCATCAATGAGTTTCCTCTCTTGTTCACTCATTTAAACCTCATAAAAATATATTATCTGCGTATAGTGCCACTAATAGCATTAATCCATGGCATGTCTGATAGTACACGTACTGACTGAACTAATGGCTTATGATTGTTCCAAATAGCTCCTCCAATGTATGCGTTATACTTATTGTTGTCAATAGTTTGTTGAGGTTGAACTATAGGTGTTTCAACAGGCTTGTCTCTACTGAAGTCACCACCAAGAGCTTTATTGAATGCTTTAAGATTCTTCGTTAATGCATTATCTTCACCTAATGTAGTTTTTGCAATTCTTTCACCAAGACTACCGATAACACCACCGACTTGACCAACTTGAGGGAAAAGTTTGTTAGCAATGTTAAATCCAGCACCTATTACAAGACCAGGATTTTTTTTCACCATACCCCATCCAGCTTTAACATAATCGCCAAAACCCATTTATTTCTTCTTAAAATAATGTCATCTTTTGTTGCTTAACTTCTTTAAAGTCCGTCTTTCCTGCAACTATATGAACTTCCATATATGAACGAGGTGTTGGTAGCTCTTTGTATTTGTTCCATAACTCTTCCCAATCTTCTGTTGCTCCTGACTGTTCAATCATTGACTGAAAGTCTCTCATAGAATAACCTTGAAAGATAACGAAGTCAGTGCATAGTCTCTTAATGTTTAAACATATATGTCTCCATGTTTGACACATGATGACAACAGTATAGTTATAATGTCTGACCTTAGTGATGAAGTTCGCTAATGGTGAACGTGGGTCATTCAATAAGTCATGACCACCATAATCGTCTAACACTAATAGAGAATTACTGGGATACTTTGTGAAAGGATATTTGTTCAACTTCTTTACAACATATATTGCAATCTTCTTATACTCAAACTTTCCATCAGGTTTCCTTAGTTGATGCTTTGTTAAGATGTGTTCCATCTCCTCTGAAATTTTTTCGAACTTACTTTGAACGAACTCAACAATAGCGTAATACTTTGCTTTCATCTTAACGTTCTTCATTAAATAAGGCATAAGTTCTTTATCATCCTTTTTCAGTACTGGTGCTTTAACTTGACTCATAAATGTCTTCGCTGTTTTATCCATTGTTCCTGATGTTGCTGAGATAACTATTGAGTCATAATATGGAGTATTAGTGAAGCGGTCTGTTATCATTATATGACGAATAACACCATATGTCTTACCTGAACCCATCTTACCGCAGTAGAAATAAACACCATTAGTACAAAATGGATAATCATCAGAAAATGGCATAATGAGTGCATTGTTTAGTTCTTTACTATTCTTACGTGCTCCATCATGAAGAATCTTATCTACTTGATTAATAACTTTCTCCATCTTTTAGTTACATATAAAATGTCTAAATATGATGGATTATACTATGAACATGTTATGAATGATGGCACGATAAGTGGTAATACAGTCTCATATAAATTACCGAGAGACTTCATTGAATATCCTGCGTCAAAAGCTCTTGAGATAAGAAAGATAAGTCTTGAGCATCCAGACTTTGAGTTTCTTGCTATTCCATTAGAAATGACAGATTCATCAAAATCAGTGAAAAAAAGGTTTGACATGAGATATTACATAAAACCCAACATGACTACACAGGAGTTGAATGAAGGTCTTATGGAAAAAATGACTGAGGCAAGTAGAGAATTTGTTGATTGTTACTATGATTCAAATGAAAATAAATTGAATGTATTAAGAAAAGGTACATCACCAATCATAACATTACCTTCATACAGTAGTATAGAAAAAAATGCCTTGAATTATAAATATGACATGTCCCTAGGAGATGTGTTGGATTTCATCACTGCGTTATTAGAAACCACTGAAACAGACACAACATCAAGAAAACCAGAGCTTGTTTGGGAAGATGACCATGGTAGAACATTCACGCAAAAAGTAATTCCATCGAAAGCAAAATTTTTAGACTTATGGGAAAAAAAATATATCTCGCGAATGCATGTATATTATAGTTTTACCATAGCAGATTTCACTGACGAAAATGATAAAGATAAAAAAACATATAAGTACTTTGATGAGCTTTTCATAACTATAGCGAATATCAGGTTTATCCTTGAGCGAAAGGGCAAACCAACATATAAATTTGTCGGTTATCAGATAAGAATAAATCCTCTCCTTGAGCCTTTAGTAACGTTGAGTAATATTGCTCATGATAACAAACAATTTATATGTAATGTGAATGAACAGCTTGTGCCACCAAAATTTTACGATATCACTGGTTATAAAGATGCACTCGTGTTTGAGTTTTATAAGCGCTTTTCATTCAAAAGAGTTGAAGAATCAACTGATGGTCAAAAAAAGGAATATTATGTAAAAGAACCATATGAAATTCCTAAAGACTCTAATATAATGGTTGAACTTATATTAGAGTCTGGTACTCAATCTCAACATAAATAGTTTACGTGACAGAATTTTTTTGACACGTAAAGTTTACATTTTAATGGAAGCGAACAACAAGCTCCTGCTAAGCTCTTGCCATCCAGAAGCCAGAGGTGACTGAAGAACAGTCCTCTGGCGACGAGGAAATATTGATGGGTGGCGAGAGTCCGAAGGCCGAGATCAAGATCCCAGATCTCGATCACAAGCAAACGGCAAAGAAAACGGGTCCACGAGCTACTCCTCGAGAGCTACGTTTAATCAAGACCAGCCACAAGTATTTGAAGCAGCTGGAGGAGTCAAACGTAGCTCTCGAGGAACTAAAGCTCAAGCTGGCTGAAAAAGTAGAGGAAGCGAAAGGTAAAGAGCTCTACATCAGCCAGCTTGAGTATAAAGTTGACTCTTATGCCAACGAGATCTGCGATCTTCGATCTCGTCTCAACCGTGTGGGACATGAGTCAGACAGCTGGCATGAAAGGTTCCTTAAGGCTGACACATCCTACCATGAATTAAAGCGCGCCATAAGGAACTTAGCCACTGGCTTCTGATCCCTCCTCTAAACCACGAATAAACACCTAATTTTACTACTATAACTCTTATTTTTACTCATATTACTCACATATATCCTCATATAACTTATAGTTCATTGTCACTCAGATCACGATCTTTGTGATCACGATCAACTTAGGAAAAGAGAAAAAGTATAAAAGTTAGTATAATTAATTGTTTAGTCTTAAGTAAGCTTATTGTTCATCAAGGAGTTGATGTAAGCGTTTCTTTGCCTCCGTGATCTGCTTCTTTTATAAGCTTACAGTTAAGCCAACAGCAGAGTCTATTAAATATACTGAGAAACCAGTGTTATGCTTCTTACGTCACGTTTGCCTCTCCATACAGATTAAACAGGTGGGACCACCTATCGTACTTCTCGACGATTATGATTTATCAGCCCCTGCTAGTGAATAAAGGTTAGTTTACATATGAACGTTTATTTTTACACATATATGCGTACATATGCGCGCCCGTATGGTGTCAGTTTTCTGTCACTTTTTTCATTGTGTCGGTGCCTGTAGCTGTAGGCTACAGGCGACGCACAATGTATACTGTACTTTTTCTGCTTTTTTTGATATTGAAATTTCATTTCATTTTTTTGATGCATATCGATGCACCATGCGAACTTAAAGAAAGGCTATCTTATATAGATGCTATGAAAGCTGTCATTGATAACGAATGCCATGCAGGTTGTCCATATCAATTAAAAAAAATCCAAATTTAGGGGGAACAAAATTAAAATTCAGGTGCAGTGCAGATAAATGTGAAGCATGTATCTCATTTCTAAAGGATGATGAAGAATATATCCTAACAGAATATAATGGAACACATAATCACAATCAAATCAAAGATGAGACAAAGAAATACCACACATTATCACAATGCTATCGTCGGGTACTTATTAATTTTATAAAACAGGGGGGGTGATCCGAAAATGGCTCAAATTGAATGCGACAAAAAACTTGATCTGGATGATCCACTTAACAGGCCATCTTTTTTGAATGCATCTTCAGATCAAATGAAAACAATTCAGGAAAAAGGAAATAAAAAGATCAAAGGTATTCAAAAGTACGATGATAATCAATTCAAGTCAACTCAATTATTTAAGGGTATCAAAGAACAAGAGTCACCAAAAGATTTAATTTATTTCGATGTCGATAATTACAACAAACCAAAGAAATTAATCTTTTATTATGCTTCTTTCAAATTTCTGGACATAATCAAAATTGTGAAAGAGCATTTTATTGATGCAACCCATTCATTACTTGAATTTAAAATGTTGTTTTACATGATATCAGCCAAATTTCCAAATACACATGCATTCCCAATTTTTCAATTTGTCGTTTATCCAAACACTTCAGAAAATATTGCATTCTGTCTCAAGGCATTTTTTAACTGGGCAAAAGTAAAACCAAAATATTTTATGTCAGATTGTGCACAAGAAATCGAAAATGCGATTATCAACTCTTTTCCAGAAGTTATCCTTCATTGGTGTGCAGTTCATGTAATGAGGGCGTTCAGAAAAAATTTGAAAGATTATGCATTTGAGAGTTCAGACAAATTGATATTAGATACAAAAATGAACTATCTTGCATACGGCAGAAATGGCAAGAAAGAATGGATTGAACCAACGTTCAAAAAAATTCTGGAAATAGCCGAAAAATTCCCAGAATTTTCAAAATACATACAAAATCAATGGATATCAAACCAAGAAAGATGGACAGCCGCTGAAAGAGATGAAAATTTAGCTCTCACAAATAACATTTCAGAATCGATTAACAAAAAATTAAATATTACTACTTTGGCGGAACAATTTTCATGAGATTTGATCGATTTGTGATGAAATTAATCGATTTTATCGTTCCTTCATTTTATTACAGAATTTCTCAAGATATAAGGCTCAGAGACAAAATTCCAAATCCGTTGCCATCTGAAAAAAAGCCAAAAAAGTCTACAATCAGACTGGATACAGAAAAATGTATAATGCTCACTGATAAAATTAAATCGTTAATAGTTAACTCATCAGCAAACTTAAATACGCTTCAATTGGGTTTAGATGACCTACTTGATAAAGTTGTCAAGGCAGCAAAGGTTCAAAAACGAATGACCCAGTATTTTTCGAAATTAAGTATCCCAATGGAAATCAAGCTTAGTATTCTCACGCAAATTACAGAATTTGAATGCAATACCCCTCAATTCATTGTTGAGAATGCCAAGTCTTTTCAAGATAAAATTATTACAGATTTCCACCTTCAAATTTATACAACATTATAAAAATTTATGAAAAAAACTTGATATAAAATAACATTTTTATTTTTACTAAGAAAAAAAGGTTTTTGATAATAAATTTATTTTATTTCGAAAAAGTAGCAATAATCGTAAAAGGGTATTGATAGGCTTGCTAAAGTAACTAATTTTAGCTGTCAAATACTTTTGTATTTTGAAGTAAATTAGTATAAATTTGTTTTTACTTTTATTTCGAAAAAGTAGCAATAATCGTAAAAGGGTATTGATAGGCTTGCTAAAGTAACTAATTTTAGCTGTCAAATACTTTTGTATTTTGAAGTAAATTAGTATAAATTTGTTTTTACTTTTATTTCGAAAAAGTAGCAATAATCGTAAAAGGGTATTGGTAGGCTTGCTAAAGTAACTAATTTTAGCTGTCAAATACTTTTGTATTTTGAAGTAAATTAGTATAAATTTAATATTATTTTAACTCCCTTTGAAAACCTCAATTTTCCATACAGAGGGAACGGGAATAGCATCCAATATTCCCTGAGAATGGTTGCGCATTCTCAGTTCCCTCTATATTTCGAACGAAGCTCTCATCGGTCTTTTTTTTTAATACTAAACGTTTTTTTCCCCTGTCACTTTTAGCTAAAATTTGGGTTTGCCCTTGAAAATTTTTGCTCAATAAAATTTGGAACCAAAGACCTTATTGCAATAAAAATCAAGATGTATATTCTAAGGGTTTCGTTTTGCTAAAATTGTCACTTTTATAGCATATTTGTTTTTGGATGTTTTGCGAAACCAAAAAAAAAAACTATGATATACAATGTGTGTGTAAAGAAAATACTTTATTTACTAGTTAAAAAATCATTTGGTATTGATCAAGTTATTTTTTCTGGATAAGATATTATATGGATAATTGGATAGAAAATACAATTATATAATCTTGTACCTGGTTTAATTAAGCTAATTGTCATCAGAAACTTGTAATTTTATGAATTTCAGATTTTCTTTTCATTACTGCTTTTCTTAATAGGTCAAGTTCTTATTTACGTTATAAAGTATGATATTTACAAATATCAAGTTATCATGTTTTTTGAGAAATTATAAGAAACAAACAAAAAAATGAAAAAGATAGGAATAGCAATGAATAGATGTGGGTATAGAAAATGTAAGAGATATGAATGCAAAGCAATCAGTATTTAGGATATTGACCATAGATTTCGAAAAAAAAATGCTGCATATTGAGCGAAAACTATGATTATATTATAAGACTGTCATTTAAAGCATAATGAAACTATTCCCTTTTCATTTTAATCGAATAAGATAGTAAAGATTTTGAATTAGCTAGAAACTGATGAGATGTTTTCACAAATCAGATTTTTAATCTCTATAATGCATAATTCACTCAATATCTCAATTTTGATATTGCGAGATATTTTTGCTATCGGTTTCGCAATTTTGACACAATAGCAAGAGGGTTCTATAAGCATTATTATCAACGTAGAATCTGAATATCATATCAGAAAATGTCGCAAATCTGACATTTACCCGACCAAATAGCAAAAATAATTGAATACTTTTCGCAAAAACTTGAAAAATCGATAAAAATATGAAATATAGATATTAAAGAGACTTTTTATATAATATTCATAAAGATTTTCCAAAAATATGATACCGCAAAATTAAAAAAGTGACGTCTTGAGTGGAGTCAAATGTCGAAATTGCTAGCTAAATGTTTTTTTAGCGAAATTGCGTATTGTACGTTTTTTTCGCAAAACGAAACCCTTATTTGACACCGGCTGTTAATGGGAATAGGATCTCATAACAATGCTTATTTATAAATTGAAAAATAATTTTATCTTTACTGACTAATTGTTTTCTCCAATTTACAATTTTACAATAGATATATAGCTATAATTCAGTTTTTCTTGCTACTAAAGTCATAACATAAACCAAATTTAGCCACAAAGATTAGAAAGAGCATAATTAAAGAAATATTGATCTTTAATCATATTAAGCTCCAATATTTGATGTATCGCAGGCTCAGATGCTAAGAACATTGTGCCGAGAAAAAGAAAAACTTTCTAAATTCATATTTAAATAACATTACAGAGGATAGTTAATTATGTAGCAAACTACTTAATATTGCTGATAGAGCTCTGCCTATGCATGAGCTGAGATCTATATTTCAATGGGCAATATGCTTCTTTGCCTGTACTAGTACCTTTAGGAGCAATTTCTGGATATGGTGGATTAGCAGGTGGTTGTGAACTTGCTGTTTCTGTTTTAACCTGAACAGGTGGTGGTGGTGGTGGTGGAGGCGGAGGAAATGGAAGCTGAATTGGCTGTGTAGAAACATTCTCTGCCTTAACTATAACGGGAGATTGGCTTCCTGAAATAGTATTGGGTGTAGATGTGGAATTCTGCGTAACAACATTTGGTGGAAATACGAGATTTAAATGTATGTTAGATGTTCTTGAATATCCTCGTATAACATTTGCTGATATGTTAGGTACTGATATCTGCATTTGTATTGGTTGAGCTGGATCTTTTGGGACAGTTACGTTCTGTGAATCAACGTAAGCAACGATTTGTTGATTTGTTGATGCACGAGAGCGTAAAGTCCATTGTCTCAGTTCAGGAAAGTTATCTTTGAGATAAGGTATTCGGTCAAATAAATATTTCCAAGATTCAGTATGTGATTGATTTGTAGTATATCCGAGTTTATGGAGGCTTCCATTGATCGATGATTTGCATTTTGAAATGAGAAGACGTAATTGACGAGTATTGATCGCAATCATATTATCCATCCAGCAAAGGCCGCAGACGAGAAACCTTCTCCAATCATTTTCGTCATGCCGCTCGGCAAACCGATGAATAGCATTCAAGACACTGTCAAATGCTTCCATTCTGTGCCCTCTATTTCGTTTACTGATACTTGCATCAAGCGCCAGTTTGAGGGTTTTATAGCTGTTTTTGTCTGTTTCTGATAAAAGATCCCAGAAATTGGGTATTTTATCAATATTCTGAGGAGTATCTGGCTCAAGAGACCCCATCAGTGTAATATTTAAATGGTCGGCCAATTTCGATGACGGTTGCCCTCAATAAACTAATCATTAGCATATACCATGAATTGGAATATATAAGGGTTTCGTTTTGCGAAAAAAACGTACAATACGCAATTTCGCTAAAAAAACATTTAGCTAGCAATTTCGACATTTGACTCCACTCAAGACGTCACTTTTTTAATTTTGCGGTATCATATTTTTGGAAAATCTTTATGAATATTATATAAAAAGTCTCTTTAATATCTATATTTCATATTTTTATCGATTTTTCAAGTTTTTGCGAAAAGTATTCAATTATTTTTGCTATTTGGTCGGGTAAATGTCAGATTTGCGACATTTTCTGATATGATATTCAGATTCTACGTTGATAATAATGCTTATAGAACCCTCTTGCTATTGTGTCAAAATTGCGAAACCGATAGCAAAAATATCTCGCAATATCAAAATTGAGATATTGAGTGAATTATGCATTATAGAGATTAAAAATCTGATTTGTGAAAACATCTCATCAGTTTCTAGCTAATTCAAAAATCTTTACTATCTTATTCGATTAAAATGAAAAGGGAATAGTTTCATTATGCTTTAAATGACAGTCTTATAATATAATCATAGTTTTCGCTCAATATGCAGCATTTTTTTTTCGAAATCTATGGTCAATATCCTAAATACTGATTGCTTTGCATTCATATCTCTTACATTTTCTATACCCACATCACTATTCATTGCTATTCCTATCTTTTTCATTTTTGTTTGTTTCTTATAATTTCTCAAAAAACATGATAACTTGATATTTGTAAATATCATACTTTATAACGTAAATAAGAACTTGACCTATTAAGAAAAGCAGTAATGAAAAGAAAATCTGAAATTCATAAAAATTACAAGTTTCTGATGACAATTAGCTTAATTAAACCAGGTACAAGATTATATAATTGTATTTTCTATCCAATTATCCATATAATATCTTATCCAGAAAAAATAACTTGATCAATACCAAATGATTTTTTAACTAGTAAATAAAGTATTTTCTTTACACACACATTGTATATCATAGTTTTTTTTTTGGTTTCGCAAAACATCCAAAAACAAATATGCTATAAAAGTGACAATTTTAGCAAAACGAAACCCTTATGTCAAATTTATTTCTTCATTTTGATGAGCAATGATGATCATTTAATTGTAATTCTACCAGCCAATGGATTAAATAATGAAATGGTTAGCGCATTGTTTAGTGAATTTTCAGAAATTCAAGCTTGTATCTTTGAAGATGACCAACTTGGAAATCGAATTTGCAAAGTTTATTATTCTTCAAGCCACGCTCCAGGTAAAGTAGTCAAAAAACGAAACGATATCGAAATTAATGGTACAAAACTTTCAGTAATGAAATATTGCGATTACCAAAATATGATTGCTACAAAATCTATTCAAAAAGAAGAAGAAAAGTTAGCTGAAGATACAGAGACTGAAAGTGATGAAGCTGATGTATCAGACAGTGATAATGTTGCAGACGCACCTAGAATACTTCAACAAATACAAAATTATACTAATAATGCTTCAACGATTGAACAGAAAGACGAACCTACAAACTTACCTAAGGAAGAAAGCAATTATTCGGACTCCGAATCTTATTCTGATGATAACCATAGAAGAAAACGCTCCCACAAACACCATCATCATCACCATAAACATAGACACCATCGCAGATAGATTACTTTCATATACCTTGAAATTTTAATTGGCTCTTTCAAGATTACTTATTTTAACTCAAACATCCACCACATAAGAATACTACGTTTCGAAATCCGAAACAAAATCTTATGAGTCTCTTTTTCAGAAAAATATTTTTCAAATCTTTTACTTGAACGAAAACAAATAATAACAATTCTTCTCACCCTATGTAGATACATATTTAGGTTTATAATATGGCTGACGGAATTCTAACTTTTCGACATTTTGTATTTCGATTATTTTTTTTCTTAATTACATGCTTTTGCTTGCAAGGATAAATAGTTCAAGCTCAATTAATATGCATTTTCGTGTTATTCATTTGTAAACCGTATAAATATTTTCTCCTTATAAAATTGACTAATTGTTTTTATCAGATTTTGAGATATTAAGTATATTTATCCATAAAAAAAGTCATGAATTTATCATAGTGCAAAAATAATAAAAAAATTAACTAAAATGAATGCGTTACTCCGCTTTTGTATCTTCTAAGACAACATAAGCTAAATATGGCTGAATCGCGTTCCAATTCTCTTCAAACCACTTAATAAGAACAGACTTTCTTCTTTTTGCATCACGATCTAGTTTAATTGAAGCGTTCTGAGCTAAAACATTAGCAATACTAAGGAGTTCGGGCTGCTTAATGTTTGCTCCAAACCTCTGTGTAATTTCATGCCAAACTGCGTTGTCTTTGGGATTAAAAGAACCTAATCTTTCAGCAATACGCTCCTTTTCTTTGGTGACACTATGCTGATCTGGCTGTACAAAGAGCTTGGAAGAATCTCCGAAGTTTTGTTGGAAATAATCACTTATAACTGCTAAACCCTGGCTATTAGGATCTGCTTTGAGTTCATCAATCTGGATTCCAGCGTTACTTGCAAGTTGCGTAATTTGAGGGATTTGTGTCATATGACCAGAAAATTGCCCGCCAAAAAAACTGCCTATCGTCACTTTTTGGCTGATTTATCGATATTCTCAAAACATATATATTTTACGTAGACACATTACAATAATATATATATTTTTTGACCTCGACAATTCAAAATGTCAAAATTTATAAAAGGAGATCCGATTTTGCTAAATAAATGGCTACAATGCAGCAGCATAGATTTAACAATTTTCCGAGATCGATTTTGTAATAAAATGTTTTTCGTAATCTGACAGCCTTGGTTGATTCAATATGATTAATTATCTACTGGAAGGGTTTAGCGTGTCCTAGATTGTTTGTTGAGCCCTACCTTTGGTCCGGCATTTTCATGACAAAACGCCTATTGTTTCTAATTCCTGATGATCCAAGTGCTAGCTCATTTAAGCAAAGCATAATATCATCATTGAGTTTCCTAAAGGATCCAAATATTATAGTAAATATTCCAATATGTGAAAATTTAGAATTAGTTTCTATTCCGAATTCAAAAGACTGCATAATTTTCATAAATCACAAATCTAGTTTAAAAGATATAGGAAAAGTTATAGATTCTTACTCTATAACTCATGCTATAGCTTTAATATCTCCAATTTCAGATTCAACATCTTTTAATAGTTCATCAGATCAATTAAACAGTAACAGTTCCCTTTCAAAGTTTGAATATGATGATAATTTATTTTTAATGCTTGATCAAAAAAGAATCCCTTCTCTTATTATTGAGATGAACAATCAGTATATTCAGCAGATAGTTGATTTTGTCTTATGCGAAGAATACGAATTTGCAGCTGATCAAAATTCAGAATCTGATTCTGATCATGAAGAGAAAGAGCAAGAAATTTATTCAAATATGCATGATGAGCTCCTAAAAATGCTTTCTGATTTGAAATAAAACAATAAAATTTAATGTATGATTGTAGAAAAACATTTAATTTATTAAACTTATAGCTTTTATATCAAATCATTTTTTTTTTCACCTAATTAGGTAAGGATTACTGAATTTACTCAAATGGATTAACACCTTCTGGAGCTGGTTGATAGTCTTCGTCTGGTAATACTAGATCTTCATGATGTTCTTCAATTGGCTCTTCGTGTGGTTCTTCTGGAATTTCTGGAGCCTGATGCTGCTCTGGGATGTTTAATGGTTCCTCATCAACTGGTGGAGCATCGAAAGCTTTGTTTGCTTCTTCAAATGTTTCCTGAGTTGGAACAATTGCTGGAGCTGGGGCAGCCTCGATATGGCTTTCGATTGCGCGCTCCATATTCTTTAAGTTTTCTGGATCGACAACCTTTGTATTCTTGATTTCGTCCAAAACATCTTGGGCTTTGGCAATTAAGTCGATTTCGTTCTGGCTTTCAACCTTAAGAGCATGGCCGAAGCGGTTCCAGCCAGAAATAAGTCTCCTGACTTTGAACGCGCTGTATTTGGTTCTTGTTGCAATAAGAGCTTCTAATGTTGAAATTGTATCTTTAAGTGTCTGAGCTTTGTTGCTTCTTTGCTTTTCAATTTCATTTTGGCATTTAACTTTGCGCTTTGCTTCATAGTCTGGTCTAGATTCCTCGGCTTTGTCGGTTTCAATAGCCTTTTCGAGAGCTGCGCATGCTGCTTTATACTTTTCCTTAGCAGCAACATGTTCGCTATTAGTACGGTAGAGAACGTTGTATCTCTCAATAATATCATTAAAATCTTCGGAGTTTCTGAGTTCTTCAGCAGCTAAACGCTCATGGCATTGACCGATCTCAGCCATAATCTCTGAAAAGCGTGTCATTTGTGGTGTAATAGCTGAGTTTTGTCCTGTCATCATCTGGAAAAGATTCTCGCCCATCGTTTTCCAAGTCTTAGCATATTCAGCATGATAGTCTGCAGCATATCTCAGATATTTCTGGATAGAGGTCATATCATGAAGAAGGACTGTTTTCCTGCTTTGGAAGATACTCATAAGTGACACTTTTATCAAATATCGGCATAATTCAATTTGACATCAGTTATGAGAATTTTAGTATCATATTCGTTTATGCATTCCCATGGTGTATCTGTTTTCATTAAATTTCGAAATCATTTTGCATATTGTTTTCATTCTCGATTATCTAAAAGCAAAGCTCAGGCAGTTTTACACACAAATCAAACTAATCATACTTATGTAAAATGATATTATGATAAGCACAACATCAAACTTCCGGGATTTTGTTATTTTTTTCGTAATCCTTCATCTCCTAAACAATTAACACTATTCAAAATGGAATACAAAGAATTACTAAATGAGTTTGCATCTCTCATTAGATATTTGCGTAACTTTAACCTAAATTGAATATCTCAAAAGTCAATACACAGATTTTGAGGCTATTAAATAGCTTAGATATAAATTACAACTATACTCTTTATTATATAACAAAAACAAACATATACTTACATAATAATTAAATTTTGAGCAATTCTAAGTGAGGCTATCCTCAACATTAGATTGAATATATAATCATTTTCGCAAATTTTCCATTCTCTCCTTGTGTGCGATTTTAACTAACTCTGTTTCTTGATCAAGGGCACGTATTGCTTCTTTTTCTGCTTGTATCTTCTTTTTAATTTCTTCAATTTTGTTCTTAACTTTTTCTGTAGCATCAATATAAGATTTTGTTTTTTGCTCTTCTTTTATTGCAGAAATCTTAGAGCGAAGAATTTCATTACGCTGCCTTTGCAAAGATATTTCTTTCTCCAATTGATTTATTTGTTTAGATTGCTCTGCAATTACAGAGCTTGAGTAGTTTGCGTTGATTCTCTCTAAATTTTCTTGGGCTTCTTTGTATTGAAGTTCAACTTCTTTCTTTTCTCTCTCTAATCGCATTGCTTCCATAAAAAGCATCTTAGCTTCTTCTTGAAGTTCTGTAATCTCGACAGCTTTGTCAGAAAACATTAGCTGTTGTGTTTCAGATCTTTTTTGAGCAATTTGTCGTGTTAAAGAATCAATTTGATTTTGTAATGTATTAGCAATTATAGCATTTCTAGATTTTCCTCGATTTCTTGGATTTATTGATCCATTAGAATTTGTTCTTTTAGCAAGATCTGCAAATCTTGTTATTTTAGCACGTAAAATATTACGCTCTTGAATGAGATTTTGCTTTTCACGTTTCAATTCCATAATTTCCTCGATTGAAATTTTCTCTTTTGCTTGTTTTATTAATTCAAATTGCTCTCTTTCAGCTCTTTGCTCTTTATCTGTTAATAACCTTGCGCTTGAGTGCGGTTGGCGGGTAGAAAATGGACGTATTAATTCGCCTCGTGCACTCATACAAATTTATAAACGTATATCATTCTCTGTCAAATTCAATAAAAATCACCTTGAATTGATTTTTTAAACGTACATTATTATGGATGTTTCTTTTGACCACCAAGCAAGTGTATATTTAGATACAGTTAATCGAAATAAAAGTGCCGCACCTTTAAGATCAATTAGTACCGAAGATCCATCAGTAACAACTGTATTTGATCCAATTGTTAATAGGATAAATTCTATTGAAGAACGCTTAAATGCATCAGATTCTATCTTCAGACTTGCAGCTCAGTCAAACACAATCAAAGATAAAGAAAGAAGAGAGCAAATTAGAAATTTATCTCAATACGCAAATCAATTAAATCAAAGAATAGACAACATTGAAAACCAACTTAAAGGTATTCAAGATATGGTTATAAAAACAGTTGATGAAGAATATTCTAAGAATGATCAGACAGCAGCTATTAAAGCTCTCATTGAGGAATCAAAAGCGAAATTTACAGATAGGTTTTCTAAACTAGAAGCTTTAATCTTAGAAAGTAACAAGAAAAATACAAAAGCTATTAAAAAGCTTAAAAATCAGTTGCAGATCATCCAAAGTACACCACAGGATGATCCACAAGTTGAAGAAATACAAGCTCAGATTGCTGAGATGAAGAGATATCAAGATAATGTAATGCAGTTAATGAGAACCGCAATGCAACAAAGTGAGCATGACTACGGTCAGGTTGCAAGTGAACTAAACGGTGTTTGGTCGCAAATTGCAACAAAAAGAGTCTAATTAAGAATTGTAAGTAAATATTGTTATTTTGTCATTTTTCTTTTTTAACTATCATCAAATTCTAAGTTATGGAGTATTCCGCTCTTGTCTGTAAAGAAAAGTAGGAAAATCATCACAATTGTAAAAATTATGAAAATTAGCTTATTATTACAAGGATTGAAATCTAAAAAGCCTTCAAATTTCTTCTCTATTTCTATTTCACGCATTTTTTCTTGAGTAGGAGTTTCTCCGTAAATCGGAACACCAGATGCTTCAATTTTTTCAGAAAGAAATGTTTTAAAGTTTTCGGTATACGTACTGATAGATTCAGGCATTGATTGTAGAAATGTTCTGCATACTTCTCTAAGAAATTCTCTTTGTTTCTCTTCAAATCTCATTGGCTGAATGATAGAGGCAATAAACAGAGCAGCCGAATTACTTTCACAACAATGATTTTGTATTATTGCAGCTGATTCTTTCATATTTCGCGTAGGTGGTGATTTAATAAAAATTTCAACAATAACTCTTCGTTCTAATGACGAAAATTCAAATTTTCTTTGGATAAGTTTCTTCATTAAGATGATGGCGATATGCTTTGTTGGAATATTTTGATAAATTTTTGAAAAACAAATAACTACAACATCAGAGTATGATTGCATTACTTCAAAGTCTTCATTTATCAATGCTTCAATCGTGGATGCACATGTTTTTGGATTATTTAGTTGCTTTGCAATTGTTGGAATGAAAATTTGGCTTGCCATTTTATTAAGTGTGTCATTTGGATTTACAATGCATCTAGAAAGCATGTTGTTTCTATAATGATCGTTCAATTGCAGTGTAAGTACTTTAAAACTCATGATTAAAATTCCGAAAAGTGACGAATGAATCCAGATTCGTTCTTTTTGGAATAACAACCCATCTTCACAATAACTCCATTCATTGTAAATTGAGACTGCGATCCCCCTTTACAATCATTTGAATATCGAGTGATTTTGATAATACGAATACCGAGTCTCAATACTTTGGAAATCACATTTACATGATCTAAGGAATCCAAATCCATGATATTGTTACTGATATTGGATTCAATTTTGAATTCCTATTGGAAAAAAATACTCATGATTATAAAACAATAATGATAAATCAAATCAATTCTTATATCTCTATACAAGGAACTTGAACTTTTTTATTTGTTGAATTTTTTTTTGCACGTTTGATGTTTGAGATCGGTTATTAAATTTTATGGTAAAGCTCTTATTTGAACGTGTTTATTATTACTGGCGCCATGCCATGTACGGGCATGTTCACATACTTTGTGCCTCATTCATTAAGAACCAAGGATCTGATCCACAGTTCTTGATTTGGGATGCACTTGCATCTGGAGCTGAAGGCAAAACTAGCGCTGGTTTGGCAACTCTCGACAAGCTCAAGTCAATGCTACAAGCACAGCTCGCAATAGCATACGCAAAACTATGGATCCACAAGCAAGCAAAAATGCAAGATTTTGCTTCAATTAGTGAAATTGAATCAACCTTAGACGGATTAAAGAATTCAGCATCAGCATCATCGATCATTCAAGCAGCTCAAATTTGTTGGTTAACACGAGATTATGAAACAGCTTTCAATCTTGTACAGCCGCTGACTTCTACTCAACCAGCGAACAAGGACGCATCAGCTCTTGTTGGCTGGATTAAACTTACAGAAGGTGACCGAAATAGCGGCCGCTGGTTCGATCTTGCAAATTCCGACGCTTCTGTTACTGCTAGGAACATCGATCCATTCGTTATCTACGGCAAAGCATTATACTTCGCAAATGTTAACAAATGGCAAGAGTCATTAGCTTCTCTTGTTCAATTATCCGGAATTAGTGATTTCCCAGAAGCGAACTTAGAAAGGGCTCGTGTATATCTGTCATCGAGAAGCTGGGAACTTGCATTAGAAGCTGCTCAAGAAGGCGCAGGACATTACGTCAGCGACGCAGAGATTCATTTTCTGACTGTCCTTTACGAATTAGGCATTACAGGAAATCTTGAAAGTGCCAGGAATTCAACAAAGAGTTTGTGCGAAGTTATTGCTAAATACGAAGCCGAAAATGCAGAATATATCGCTCATGTTACACAAGTCATTCTTGGCTTATCCTGGTCTGATAGACAAATCGTCGATTCATTGCTTAGCTTATTCCCACGCGTTGTAGCCTCCAATCAAGAGAATCCGAATATACAAAACGTATATGGCCGTCTTTTGATTGCTGTTGGCCGCGCTAAGGAGGCTGTTGAAGTTCTCCAGCAAGCAGTCGTCCTCGATAGCGAAAATGACAACGCTTTCTCCGGACTTGTCAACGCATATATTCTTATGAACAACATGGCCGATGCCCAGAGCCAATTGGACTTCCTAGAAGCCATGAACGGCACGAACGGTCCTGGCCTTGCACTTCACACTCTCAAGCAAAAGATCGCTAGATTGAACAGATTACCGCAAGATGTTGATTCTCTTCTCGGCGCAATGAAGAGCCACGTCGAAACAGTCTACAAGAAACTCAATACCTCAGTACAATCGGAAGGAACTCAATACAAAATACAAGTCGACAGATTTACAGATATGATCATTATTTTGAAACTTCCTGATTTCGAGGATGCAATGACAGAAGCCATGGAGCATTGTTCAACACTGGATAAGACAGTTCCTGATCCAAGAAACGGTCCAGTTTGCGATCTTATTGAAATGATGCTTGATTTCGTTCCAGGAGCTGTTCCTTTCTCATACTACCTTGCTATTCTTGGTTATGGTGAAGGCCGCTACGTACAGGCCACAAAAGCCATCCAATTTGTGTTGAATTCTCATTGGGGATACAATGCATCGCATTGCCACTTGTTACTTGCACAAATCAGATTGCAGATGAAGCAGTTTGATGAAGCCGAAGCTGCTCTCAACAGAGCTGTCTCTTTTGACTTCGGAATCAGATCATCCCTCAGATACAACATGATTATGGCCCAATTATGCGATTCCCATGGCCAATACGATAAAGCCGTAGAGACAGCAACAAACATTACTAAAACAGGAGAATACATCGCAGCCAAATCTCCTGAAAAATTAAATGTCATTTTGTTTATCGCTCACGTCCACAAGAGAGCCGGAAACTTCAATGCAGCATTAAGCACTGTTGACGATGCACTCACAAATTTCACAGAACCAGACCAAGTCGGCCAAATTAAATTATTCAAAGCGTCACTTTTGGCAAAAAGTGACTATGTTCCTGACGGTCTTGCCATTTTAGATTCCTTTGATCAGAAGTCTGAATTATTCTCCGCAGCATGTAAATCAGCCGCCAAGATCTATCTGAACATACTTAAAGACAAAGCCGCCTACATCAAATGTTTCAAACAACTCGCAGAAGTTGTTCCGAACAAAACAAACTTTTTGTTACTTGGCGATGCATTGATAAACGTTAAGAGATTTAACGAAGCCGTTGAATGCTTCAAGAAGGCTTTGCAGGATGATCCACGCGATGGACAAGTTGCTCTTCATCTTGCACGTGCATACATGATTGTTCACGCGTTTGATGATGCTCTTGAAGCTTACGACCACGCGATCAAAGTTTCCAATGACAACAAAGTTCTTCTGGAATATTGCAGAACAATGTACAAACTCAGAAGATACCCAGAAGCACAAGAAATCGTTGGAGAAACAATGGATAACATCGATCCTGATTCCGCTGACTGGGAATCTGTTTTCATTTATGCTCAATTCGCTGAATTAATGTCTTTGATTGAATTGGCTGATGGATCTGATGAAAACTCCAGTGAATATCTATCAGACGCATTGAAATGCTATGATAGATTGACTGCTCCAAACAGAAATGATATCCCTGGCGATAAAATGTTGGAAGTAAAAACAAAAGCATCGACATTATATCAAAAGAATGCAGATGCTTTGTTACAACAAGATAACCGTGAAGAAGCAATCAAATGCTTAAAGAAAGCAGCAGAATTAGATGATTCTTCATCAAAGGCATCATTGCAACTCGCGAAATTATTAGTTGAAGATGATAAAACTCAAGAAGCTGTTGAAATTTGTCAACAAATATTGAGAACTAATCCGAAATGCGAGGAAGCAACAGTTATTCTTGCCGACATCAACTCTAATGAGTCAATACAAGAGTTGCAACAGACATTTAACGAGAATCCAACATTCTTTAGAACACTTGTCAGATTAATAGAATTATGTGCAAGAGCCGGCCAATTATCATCGATCCCTGAGTATTTAGAGAAATGCGATAAATCATTGGGTGGCTACACTTTCTGTTTAGGATTGTACGAGTATTACATGGGCAATCCACAGAAGGCCATCGAGCATTTCTATTCATGCAGGAATGATCCTGATTGGGGAGATGTTGCCCACATTTACATCTTCCACATCAAAGCAAATCCATCTCAGAAATTTGTTTGGTGCGAAGAAAAACCATTGGCAATGCAGAAAGACATTGACGGTGCAGAGAATACACTCAGGAAATTCAGAAATGCAGGACACGACACACAGATGATGGAAGCAACACTTTTGTTATCAAAGAACACACAAGAAACTGTTCAACAAGCTTTGGAAATTTATCAAAGCATGAAAAGTGACGCTCCTGATGTATTGATTGGAATGTGTCGATGCTTCATCAGATTAGGTCAACAACAACAAGCAACGAGATACTTGAATTCATTAATTCATGATAAACCAATTGCTTCCGAAATAACAAGCTATGTTGAAGCGTTTTTGATGATGACTTATATCTCTATCAAAGACAACATTTTGGATGATGCTGAAGAATACGTTAACAAGGCAGTTAACCTTGATAAGAGTTGCAGAAAGGCTTGGGAAATGATGGCACAGATCTACGAAAAGAAGAAACTCCACGAAGAAGCTGCAGCAGCGTTAAGTACTGCTTGGGAACTTACTTCTAAAACTGATTGTTACATCGGTTACAAACTTGCTTATAACTATATGAAGGCACAACAACCTGTGGAAGCAATTAAAGTAGCAAGAGTTGTTTTGAAAATTCACCAGAATTACCCGAAGATCAAAGAACAGATTCTTATCCCTTGCTGCGCACAGATTAGACCATAAATTTATATATTCTATTTTTATTTTTGTATTATTATCACTTTTATATTTATTAAATAAAATCGATTTATTTGTTTTAAGAATTTATTAATCTATTTGCAAACAAAAAGAATTATTCAAGAAAAAAATTCATTTAATTTGAAGATTATGATATTTATCTACTTTTATGCCTTGAGTTTTATGTTCATTTGCTTAGTTTCGAAAGTCTTCATCCAAAATTTCATCCGTTGGAAAATTCCAATTCGAAATAACGTATTTTTTCAATAAAATGAATTTGATGAATAAAATCAGCCTTATAATGTATGGTTATTAGAATTCGAATAAATTTGTGCTCAAAATTTTCCAGTTTTTCGTAAATGCACAAGACAACGTCTCCTCAGATAGGAGATGCTCCTTGTCATCGCGATAGACGTGAAAGGTATCTTAGAAAATATAAGAATTGGGGACCGAAACCAGTTGAAAGGTCCTTGGTAAAAACAGGAATTCAAGAATTAGAGCCATATGTAGAAAAACCTCGCAAAAGCGCACCGCATTACTTATCTGAAAATCATCCAGTTACTAGATCTGTAAAAATAGAACCAGAAAATACAAGTAATTTAACAATTATTAGATTGGGTGAACCGAATGTAGTCATGATAGATAGACAGTGTAGAACTCCAACAATCCCATCAAGATTAAAGATAAAAACTTCAATGACACCTAAATCACATACCTCAACTCGTGAATACGATCATTCTAAATCTTTATCATGGAAATATTATGGAGAAGTCGATAACCAAATGGGTTGCTTAACTGAACACATAAGAGTTCGACAAACTCCAAGATTATACGCTCATACTGCTTTGTTTTCTTCTCGAAATCCTAGTTCGTTGTTAACAACCCCAACAAATAGCTCTTCCCGTTTCCAAACTACATATTAAGTTATTTAACAAAATCATCATAGATTTTGTCCTGAATTGTTTTCCGTTTTACGATATATAATCATTATTTACAAATGGTTTTAATCATGCTTGTTTTTATTAATTAAAATATTGTTTATTAAATATATCATTTATGATGAAATTTCGTTACTTGATAATAGCATTAATCAAGAAATAATCATACATATAATCTGTGATTACTCTGAATCAGTAGTTTCATAACAAATCAAAAAATAATTTTTAACCAAGAATTATGATTAACTTTAGATGATTTATAAAGTATACTCTAAGTTAACAGGTTGCTTTGTTTTCTATTTTTTATGTTTTTATGTTTGATGGCTTCAAAACTTTTTTCACCTCATTAAAAGTGGCAATTTCATAAGGTATTTTATTTTCATTATCTTTTGCATTAATATCTGCACCATGCGAAACAAGAAATTCGACAATCCAAGTAATTGAGGATTCTGCAATGTAATGAAGAATTGTTTTTCCGTTTTCATCTTTTGCATTGATATCAGCACCACTCAAAATTAATTTCTCTATTGCATCACAAAAACAATTTTCTGCTGCCATATGAAGAGGAGTTTTCCCTCTAATATCCTTCGCATTAATATCTGCGCCATGGGAAATAAGAAATTCCATAATATCTATTCGATCTTGGTTTTGAGAAGCAATATGGAGGGCAGTTTTATCACTGTTATCATTGGCATTAATATCTGCTCCATGAGAAGTAAGAAGTTTAACTTTATTATCTAATTCTACCGAATAATGCAGCGGCGTTTTCCCACTATTTTCTTTAATATTAAGATCCGCACCGCGAGAAACAAGAAGTTTTGCAATTTCATTGCAATGATTTATGATCGCGATATGAAGAGGGGTTCTACCATTAATATCTTTTGAATTGATATCTGATCCATTAGAAATGAGTAGCTCACACATATTATTCTTATAATTATTTTCACATGAAAAATGAAGTGGAGTATTATTTTCGTTATCCTTTGCATTGACATCTGCACTATGTGCAATCAGGAATTTTGAATTGGTTGCGTTACCATATAGTGCAGCATAGTGAAGAGCTGTTTTTCCAGAAATATCTTTTATATTTACATCTGCACCATTGACAACTAGATATTCGAGTACTTCGCTTCTATAGAAATAAGATGCAATATGAAGTGGAGTTTTCTCGTCTCTATCTTTCATATTAATGTCTGCACCATTTTTTAAAAGAAGTTCAATTGTTCGGTTTCCGTCGGCGCATTTTACTGCATAATGAAGTGGAGATTGTCCATATTTATCTTTTAAATTAACATCTAGTCCATGTGAAATTAAAAGTTCTGTTAAGTCATAGCATTCCTTATGCATTGAGGAGATATGTAGAGCAGTTTTATTATCAGAATCCTTGGAATTAATGTCTATACCATGAGAAATAAGGAGTTCTAGAATTTCTTTATCGATAGCTTTTTTAACTGCAATATGGAGAGCTGGGTTTCCATTTTCATCTTGTACATTAACTTGAGCTCGATGAGATAATAGTAATTCTATAATTTCTTTAGAACTATTATTCTCCAGCGCAATAAGGAGGGCTGTTCTTCCATGTTTATCTTTAAAATTAACATTTATGCCATGCGAGATAAAACACTTTATTTCTGGTTCATATCTATGTTCAACTGCAAGATGAAAAGCTGTCTTTCCCGATTTGTTTGTTAAATTGGTTTTTGCACCATGAGATATAAGCAATTCTACAATTTCTTCACCTTTCCCTATTGCATAATGAAGAGCAGTATTTTCATCCACATCTTTGATATCCAAATTTGCTCCATGTGTAATAAGAAATTTTGATATTTCGCTTCGATTATTTTGTATGGCAACATGCAGGGCTGTACTCCCATCAATATATTTTGTATTTACAAATGCTCCATGTGCTAATAGATCCTCTAATATAATTTTGTTATTATTTTCTACTGCAATACAGAGAGGAGTTTCCAGTTCTGAATTTTGTGCATTAACATTTGCACCATGAGAAAGAAGTAATTCAACTGTTTCTTTACAATTATTTTGTACAGCTAAATGAAGTGCTGTCATTCCATCTCTATATGTGTTATTTATAAAGTTTTGATAGTCTTTCGATTGATTGAATATCAACTCGCATATTTCCGTATTATTATATGCGGCTGCATACTGGAGAAAAGAACCAGGATTACAATCATTTGAAAAAAGGGGATGTTCTATTTGATGGGAGAAGTTCGTTTTTGATAATATCGAATGTCTGTGGAAATGCAGCACGCCATGGCATTATTAATCTTTTATCTTTTTTATAAAGAAGAAAAACTGCTTTCAAGTTTTGTGATTCAATAATGACATTAATATCAAGAAATTCCTCTTCAAATAAATCTCTTTCAAAGATGAATTCCAAGAATTTATTATTATGAGATCCAACAATGTATCGAAAGCATCCACTATCAATTTTATTATATTTCAGACATTCATTGATTATATCAGTATTTCCACCAGCAAATGAATATTCAAGGCATTCATTTGTGATTTCCTGATTTAAATTAGAAATCAGGAAATTAAAGATATTCACAGATCCATAATAACAGCAAGCTTCAATAAGTTCAAGACCAATTATTCCAGAGGTTCTTATAAGAATGTCATCCAATGATCTTTCAGTAACAAATTCTCTGAATTTTTCGATTTGATCATTCATAATAATGTAATCAATTTCATTTTCTTTTGGAAAATTTGTTAGATAATTAAGTTGATAGACATTATCATCATTAATAGAGAATTCCAATAGAATAGCACTTGTATACAAAATATCTTCTTTTTTCAAGCTTGATGGCGTGATTGAAAATTTCGATAAGATTTGATTGATAATTCTGATATAAAGATTAATAGCTCGATAATTGTAATTGATAGCTTTGAATAAACTCATAATAAGATCAGAAATATTCATTCGGTATTTGGAAATTAAGACAGTAGTTATCAAATTCAAAATCTCTTGATCGGATTCGGACGATGTTAAGTGAAAAATCGTATCATACGTCTCAATAAATTCATCGTATTGTTTGAAAAACTCCTGATTCATATAGAAAGATTATGCTGAATTCGGACCAAATGTCACTTTTTATTTATCATTATTGTAAATACTAAATTTCGAAAATCAATGAGAAATAAAGTAACTTAATAGTATTTGGAAATATTTGTAAACTGATAAATAATTTTCCACAAGGCTTGGAAAAGGATCCAAACTATTTAATTAAAAGAGATACAAAATTACAAAAACGGTTAAACCTTACATTTATTCGATGAAATCGATAAAGATGAAGAAAAAGCGTGCTCTTGGGATGGTGTTGGTGCCAGACTTGGTGGAAAATGTTCATATCTTGCTGTTATCTCGAAGGATAGAATTATGGAACTAATCCATTTTCAAAATAGTCTAAATTAATTGATTCTTTTAAACAATATAAAATATATATTTTATTTAAACAGAAGAATGCTCATGCTCTTTGCCAAGATTCATTAGATACTCTGCAATATCTTTACTAACTTCATCCTTAGATGCGATTTGAAGCGGTGTTTGATTTTCATTATCTTTGGCATTGATGTCTGCTCCATGTGAAACAAAAATCTCTGCCAATGCCAAAATATGAGTAGATGCTACATAATGAAGAACAGTTTTCCCATCAATATCTTTTGCATTGACATCACAACCATTTAAAATAAGATGTTCACAGACATTAAAATTAAGACAAAATTTTGCGGTTGCTATATGAAGAGGAGTTCTTCTTTTGTTATACACGATATTAGTATCTGCACCATTCTTAACAAGAAATACAAGCATTTCATCGTTAAAGAAATGATGTGTAGCATAATGAAGAGGAGTTTTTCCTTTTTTATCTCTAATATTGATTTCGGCTCCATGAGAAACTAGCAATTCGGCTGTCTTTTTAATATAGGGTGTCCAAAGGTGCGTTTAGCACAGCGCTCTATATGAGACTATTAAAGGAGATATATGCTGATTATAAATATATAATAAAAAATATGAATATATGTATATGATGAGTATGTTGTATTTTGGCGCCATGCCGGGATATAAAATGAATTTTGAGACAAGAGGCGGTTTCGCGGGAAATTTTGGCGGGATTTTTTTCATTTTTTTAATGAATCATAAAGAAAACATCCTCGCTCTTGCAAAAAAATGCAAAGACTGTAAAAAAATCTACGAGACATTGGTAAAATGCTTCGGTATGGATGCTCCTAGCTATTCCACTGTAACGTATCATGTTAGGATGTATCACTTCATGAACAAAAAGGCGCCCATCATAAAAATTGACAAAAAATCGCCGGATCAAAGAAAAATCAAAGCAATTCTTCAAGCGCTAGATGAAGACCCAAGAGCATCACTCAGAAGGATAGAGGAGATGACAAAGATACCACGTACAACAGTCAGTTATTATCTGCACAATTATTTGAACTACAAACTAGCGTATACACGTTGGGTTCCGCACAACCTTAATTCAGTTCAAAAAAAATCTAGAGTCCAATCTTCGAAAGAGCTCCTCTCTATATTGGGTGCGTATCAATCCAAGAAGTTTCGCTTTTTAGTAACAGGGGACGAGTCTTGGTTTCAATATGCAACAGAATCCAAAATCATGTGGATCCCGAAGGATGAAAATCCGCAAACATTCCCGAAGAAAAAAATTGACACAGCAATGATGATGTTGTCGGTTTTTTGGGGCGTGAATGGCATCATCGCAATTGATATTCTTCAAAAACCTAATACGATGAATGCTCAGTATCTAATTGACAATGTTCTTACTCAAATTATCAATTCTGATGAGTTTGAGAAATCCAAACAACAAAAACAAAAGTTTGCAATTCATTTTGATAATTCAAGAGTTCACAAAAGTCATAAGGTAATGAATTACTTGGTGGAAAACAATGTCAAAGTTGTTCCAAACCCAATTTATTCACCTGATATTGCACCCTCTGACTTTTATTTATTCGGCACGCTAAAAAAGAGAGCTGAAGGACGCGAATTCGCGAGTCCAGATGATCTTGAAAATTTTGTAAGAGAGCAATTTGAGCAATTTTCTCATGATGATTTAAAGCGTGTCTTTCAAGCCTGGATCGATCGCTGCGAACGCGTGATTGAATCCAATGGTGATTATATTTAAATAAACTTTATATATATGTAACTTGTTTATTTCTATTCGCAGTATTCAGGTTTGTGCTAAACACACCTTTGGACACCCTATATTTGACAAAATCTAGATTTCCATGATATTTTGCTGCAAAATGAAGAACTGTTCTTCCTTGTGAATCTTTTGAATGAATATCTGCTCCAAGTTCTAGAAGACTTTCAATTAATTCTGGACGCCATTTTTTTAATGCGAGAGGAAACATTGTTTTCCCCTTCAAATTTTTTAGATTAATATCTGCTCCATGTTTTGCAAGAACATTTATTGGTCCACTACTATATTGCTTGAATGAATAATGAATGGCTGCATTCCCCTTTCCATCAAATATATCAGTTTTTGCACCTTTGGAAAGGAGAAGTTCCATTGATTCGAATCGACAACCTTCTGTCGCTATATGTAATGCAGTTTGTCCATCATTATCTTGTATGTTCATATCTGCCCCTTTTTCAATAAGTATCTCTGCTATTTCTGTATATTCATAAGCGGAAGCATAATGAAGAGCTGTTTTCCCCTCATTATCCTTTGCGTTGATATCTGCACCGTGTGAGATAAGACTAATTATTAAATGTAAGGAATTATAATTGATTGTTCCAAAATGAAGAGGAGTTTGTCGGTTTTCATCCCTTGCATTGACATCAGCTCCGCCAGTAATGAGTTCATAGAATGTAAAAGGTGTACTATTACTTTTTGCAGAGTAATGTAGAGGAGTTTCTCCTTTAGAATCTTTTGCATTAACTTGTGCACCATTTTTTATAAGGAGTTCAGCTATTTCTGAATGATCCACATCGGCGGCAAAATGAAGAGGTTATGCCCCTGAATCACAGACTGCATTGACATCAGCACCGTGAGAAATAAGAAATTCCACTATCTCTTTGCGTTCGTAATCAGCTGCATAATGCAGTGGAGTATAGTTTTCATCGTCCTTTGCATTGACATCTGCACCAAATAAAGTCAGAAGTATAACACACTCGAAGCAATTCTTTTCCGCAGCGACATGAAGAGGAGTCCATCCAGAATTACCTTTTGCATTAACATCTAAATGATTTTTTGATAATCTTTCCAATAAATATCTGCAAATTTCAAAATTATTAAACATCGAAACATAATGGATCATGTTGTTTCCAGTGGGTGTCTTTTTTGTAAAATCAAGTTCTTCGTTTTTAATGATTTCGAAAGATTGTTGGAATGAAGCACACCAAGGAATTATTGAGCTTTTATCTTTTTCAAACATTAAAGACATGGCTTTCAGATTTCGTGAAAAAATAACATCTTTATAATCCATTTTTTGGGATCGTACAAATCTCTATCTAAAATAAATTTGAGATAAGTATTGTTATGAGAACTAATAATATTTTCTATGCAAGTATCATCAATTTGATGATGCTTCAAACATTCATTAATAATATCAGTATTTCCTCCAATAAATGAGTATTGAAGACATTTTTGTGTCAATTCAACATTTAAAGTTGAAATCATGAAAAAGAAAATGTTAACAGAGCCAAAAAAGCAACATGATTCAATAGGACTTAAATAATCGATAGGAACATTTAATGATACATTTTTAAAGTATTGTTAGAGATATACTCTTTGAATTTGTCAATTTGATCATACATAATGAAGTAATTCACATGATCTTCATCTGGAAAACAATGTTTATTATATTTAGCTTGGAGGCAATCCTCATATTCATCATCGTAAAAATAAACAATTTTATTATCATTCTGTAAAATATCATTTTCGAACTCGTCAATATTATTGTCTTGAAAAATTTGATTGATGATATTGACATAAAGTTGAAGTGATCGAAAAATATACTTTATTGCATTGAACAAATTAGCTGTGAGATCTATTATACTAATTTTAGACTTTTTGAATAAAATTGTTTCGATTAAATTTATAATTTCTTCTGCAGACTCCGTGGATTTAAGATGATAGAGCTTATCATATGTATCCATGAGGTCTTCATATGGTTCAAAATACTTTTGAGTCATTTTTAATAAATTTGATAACACAGAGCTTTGGACCAATTGTCACTTTTTTCTGCATAAAAAAAGTAAACGTTTTATTTTTACTAATCTAAACTGTTAACTCTGACCTAAATCTGATCAATTATGAGGTAATCGGGTATATAAAACAAAGATTAACTCAAAAATAAAATTTGAAACTTTTTATAACTCACAAAATTCAAGATTCTTTTTCGAAAGTATTCATTTTTTCATTAAAATATATAATTTATTTTATTCATTGAAGGTAAGTAATAATAAATCATTAGAGTGTCTCAGATGTAACGATGGTTCCGCCCCATTCGATGACTGTGAAGCCATCACGATTGAATGTTGGAAGTTCTTGTGGTTCGACGTCGCATGGACTCTCTAGAGGGAGAGCTGCGAAGAAAACTCTGTTGACGTTGTCTGGCTTCGGCTCAACGTTCATTGGACACATGCCGTCGAAGTTTTTGAACTGGAAGCATACTTTGACATATTTGTATCCACAAAGCTTCGGACACCAGTATGTGACGAAATCACATATCTCTGCGTCGTTGAGGTTCATAGACTTCAGTTTATCCTCGAAGAAAGAAATACTATCTTCGCCTTTGATGATGAATCCTTTGTTCATGTTGAGATTCGGGTAAAAGAGTGTTTCCCAGAAGAGATATCTCATCTTCTTTCCTCTGTGGACGATCTCGCCTGATGGGAGTGCTTTCACATTCCACGTGTTATCTTCGTCGAATGAAGGATACACGAATGAAAAATCACCATCATTGATATTGATACTTACTTTTGCATTGGTTTCTTCCTTTGGATACAAATAGATTACTGGTTTTGCACCACGTAATCTTAAAACAAGCGAAATTGTGGCTCCATTATGGATATTATAATCTTTCAATGTATATCCATCTTCCATTTGTTTTCCAGCAAAATATAGCTTTTGCTGATCTGGAGGGATTCCTTCTTTGTCTTGAATTCTATTTTTCAAATCTTCAACACTACAATTGAAATCAATGTTATCAATTATATAAACTTTTTCAGTTTGAGACTTAATTGTAATTGAATTTGCTGAGCTTGGAAGAGGAACAGAAGATTGGGACTTATGATTTTTGGTTTCCGAAATTTCCCCTTGAAGCTTGTTTTGATAGAAAGAAAATAGTGAATCAAGAATTTGAATTCCGAGGATTGATGAAATTGTTTCAGAAATTTCAGAAGCTTCCTCTTGACTATTGAAATCTTTTAAGCGTGCACGACTAAGCATCATTAATATGTCTGCTTTTCCATGATAATTTGAAAGAGTTGTGAATAATGTTGCAAATTCGCAAGGACTTAGTTTTGCAAAACTAAGAATTTTAGCTATCTGTTGAGGACTTCTTGCCGATAAGAATGTATCGTTATCAATATAATCAGATATATTTCTAGCAATCTCTTTCAAGTCTGGCTCCATGAAAACTAAAAATGAAATGAAAAAATTATTGACTACTTTTTCAATATTTGAATGTTTTTTTTTGACTTTGCCTAGAAAAGTCAAATGCTTTAAGGCTTCACTAACATGACAAAAATTAAAGTCCCTTGAAATATATATTCTATGAATCATAGTATGATGTATATCAATGCTATATTTATCATTATTTTTAATTTTTATTGACCCACCCAAAAAAACCTTTTTCCACTAACATGAGTTATAACGTGCTTTTTCTGAAAATGATAGACTATGATTAACATATATATCGTAGAGCATATTTTTCATCTTTTTAAAAATTTTGAATATTTTTTTGTCATGTTAGTGAAGCCTTAAGGATAGATGAGTTTAACAGATTCATTATTAGTATTTACACTTAAAAGCGAAATGTCTCAATCTTCTCATTAGAATTCTTCGTTTCTTTTTATAAAGATATTCCACTTCATATCTGGACAATGGGTTTTACACAGGGTACAAAAAAAGCGCAAAAACGATTATTTAAAATTGAAAACCTGGATATTCATACAACATTGAAGGAGTGGAATATAAGTATAAAAAGAATCGAGGTATAATGACTAATTAATTTCAAAAACAAAAACCGATTGTATTACTTTCTCATTGAATTTTACAAACACAATTGTATTATGGTTTCCAGTTAAGGCTGCACTTACGCCTATCTGACTTTAATTCAAATTTTCAACAAATGGTGTGAAGGGTCATTGAAAATTATCCTTAAACATTTGAATTGAAGGATGCCTCATAGGTGCGTAAGTGCAACCTTAAAATCTTATATGCATTATGAACATTATAATCTTTCAATGTATTTCCATCTTCCATTTGTTTTCCAGCAAAAATTAGTCTTTGCTGATCTGGATGGATACCTTTTTTGTCTTGAATCATATTTTTCAAATCTCCAACCCTATGATATGATTTCTAATAAATGGCAATTGTCAATTAAAAAAAATTACAATTTTTCGCGTGACTTTTTCCCTCAATTTTTGAAAAAGTCAGCGCGAAAAATTTGAGTCTTTTGATCTTCAAAAATTTTGAGGTGAAAAAAGAATTTTTTTGATAAGATATAGAAATTTTATTTTTTAGTAAATAAAATAAATTTTACAATTTGAGGTTGAAAACGCTTGTGAAATACTTTCCGTCAGTAGTATTATCTTCAGCAGCATTATGTTTGTAGTTAGTGAATTGGTTAACGAAAATTGCACCGTCGTATTGTACGTCGTATCTTCCAGTAATCAACAACTCCGGAGCGTATTCGTTCATGTTCTTGATCAATTTGTCCAAATTCTCGAATGGTTCGAGCGGCATGTTATCAAACAACTGCTGAGATTTCTTGGAAACACCTGTGTCAGCCAAGAACTTTGATCCCTTTGGAGCATCAGAAGGTTTGTAAGCGAACAAAGGAGGGAAGCTTTCTGGTGTTTCGAAGGAATAACTTGTTATGCTTCTTTCAGGAATTTGTACTTCAACATATTTAGGAACTGAATTTCCTTTTTCTTTCTCTTTTTCTGCGATTCCAACTCCTTTCGTGTTAATTGTTTGCAGCAATGAATTCTTTGTTGGAGCGTTCTCTGGGTTATCATCTTCCGCTGCTTCTCTTGCGATGTTTTCGATGTGGCATCCTTTGATATTCTTCGCATTGTTTGCAACTGTGATACATGCCAAATAAACTGGGTCGTATCTGTATCTTCTCAATGCAATTTTAACTTGGTCGAAGATATCAATGACATCTGCAATTGCTTCGACGTTTAATCTCTTCGTTGCGTCCTCAATGACTTTCATTCTTTGTGTGTGTGCACCAGCAGATCTCATAGATGCCAACTGTGTCAAACACTTCTGTAAGTCGAGAGAATCACTGCCCATGTGCGATGCCAATTCTGCGAAAAATAACTTGTCATCGAGAGGGAACAATTCTTCGAGAGGAGGAACTAACAAAGCTAATTGCAAGGCACCTTTATCTCCTGCCAATCTAGGGTATTTCGAAAGCCTTGTCAATAAATCAACTAACAATGTAACAGAGGTTTTTGTAAATGTGGATCTGGCCAAAAGTGAAATGAAACCGTTAAATGAACTAGGAATTGTTATTGCGGCTTCTTTCATTGTTTTCTCATCATTCAACAATGCTGAAATAATCTTTAATAAATGATCAATGATGTTCAATGCTTCCGTACACTGTAATAACATCGCTGCCAACCAGAACAAGTCACTCAATGCGCTATCAGGTTTAGAATTACTCAATAACTTGTTTACCGCACTTGACAATGTTTCTGTAACGACTTCTATGTAGTTTTGCGCTGTTACTGAGTCTTCTGCTGTTGGTGCTTCGTGTAACATGTTCACAGCCATTCCGAGGGATCTCGTGAGACTCAGAATTCCTTCTGTCGTTACAGGTGTCAGTGTCTTTCCGTAGAACAATGCTCCTCTTGTAGCAAGGCTCAAATCAGAGCAGCAACAAGCCCATCTCAAGCATTCCAAACCGAAAACTTCTTTGATGTCTCCAATGAGTTGCTCCATGAATTCTCCTGTTTGTACGAAGTTCGGAGCGAATCTAACAATCAAAGGAGCAGCTGATTCTGTGTAGATATCGATATTTATCAAAATAAATGCCAATATCCTCGCTTTGTGGAATGGCAAAATATTTGTCACGTTTGACAAAACTGACAAAAGAGTTTCAATTACTTCTATATAAGAAAACTCTCTTTGATCATCTGCGTGTTTTGAGAAATAGTGGTATCCAGAGATACCCAAGCAGTCTCCAATCAAATCAACTGTTCTCTCCGGCCATGTATTGATCAATGCGTGTAACATTGCTGATCTTTGCTCCATTTCTCCTGACGAAGCATCGGAAAACAACATTCTATAGAATAAAACTGTCAAAATGTCCTGTGTAAATCTCTCTTGGTTTGAGATGATTTTAGAGACAATTGTGAATGTTGATGGAGAAGAAGGTAAAGCAACAACAGCATCAATGAATGACAAAGGAGTGAAGGCGTAGAATGTTGGATCTCCTGCTTTTAATACTTGTGAACGTGGAGAAACAGAAACAGAAGCAATCCATGGAGAAATTAACTGTGAAAGTGCGGGAATTCGTGGCCATTTCATGATAAACTTGAACATGGTGGATACAAACTGTTCTGTAGCAAAGACATGTGTCGTTGACAAGGTTGTTGATAACATACAAACAGCTCCACCAGATAATTGTGAATGTCTTGACGAAATGATAGATTTGATGGAATCTAACGCATCAAGGACTTCATTCACTTCTTTTGGTTTAACTAACATAGCTAAAGTTCCAAGTGAAACATTGGCAAAAAGTGACAAGGCTCTTAAATGGACCTCTCTTGGGACTTCTGTGTTAGCTAAGTAGGCTAGAGCGATTGCGAGAAGGGAACCCGTCTTCTGGAGTATGGCTTCGCTTAGTTCTGGATAAGAATCTGTCTGGCCATTCTCCATGATGTTCTTCTTCCACTGGGCGACGCTTGTGAATGGCTTAAACATCAAGGCAATGGCTTGGAAATACGTGACTGACTGCATCTGGCGCTTCGGATGGCAGGATTCGTCGATATACATTGGCAATTGAGAAATATCGTGGTAAAGGAACGATGCAAGGATCGAAGGAGAGAATTTCTTCGCGGTAGAAACATATACACTCATTAACTGTTTGTCAGGAATGAGCATTTTTGTCATATCTGACAAAGTATCGGTTGCGAGCTGTTCGAAAGGAGTTGGCAGCATCTGGCAGACCCACGGCGGCCACTTATCTTTCTGGAAAACGTTGCTGTCGAGGAAGGATTCCAATTCGAACGGTCCAGGGAGATTTGTTGCATGATTCGTGTAGTACAACTGGGCAATATGCCTTAGAGTGATCAAAACATTCGAAATAAAGCCGTTTAAATGTGGCATTGTATCGAATTTTTTGAGATTGATGTTTCCGGTTGTATCTATGAAATTGATCGTATAGATATGGTTGGAAATCTTATCAAGGATGTCCAGAAGGAATGGGAAGTACTTAGACTCTTCTTCTTTGATTTGTTTGAATTCTTCTGAGGAAGTAACTCTCATCGCTGCGAAAGATATTGAGTAAAGGCTCCAAGGATCCTTTGTGTTCAATCCTAAGATGTCTGTACAGCTGCCAAGTGCAATTGTGGAGAATAATGCGCCGTGTTGTGAAGCGTAGTTCTCCTCTCTTGTTCTGGAGAATCTGTGTAGTATGATCATCAATGTCGCAAGGTTGTTCTTCTCTAAAATGTCTGGTGTAATGCTATTTGTAATAATTAAGGTTGCATTACGGGAAAGACAAGCATCTGCGCCGTTAACTAAGTTTCCTTTAATTATTCTGGTAAGAATAAGATGTAATCCGCATCTGCTTTCGGTCGAAATTCCTTTGACAAGTAAATGTGCGATTTGCGCTAAGTGGAACATATAAATAAATCCGTAAGCCGAAGTAATAACATCGTTAAATGTAATTTCCGGAAGATCTGGCTCCAATGTTGGGTCAAGAGAATTTTGAATTGTTACCAAAGCGTCGTAGTTGATTCTGTCCTCGTTATTCTGTATAAGCTCGTAGAGAATGTTGTAGTTATACGAAGATCTGTTCTTTATATCGAGTACATACTTGCAAGCCTTAAGAGTAACAGATCTGATGGCGTATGATGAGGCGCAGAGGCCTGTAATGTAGATATAATTAACGTTGGTGATAGTATCGTCGGTTAATCTGATATCTGACTCGAATGACATTTCAATAAGATGATTTACCAAAACGATGGTAATAAATAGGCCAAGATTCGAACAGCCGTTCTGAGAAGCGATCATATTTTCGAATACGATATTAATAATATCCGCAAATTGGTTATATTTGTAAGCAATAATTTCCAAAGCCAAAATGATAGCGATTGCGTTTCTAGGAGACACGGATGTTAATCCTGCGACCATTGCCTTGACAGGAATCGATTCGTACGGAAGCTCCGGCATAATCAAAGTCAATTGTAACAAAGCCTCATCAACGGAGCCATCGCTTGTCGTAAAAGGTAAATTAGAGTCATTGACGGTGAAGACTTCGGGCTTGTTCATTATGTGCAACGCTTTCTGCCAGCGATTTAATTGCTGAGTTATGGTTTTCGTTGGCTGTAGAGAGAAAGCGATTGGATGGCTTGAATCGAGGATCTTAGAAACAACGGAATCAGCGCCAACGTTGTACTCTTTGCATAGGGAAAGTGAAGATTGCCACATGTAGAGCTGGTTTGTGTTCACAGAGCTGTTTTCTATGAGTGTTGAGAGGATAGATGGGCATTGGCGTGCCAACATCTTGGTAATTTCGGTTTTGTCGCCTTTGTATTTCGAATCTTTTGAAATTAAAGAATGAATCGCGATGCAAACGCCTTCAATGTTCTCTACGAAGAAGGGGTTCATCAAGAAATTATTTAGTTTGTTGATAAATTCTTTGTCTGTGATGACGGCAATTTGAATAATGAATTTACTCAGTTCCTGCTGGGCAAATTTGAAGGAACCGTGGTGATCCAAGACGGCCTTCACAGCGTACTCAATAAATGCGTTGTCTGTCCTCTTGTTGTTCAGTGTCCATGAGAAATTGACACCTTGTTGTAAACCGTAGGGAGTTGCGTAGTTTAATCCGTTGATAAATTGCTGTAATTGAATAATAGCAGAAAATCCGCCGCTAACGTCGCCGATAATTGGATCTACGTACTTTTTTCCGTAATCAACAAAAGTTTGGGCCATTTTCTTATGAGTTGAGAAGTTGTAGAGCATGGCATGGAATTGGTGGCCATAGCCAAGGTATCCCTTTTGTCCTGTGTACGTTTTAGTAAAATTATTTGCCTTATAAATGAAATCGCTATTAGAAAGGGAAGAATTGTGAACCAATACTTGTCCAATAAAGTTTGTCAAGCATTGGAACATAGCTTCGATGGTTGTAGGAGGAACTTCTTTCTTCTTATAATATTTGACAATTGCTTCGATATATCCTTCTAAAACCTTTGAATTAAAATTGTTCATTTCGCTAATAATGATTTCGGAGAAGAGTATGAAGAATAATTCAACTTCGATTGGAGAAAAAGTTAAAAGTAATGACATTCGAGTAACAAATTCTTTGGTGATCCCTGGGCCTCTTAATTCGGAAAGAACTGATAAGCAGTGAGCGTAAATCTTGCAAGGAATGAGGTCGAAACGTTGATTAGCATCATTACGGACTGCGTCGATGAAAGAAAACATTTGGTTGCACATAAACTTCTTTTCTTCATCGCTTATGTTATTTCCTGACTCAAGACGAATGGAAAGGAACATGGCTTCGACAATTTCGATCAAAGTATTGACGGCAAGCTTTCCCCAGATGGTTTTACTATGTTCATCTGGTAATCGAGAAAGAAGTGGATGTCCTGACACGGATTCATCGTCTTGAGAATCTGTTAAGTGGATTTTTGGGAAGGCAATTTCAAGTAATTTGAAAGTATCGATGAATGCATTGGCTGAAATGCCTACAATTTGGGTAATATACTTTTTCAGACCATAGTCTCTTACCCAAAACTCTGTTAAAAACTTTTCGAAAGTTGAATAATTTAATTCTTCAGGAAATCGTGATACCATCTCCTGGCATATCATTGACATTGTTGTAGAAAGGAGTGAATTATCAATGTATGCCTGGAGAATACTTTTAGTTGACTTCATGAAGATTTAATTTTAAAATTTGAATATTAGTGGTGTGAAAAAAAAATTTTTTGATGTCAAATTATACCAATTATATACATTTAGGACAATTTAAGAGATACACTTTGTATAGTATACTATTGAAAAAATGATGAATTTGTAAACCTTTCAATTAGTTTTTAATAAAAAGGTGGTTCTATTTATCATACTTTAACTCTTTACATTATTGGCTCTGTAAAATTATTTTTTCCTGATATTTACATCGTCAATCAAAAATAACTATTGATCTGTAATATATGTTAATAAAACGTCCATGTTTTCAGATTATTTTCATTATGTATTCAATTTTTTTCAAAAAGAATTTGATTAATAATATCACGAATTATATGTGAAGCCATACCATTATGGTCCAAAAATATTTTAGATGTGAAAACTGCTTTGACAATATTCGTTGACAAATACCATCCAACAAAACTGACATCTGACTGTGAAAGTTCTTTCAAATCAGATGATGTAAAAAAACTATCTGCGTTCAAAAAATGTAAACCAATATTTCATTGTCGACCAAAACCATTCTGCTCTTGGTGTCATTGACGGATGTATAAAAATGTTAAGAGACTTAAACCAACCACAAGGTGGTGAAGCAAATGAAATGTCATATGACGACAAATATAGACACTTCTCCATGGCAAAGATGAGACAAGTTTTAAATATTTACAATAACCGTAAACAAAAAGGTTTGGGAAACCACTCCCCGAAGAAATGAAAAACAACCCTGACTTAGATAAAGACTATATATTTAATAATTTAGTCAAAAGAGACAAACAAGAAAGAATGCCGGGCTTCAAACTTCAGAAAGGTGACAAAGTAAAAAATAGAAATACCTAAACGCGACCCATATGAAAATACTATTGACTATGACAACAATGGGAACCCGACAGGTACTCACATTCGTGTTCGTAAAAATAGAAGAAGTATACAAGAGAATATTATGAAGTTTTAGGCAAACATGGCAAAATGTACACACTGCAAGCAGAAGATAAAACTACTATTGTCAGACCTCGTTTTCAAACTTGTCAAAGTTCACGGTGGTATACTTTCAAAGACAGTTCCTAAACAAATATAAGACAACTCCTGACGAATATGCAAAGAAGTTGAAAATGACGACTAAGCAATTCTATACCATGCGTAAACTGTCATGTAAGGTGGCATGTATTCTTTACTTTGTCCCGTTGTTTGTGTATATCCTGAAACGAAATGTGTATGGTTTCCTTCTCCCTGAGTGTCACTCCAGTAACAATTTATAGCAAACTTAACGTCGTCTTTAACATCATATCCTTTACCTTTTGTCATTCCTGACCAATCCCAATATCTATGCTTATGCCAACCTGCTTGAGATGTACTTAAATCTATGTAATGACTGTGTGCAGGTAAATTTTCACCTGAAATCGTTTTACTTCCACCTGTTTCCTTTGAAGAGTTTGCACAATACAAAAACCTGTCGACTATTTGTTCCCATGCACCAACACCAAACATTACTTGAGGACCTCTTGCATCCATAGATGTATAAATAGAACCTACTGGGTTCATTAAATCAAACATATGAGATATTATAGGATTGTCTCTTTTGAACTTAAAATATAGTGCAACTATTTCAGGTTTCTTCTGGTTTGTGTCAGAATATTTTTTATAATATAATCTTATGTTTTCAGGGTAGGTAAAATCTTGACTATAATATTTATTTCTGTCATCTGTATAATAATATACTATTCTCGTTTTTTCTATTGCATTATATCTTTTATATCTATAATAATCTAAATATAATGTTAGCTTTTGTTCATCTACATGTGGTGTTCTGTCGTCATCTCCATAGTCATAATAATGTGGTGCTGGAGCTGGGTCAGGCAATGTCATATCTGCCATTTCATAAACTCTTAAATATTTCTTTTGTTCGTCTCCATATAAGTTTAAGTAGCAGTTGTTGTCTAATGGAACTTTAACTTGTGTACCATCATTCTTTTTATAGCTTACATACATTTCATTGTTATTTTTCGGAATGAGTTTATACGTGTACCATTTTCTAAGGAATGTACCAACTGCCATCTAAAATATTTATTTTCTTCATTGACAGAAAAGTCACCAACAATAGTTTCAATATTTTTTGTTCCTATCAAACTTTGGTATATTTCATTGACATATGTTTTATCTGCTTTATTTTCAAGGCTAACGTTTAAGTCTGTTATTTCAGAAGATGTATGTGTATGTCCAACGTCACTTTTCCTGTTTAAGGTTTCTTGTAAGTTTGTAATATCAGATATAGAATGTGTATGTCCAACGTCACTTTTCCTGTTTAAGGTTTCTTGTAAGTTTGTAATATTTGCAATGGTATGTGTATGAGTCTTATCTGCTTTTGTCTCTAATGTTTCCTTAAGACTTGGTATTTGGTTAATATAATGTATATGAGTCTTTTTAGAATATTCGTTTTCAGCTCTTGTCACTTCACTTGACATTTATTGTCAACATATGTTTTGTCTGCTAGTTCAGGATGAGTATGTTCTTTTGTTGCATAAGCATTGTTAGCTCTTTCTTCTTCTTTTGCTATTGCATCGTCTACATATTCTTTGTCAGCTTTGTTGTCAACATCTGCTTTCAAAAGAAGTTCATTTATAGGTTTCTCGTTTAAAGTTCCTTTTGTTGGATTTATACAGACAGTATGGTTCTTATTGTCTTGAAACAGAAACTCATCTGTCATAGGGTTTATTGTCAGTTTTAAGTTTCCTTCTTTCAATGACTCAGATATCTTAGAATAGTTTGAAAAGTTTGTTGTGTTCTTATTTAGAGCTTGCATAATGAGTTGTCGGTTGTGTTGTATTTCTCTCATAGACGCTGTTTCATTTGACATTTTTATTATAGATAAAATATGCTTCCAATAGAAAAAGAAAATTCTAGAGTTGCTACAACTAAACCATTAGATGAACTTTTTACTAATGTCGGTCAAAAGTTTGAGACAGATACCGTAAAGCATGAAGGCTATCGTTTTGACTACCCATTAAGATGGTTAAGAGACCCATCCGTCACAAAAGCTATTGGCTTTCGTAGAATGAAGTTCATTTCAGAAGCCATACATGGTTTCCCATTTACGGTCGGTTTTGAAGTTCGATACTATAACAAAGAAAAACGTATGTATGAGAAATTTGAACAGGGAAAACTTTTACAAGTTAGTTTGCTTATAAACTTAGAAACAACTCTTCAAGCTTTTCAAGAAAAAATAAACGATATCTATATTGAATATGCAAACCAGTATAACATTGACGAAGGAGAATACCATCTCGATATTATTTATGACAGGAAAAATGCAACTGTTAAAATCAATAAAATAGAAGACCTTGGAGAAAACGTTTATATTTCTACAAAATATAACAACTTGGCATGGTATAGATTTATGAGGATGTTAAATCAGCCCAGCATATCCAGTACACCCGGACTATTATGAAGTCGAAAACCCTAATGGAACATATGAAAATATTTTCGACTCAGATGCTATTATTGTTCATGCTTCATTTTCTGGCGCCCAAAACTCTTTCTTATGCTTGGCAAATGACTTTTACGAAAAACCTACAAAGTTATACGAACCACCAAGTGGAAGTATTTCAGACTTTCAAGTATGGTTTACTACAGATGGAAGAAAAAGAATAATTCCATTATACCATGCGTTTTACTTAGAACTTAGTTTCATATACAACTACTATCGAACGGTAAAATATAATTTTTTAATACGGTTGAGGTGTTGGATTTGGTTGCCAACTAGACTGTGTGCAGGTTCAGGCTGTTGTATTACAGGAGCTTGTTCTTCTGGTTCAGGGTCTTTAGGTATAATACCAACAAACTGACCTACTCTTTTACCAATATTTTTGACTCCGTTCCATACTCCTCTTCCGACAGATTTTATTCCATTCCATATACCTCTTCCAACTCTTCTGAAGAAGTTTCCAATACTACTGAAGAAACCCATTTTACTATATGTAAAAATCTAATGTCCGCCTAGTCTCTTACGTTTCCTGTTGAGTTCCATAGCATTCTTTAACTGGAGCTCATACATTCTGTTTCTCCTCTGGTAAAAACATATTCTGGGTCAACTCCTGTGTTCGCGTCATCTGCATAAAGTTGTTTATATTCCACTTCAGGGTTTGTATAAAACTCTTTCCATCTCATATTTGCATACCATGGTGGCAAACCTAACGCAGCGTCATTTGACATGGCAGTTTGCATTTGTACATCTGTTGGCACTTGACCATAGTTTGCCATTGCAGTTTGTATTCTAACTTCATTTGGAATATTCTCTGGTTTGGTTGTCCAGGTTGCTGTGCATTCGCTAAGTTCTGTGCGTCCATTTAATATTAGATAAAAATATCTCTTCCGAGTACATATGCTGAACATTTGCAGGCATTGGTTCATCTTCATATTCTCTGTACTTTTATGCCACGTCAAATAAATAAATGACACAATGGAAAAAACCTAAAACAAGTAGTCCTATTTCAAACCACATTTACTTACTAATAAAATTTCTTTATTGTGACACTTTCTCCGGTTTATAGGACCTCTCTCATATTCTATCTTGTCATATATAAACTCATAGTCATGTATGTCCTCTAACCATCTCATAACGGTTTCCAAACCACTTTATCGGATGTAAAGTAAAAGCATGGATGGTTATGTATAACGTCTAAAGTTTCTAAAGAGTCTCTCAAAGTCCAGTCTACTTGGTATTGAAAATCCCATGTGTTATAGAACGGCGGGTCCACTATAAAGAAAACATTTTCCTTGTCTTTATATTTTTCATACAACTCTGTCCAATGACATCTCACAAACTCTATACCCTCAATATATTTTTCTATGTCCTCTTTGAAAACATTTGTATAGTTAAGATATAAAACTTTTGACATAAGTGTTTCAATGTCATGAACTCTTATAGCACCACTATATAATAGTCTAGCAGATATACTATCTCAGTCTATATATTCTGCTTTTTTCAAAACCTCTCTCACAATATTTTTCTTATCTAATGGTATACGTTCCATCTTACCTATAGGTATCTTTTCTTTTAACTCTTTCAATATATTGTTTGTGTCTGGAATATGTTTGAGACGGTCCATATAGGTGTCGAAGTCATTGCATATAATCTTTGAGTTTGGGAATATTGTATGACATAAATGGGATATATAGAAACTTCCACCGAACAAATCTACAAATGTTAGACCATTCGGTAGTTTCTTAAGTTCTCTCAATATAATATCTTTACATCTGTTGCATGCTAAGTTCGGTCAACGATAGAAATTGAGTGGAAATTAATCGTCGAGGAAGTACGATTATGTAAAGTAAAAAAATGTTGTGGGATTTTTAATATTATATATTATTTTATAATAAAATTTTTTTGAGTCATTTTAAGAAGCACATATAATTTTTTGAATTTAAAAATTAAAGTAGTGTCAAACGAATTTATCACTTAATTTAATACTCAGATTTCTTAAAATTAATGAAAAAAAGGTTTTCTGAGAACTTTTGAGAATGGTTTTCAAATTCCATTATTGAAAATATATAGGTATTGTATGAAATTCAAACTCTATATTTATTAAAATTCTAAATTTTTAATAAAATAACTTTTCAGAGGAATATGATTTTGAATGGTTGATTAATAAGTATAAAAATGTCTACGATTTTAAGGAGGGAATTGTTCCTTATGAGGTATACATCATAACTATATACCTCATAAGGAACAATTCCCTCTTGATATCCTGGATATTTTTGAATATATTTTTTTAATTAAAGTTCTCAAAAGTATTATCAAAAGTGATTTTTAAAAAATATCTCCAATTAATTAACTAATTAAAAGTATTATATTTTTAAAATTAAATAGTTTTTCAATTTTTTTGAAGGAATTGAGATACTTCCCACGACAATAAAATTGAGAGGTTTACATTATGACTGATCTTAGCATGCAACACATCTACTCTTATTTCCAAAGAACGGTAATGGCGGTTTTGTAAAATTCATTTATATATAATAATAATAATGTTTTTACCCGAAAAGTGACAGAAAAGTGACAAAACATGAAAACATATATAATTTGTGAAAAGTGACATAAAAAGTGACATTTAAAAAGTGACACTATTAATATGATGTAAATAACAACGGTTTTGGTTTTGTCACCGGCTGGTCGGCTGGAGTTCGGTCCTCCTCTTGGGTCTTGGGCAAAATTTCTTATGGGCTAGAGGGCGCAACGCGCCTGGAAGCCCCACCTACCTGACCTCAAAATGTGGTCTATTTTTGAAGAAATATTGCACACGTGGGAAATAGTGTAAAGTATTGAATTCAGAGGAAAATTCCAAAAATACTCATTTTGAAGGAATTTTGGTCATAAAACATGTATTTATTATAGACATAAATTACTTGGCTTGATGTATACGTTCTAAATCTTTACTTAAATCACATATATCATCTACATTTGATAATTTCATAATTTGATTTCTCTTCAAATCTACTTTCAGATTGAACTTTCAGGAATGTTACATTAACATGAATATAATTATCAGAAAATATATAATCATATTCTGCTCACTGAAGTATTGCCCATGGGCAATAAAATTTGGGCAATTGGACGTTATTAAGAATTGCCCACCTGCAATAATCAGTAAAACTTCAGAATTGTGTTAATCTCCTGTATAAGATCAATAGCCATCGATAATATTATTCATGAACTCTGTAATTTGATTTAGATGTTCGCATAGATAGCATACTTTGGTAGATATGTCAGACACAATGCCAATAAACATATTTGTAAGGGTTATTTTAAAGGCAAACGAGGATTTTCTCAAAATTTATTTATTATTTCAAAATGTATCATAATTTTTACTAATTTTGTATAGTGCAAGATCAATTTTGTTGATTTTGAGAACATTTAGCTACAATAATCATCCTCAATATTATGAATTCTTTCATGAGAATTTAAATAATTCTATATCCATCCTTTTTAAAGTGCAAGTAGAGTTTATTGTAAATAGGTAAATTTGATTTCCAATAAACTTTATATATAAAAGAGAATGCAAAAAAATTGCAATTTTTTTTATAAACAAAAAGAATATATGAGCTTTATAATATGCTTATTTTAGTTTTTGATTGACTGCGAAATTTGAGCCTAGAAGGCTCAAATTTCGCGGAAAATTTTCCAAAAGTATTGCCCAAACCGACATGCTTAAGTATTTTTCTTCCAGTGAATTTAAGGGCTTGTTCATATGATAAAACGCAAATATGTCTTTTAAAAAAAATAATGTCCGACCAAGACGTTAATCCAAACCAATACAGCAAATTGCGAAGTATCTACAAATACTATATCGATTCATATCATGCATTGTATCAGTTGAAATCGGAAACAGAAGAAGAATTAAAGTCAATTTACAAAATGATCAAAACTGAATTGATTGATTCAAAGAAATTTCTTCCAGCAAATGTAATAAAAGACATTTTAAATATCATTCCGTATAATAATCGCTATGTCATGTCATATTTATTTCTTGGCAAACTCATATATGATGAATATCGTGTGGAAGAATTAAACAATGACGAAATTTTTTCAATCTCTCTGTTTCATAAAGAATATGGAATTAAATTAGACAAATCTGCCGATTTTGAAGAATACAATTCAGAAAATCTCGGTATTCATACAGGAAATACAATTTACAGAGCAATTATGAATAATGACTTAGAAAAATTCATACAATTCACTGAAAGAGATGAATTTGATAAAGGTCAAATACTTGAAAACTATTTGTATCCAATTTCTAAGAACGGATATTCATTACTTGAATTATGTTGTTACCATGGAGCAGTTGATTGTTTCAAGTTATTAAGAACGAAATTCAGCTCAAAAATAACTCAAAAATGTCTAAAATTTTCATTTTTAGGAGGAAACAAAGAAATTATGAGTGAATGCTTGAAATATCAAAAACCAGAAGAAAAATGCAATAAATATGCAATTATTTCACACAACATTGATTTTGTTACATTCTTGATGAATGAATACAATATAGAGATTGATTTAGAATATTGTGGACTATACAATAATCTTGAATCCTTTTTAGTTTATTTCGATCAAACTAATGATATTAACAAATGCTTTATTTATTGTTCACTTTTTAATATTCCATCCCTTTTGGAATACTTCCTTTCACTTGGTGCGAATATCAATGGAAAAGATGAAGTTGGGAGAACAGCACTTCATATTGCTGCAAGAAAAAATAGTCAAGAGGCTGCTGAATTTCTTATTTCGCATGGTGCGAATGTCAATGGAAAAGATGATGAGGGGAAAACCGCACTTCATACTGCAGCATTGGAAAATAGTACAGAAACTGCCGAGATTCTTATTTCACATGGTGCGAATATTAATGAAAAAAATGAGGGTGGAAGAACAGCACTTCATATTGCAGCGTTGATGAACCATAGAAGAATTGCTGAAGTTCTTATTTCACATGGTGCGAATATTAATGAAAAAGAAAATCATGGAAAGACTGCATTTCACATTGCTGCATGGAATAATAGTAAAGAAACTGCTGAAATTCTTATTTCACATAGTGCAAATGTCAATGAAAAAGATGAGGATGGAAAAACAGCACTTGATATCGCAACAATCGAAAATAACAAAGAAATGGTTGATCTTCTTATTTCGCATGGTGCGAATATCAATGAAAAAACTGAAAATGGAATAACAGCACTTTATATCGCAACAATCGAAAATAATAAAGAAATGGTTGAACTTCTTATTTCACATGGTGCGAAAAGATGATGTTCTTACATAAGATATTATTCTTTATTATTCATAGTAATAGTTTGCTTCTGAAATGATTAAAATCATGAATTCCATTTACAGAAGATGATATTGATATTTCTCTTTTAGTGAATAATCATTGGGCACTTCACATATTGCCAGAAGTCGTCGAATAAAAAATTTGAAATATTAAGTTACAAACTCAAATTTTGGGCTTATTTTTCGTAATCGCAAAACAGAATACTTAAAAAAACTTTAAACTTCGTAAAACCTCAATTTGAATAACGCAGATCTTAAGAATCCATTCCTTATTATCATTTGGATATATTTTAGCATGTCAATATAATAAACGTATCAAAGGGTATTCGAATAAATGTTTTGTAATAGTTATTTATTATGATAACAAACAATAACAGTGTGATAAGATTTCAAATTTTTCATCAATGTGTTTTAGTGGCACAGATAGATTTGACGAAAAAAAAAATCAAATCATATTGAATTTGCTCTTCAAAACAAATTCATACTTATATGAACGAGTCCCTCTTGAAACAGTTTTCGATACGCTGTAATACGAAGCGCATCAAATCAATAAGATCTACTCAAATTTTGTTTTGGAGAAAATAAATGTCACCTTTTTCCCAATCAGATGACTTCAACTCCAGTAGATATTAGATTATTAAAGGCAGAAATCGAAAACTGCGTAGCCAATAAGAAGATTTCTGAACTAATTAATAATGTAGTTATTCTACTCGAGCAAGATTCAACATATGAAGGAGAACAGAAAGATTTTGCATTCGTGTATGAATCTTTAACTGTAATCATGGATTATTTTGAAGAAAACCCTGATGCCAATTTATACGACAAGTTTTATCAACTATTTTTCACAATAATTCGAAAATCTGAAAAAATCAAAGGAATTCCCAATCCATTTCTCTTCTGTTTTAGCAAGATTGTTGAACGTGAAGACAGTTTACAGAAGTTTGCAAAGGAATTTGAAGGAGATGTTTTTCCAATCGATTTTATTTGGCTTTTACTTAGAAAAATCAATCCGAAAAACCTTCACGATTGGTTTAAAGTTCTCAGTGTTCATTTTGACAGGTATCCAGCCTTAATTGAAAATACAGAATTAGTTGCTTTTTATTTAGAACATGATTCAAACGACAAACTTAAAGAAATCTACAAAGTAATTCTCGCACCACTTATACTTGTCAATATTAACCCTTCGCAATCAAAAGAAGGACCTTTTTCGTATGTTTTTGAAAAAAAAGTTTCGGAACTCATTCAAATGTTAAAACAGCCAATAAACGAATCATACCTTAAGAAATTTATACCAACAGTTATCATAAATTCACTTTACGGAAAGAATCCATCAATGGAAGAAATTTATTCGACGGCAGACATCATAAGTCAGCTTATTACACCTCAAAACCAAGATACCATCTGTAGCTTGATAAATTACTGCCCTCACGAGCTCGTAAAAGACCAAGTTTTGACATATATTTCATTTAACACTAAAAACACGAAAATATTAGAAAAGGTTTCACACAAATACCTCTGCAGGTTCTTTGCTCAAGTTGGTATCAAATTTATCGGCAAATTCCTCAATCTTTCCGATGATTATATTTCGAAAATTGTAGAAACGGCATCTGTCAGCGAAAACCGAAACAAACGAATGAAATACACAGACTTTTCATCCCTGTTCAGGTCTAAGGTCGATATTCTCTTCACAGACCCAGTTGCGTTCGATTGTTTTCTGAATGACCAGACAGATGACAATTTTTGCAAATTCCACCCGTCATCATGCGATCTACAGACTGCTGAAGCATATATCAATGGAATTATTGAGCTTTTCCCAGAAACTTCCGTTTTATCTTATTTTCTCAAGACTTTGGCCAAAACTCAGTATTATTTGAAGCAGTCCTTTGAATTTCCGGACAATTACATCTGGAATAACTTCTTTGAAAAAGCTTTTTCAATGGCTTTGTCTGATATTTCGTCAACAACACTAGAAGTCATCAGAATAATTGTTTTATGCAGCACAATAACTGAAACAAAGAAGGAACAACTCAAAAGATACATCAATTTCCTTAGCGGAGCCCTTCTTTCCAACGATGATCAAAATTTGATTTCTGAAGCCCTCAAAGCGGTCCAACATGCCTTTTCTCATATTGTTCCGGACTCATTCTCACTCATTCCGAGTGTTGTGATCGCTCTACAGCACCAGAAATTAAATAAGATATCGATATCTCAAATTTTATCAATAATTACCATTCTTGTGTCATGTCCTGATAAATGTAATAACATGGATGTCTCATCTACCGAGGAATTCTCTAAAGTTTGTGATATTAAATCAAATAATTACTTTATGGAGTACGAATCATTGATACAAGCGGATGATTTGCACGAAAGAATCATCACCATCCTCCTAGAACTCATAAATCAGTACTGCCATGAGAATAATGTTGATAATGTAACTTTGGGAATTTTATATTCGTTAATTTGGACATTTTCTGACCATATGAATGATAACATCAAAGAGATGATCATGAATATTGCCAGATCTATCTTCGATCGCGATGTTACAGTGCTAAATCATACAATTCGTCAAATAGGATATTTCCAAGACGATTATGAAGAGATTTCCAAGGTTTTCCCTGAACTTTATGACCTAATACTTGAGTATCTAACGAAAGCAGTCCTTTCCCCAGACTTAGGAGAACAAATTTCAACATTTTATTTGGAAATTTTCTCCGATATCTGCCTTTCCACCGGTAAAACATCTCATTTGACCAAGATATTTGATGCATTTAGGAATTCCCATAACCATTGCCCTACAATTGATTTAGTTCACGATAGATTTCTAATGAGGACAAATCAGGCCATGTCACCTGTGAATTTACCCCAAAATCGTGACTCATATATGTCAAACAACTGCACACTTGGCTGTGCGACCGCTCAAATGGAAGCAACAGAAATAACTTTTGCTACTTTGGCCGGATGTTACAATTACCACATAACTCCTATCAGAGATGTCACCAGCTTCATCAATGTTGATGAAAACACCCAGTTTCCGGAGATAGAAAAGTCAAATGAAACAGAATTTGACAAAAAATTCGAAAAACTGCTTTCATGTGCCCCCAAAGGCAAAACAATCAGTCCATCTCAGCTTATGGGCAACTTTCCTATCGAAGAAAAGCCCTCAGAAGCCCCTCTTCCGCCTCCATCTCCCAATTCTTCCCAGGAAAGGTTCTCTTTTGATTCGCAAGATGCAAACGAGAACGAGTTCATGAAGAGCATGGCGGCCAACGCGATCCACACCACTCTTCGAGGAGAAATTAAACATGTCAAAATAATTCCAAATACGCAGATCCTTGATTTGAGTGCTAAGACCCTTTTTAGTCTTCCACTAAGGGAATGCTGCAAGATCGGCATCATTTTCGTGCGCGATGGCCAAAATGATCAAAATGAAATTCTTGCCAACAGTTGGGATTCAACTGCCGGCTCCCATTTCAGGAGTTTCATTCTTAGTATCGGCAGAATTGTCGATATTGGCACCCACAAGTTCTATTGTGGAAAACTTGACACATTAAACTTTTCAAATGGCCGATATCACGTTTACTTCGATAGCGAGAGATACGAAGTCATGTTCCACACAGCTCCTCTTCTTCCTAACGACGAAGGCGACAAACAACAGATCTACAAGAAGAGACACATTGGAAATGACAATGTTCACATTGTTTGGTCGCATCACAGCCAAGATTACAACATGCAGACAATTACATCACAGTTCAATGATGCTTTGGTCATTGTGTATCCTGTACTTGGCGATGACAAGATATTTAGAGTTTCTGTGCTGCAGAAAGACGAAACTCAAATGTTTGGTCCATTGCATGATGAAACAATCATTTGCGCAAAAGCTCTCCCGAGATTGGTAAGATGGACAGCAATTTTCGCTGATAGAGTGGCAAGAATGATGACTGACGTCAAACTTCCGTGCGAACTATTTATGGAAGGATTGAAGACGTTTACTGGTGTTTAAAAATTATACCCTATATTTCCAACTCTTGGAAAATTTTCATGACCCCCTACCCAGGGTCCTAAAATGGGTATTTTCCTCACACAGACACCGTGGTTTTTTGAGCTGGGAAATAAATAGCGCAGACAGTTTCTACATATAGAGACATGCTTATACTTAGAGTTTGACGGGAATCTAAAGTGATTTTTTTCTGCATCGCGAAATCTAATGCAATCTCAAAATCATGAAGAAACTGCGAATCGGAGCGCAATTTTTTAATATGTTAATATATAAAGGTACCCCTACTACTGCAAATGCTTCAAATGAAAATCTAAGAAATCAGATTAATTTGATCACATTAGTATAGTATTGGTCAAACCAAAAACTCATATGTTGATATATAGCCTATGGATATTCATATTATCTACTTTTCATTGAATTACATAAGATTTAATAATCTCATAAATATTCTTTTTAATTTTCCGAATTCCGTGTGCATTTAGATTGCCCATACCTGTATATAATAATTCTAGAATGGTTTGGTTAGATATTAAGTTTTTTAGATTAATATTTTAACATTTTGATAAAACAAGCATTTGTTCCATTTTAGAATCGCCATTGAACTCTGGTTTGACTAACATGATGTTGTATGATCAAATAAATTCTAACTTCATGAGATAAATTTTGAAATTAGAAAATGCGATATCTGACTCAAATATTTATATGAACACATTTAACATTCAATGATAAACTAAAGTACTATACAGCAGATTCGATTTGGCTTATATTTTATATAATCAACTAATAATCCTATAAAATTGTGCTATTCACGTTGCTCAAAGATGTATTGAACATTCACTACTTGTGTATTGATAAAATTAGATATAGATTCTAATGTAAATCGATATTTTGAAAATTCATATATATTTTGTCTTGGTTTGGCATTTGATCGTGTTGAAACCGGAATTGCAATATATATCATCTAAATATATAACTATCAAAATATGAGCTATAGATTTTTAAATTATTCTCCTGAATATGAGTGACTAACATAATTATATTGAATTGAGTAGTAAGAATCTTAAATATTAGAATCTGACGATAATTTATTATAACTGTATAAAGGAACAAGACTATAAATGATGATGAAAATAAAGATTAAATTTAAATCTGAAAATTTGAAAACATTAAGTGTATTGTGCACTCTTGTCGGTTACAGTGTCTCATTCCGGGAGACATTGTCACTGCATGTCTCCCAGAATGATATCAAGTTCCCCATTCATAACTTGAATGCGGAACTTTGACCGACAAGAGTGTATTGTGCACTCTTGTCGGTTGAAAGTTCTGCAATCAGAAGAAGATTGTTGAACAATCCGCCATTCCAGGAGGCATGAGCTTGTTATCTCTCCTGAAATGGCACATATTTGATAATTCATGGAGCAGAACTTTGCACGCAATCAGACAAAAGATTGCGACAGAGTAACTGGGAAGACAGCAACTTGAAGCGATAAGCTGCTTGGGTGCTGTCTCCCAGATGCATCTGTCGGGCAAAGTCTCAAAGGAGCAGAACTTTGCACGCAATCAGACAAAAGATTGCGACAGAGTAACTGGGAAGACAGCAACTTGAAGCGAAGTTTTGTTTTCGAGTCTTTGGTTAAGAAATCTTAACAAAAAAACAAAGAAAAAAATCAGATAAAGTTGTCAATAACTTCATCAGTTAATGCTCACCTATGGGAGGTGTTTTGCGGGAGCTGGGGGTATCTTGGTGAGTACTCAGGAGGCCAAGAAGGGCACCCCAACCGACATTATCCTGATGAATTCAGTTGTCAACCATTCTGAAAACCGCCGAAACCGTCGTGTGTAGAGAAATTGTTTAAATTTATTTTTTTCAGATTTAAATAAAAATAAGAAATGTTTACTATTATGGATTTTGAAATTTTTTTAAATTAAGAGTAGGAGATGAGACAAATTTAAATTTTTAAGAAATATTTGGAAGGGCGTAAGATACGCCAACTTAAATATATTATCAAATGAGAAAATCACTCAACAAAAAAACAATTCTTTCAAAAAGTTTGACATTGATCTTTCTAATACATATTTTTGGAAGGGCGTAAGATACGCCAACTTAAATATATTATTAAATATGAGAAAATCACTCAACAAAAAAACAATTCTTTCAAAAAGTTTGACATTGATCTTTCTAATACATATTTTTGGAAGGGCGTAAGATACGCCAACTTAAATATATTATTAAATATGAGAAAATCACTCAACAAAAAAACAATTCTTTCAAAAAGTTTGACATTGATCTTTCTAATACATATTTTTGGAAGGGCGTAAGATACGCCAACTTAAATATATTATTAAATATGAGAAAATCACTCAACAAAAAAACAATTCTTTCAAAAAGTTTGACATTGATCTTTCTAATACATATCCTATGGAAGGAGTTTACATTCTCAAAATAAAAACCAGTTCAAAATCTTATTATTCCTTGAATAAAAATCATTTAATTTCAAATCCATTCCAAATCCTTAAATCTGTATTAAAATCATTCTGCCAACAACCAATACAATACAAATTACATTTCCATATATCTTCTTGTCCATTTTAATTTTTTATCTCATTTTATTTAATTTTATTTAAAGCATATAGACATCGAGATCCTTTACACATAGTTATATAAAAGTCAAATACATAATAAATTCTTAATTCTAGAGATATCTCAAAATCTCGTTTTTTTAATTTAAAATACCTTTCATTTTTCACAGTACTATCACAACAAACAAGCCATTTACTAATTAACACATATAAGAAAAATATCAAATTACAAAACAACTTTCAATATCATTCGCATCAAATTCTATTTTTTCATAATTATCAACTACATGTTATTATATAATATATGTCGGCGCATATTCCACTCTATACAAGTGTCAGACACACTCACACAAAGCTGTGAGATTCATACCTCTATCAGTAGGACTTCTCAAATCAAGAACACATATGTTTCACTATCGCACATCTGTGTAGGATCTAATTAACCCTTTGGACTGGTACTTCAAAATTTGATAATTTGATAATTTCATGTGATATCATCATTTGCCTTTAAAACAACTGTGCGTTAAACTAGACACGTTTCTCTATCATAATGCAAAATATCAAAGTTTGGGAGATTCCCAAAGTGTCTGAAACTGATCATAAGGGTGAAAAACTGTTTTCCAGAAGTTGGGAACGTAGGGTATATTTATTTTTTTGTTTCTTTATATATAAACCAATTTTCCTACGTAAAGTCTCCTTTTCGTTTTTCTGCCTCAAAACTGAGTGAATCTTTAGAAAAAATTTTTGCTGGTCTACCTTTCTTTACGATGGAAATTGAGTTTAATAAAAACAAGATAATATGAAATTAAAAAAAATGGTGTATTATTATTTGTGTCTGGTGGTTTTTGAATTTTTTATCAGATAAAGAGTCACTCCATATATAATGCGTGATTGCACACTATATGCATAGATGGCGTTGATGTTCTCTCCTTTATTTAGGTACCAAAACATGCTTGTAAAATCTCTTTTTTAGACAACAATGATAATTTTTTCACTTTTCCAGACGAAAATAAAATATCCTCAAAAAAAATCAACGTTGTTATTTTTTGCAAAAAATTGAATGAAATGTCAAAAGAATTTTGTTTTTGAAGTTGTTGATGGCATAGTTCGAGGTGCTATGTTTAGATAAACATTTCTTGGCGCTTGCTACAAACGAGGAATCGCTGGTGGCGCAACAAACCATCCAGATGATATTCATCGCTTAGATTTATCAATGGCTGGTGATGCTTCCAAAATAGCATCAGATGATAAGTTAAATTCTAATCTTGCTCGTGTTGAAAAACTTGAAATTATCGAAGATGGTTTACTTCCTTATGAAAACGAAGCAAATACTAAGTCAGTCAAATGCGATAATGAAATACCAGGAATTAACTTTTATCTATAATATTTTTTGTTCTTGTCGAATAAATTATTCCTCTGTATTTGTTTTGAATAAAAAAATTATAAAAATCTAATGCAAAGGAGCAATAATTTCACATTAAAAGTGCAGACATTATAGTAATTCATTAAATACTGGAAATTTTCTATAAAACTATTTATTGAATAAATATCCCTATGATTATTGATTAAAGAATCAGTTTTTTGTTTTTAGTAACTGAGTTGATTATTGTGGATATTGGCCTTGTAATAATTGTCCTTGAGGAATATATTGATCTTCTGGAGGGTACTGTCCTTGAGGAGGGTATTGTCCTTGAAATGGAACTGTACAAAGTTTAAGACATTTATCAAATTCTTCTGGATGGTAAAGGGTAAGACACTGAAGAAATTCAATAGCTGTTTTGCCTCTTCGGATATGATCAGGAACAATATTACGTCCTTTCCGTCGATATACCTGAGCTACGTACTCACCTGGTTTAGCATCCGGTGGGAATGATAGTGGTACACAGAGTGGAGTATTGTATTGAAATGAACATTTTGGTGTGGAATTCTCACAATATGTCCAATCTGCAGGAACTGTACAAAGCTTTAAACTCTCTTCAAATTCTTTTTGGTTACGTGACTGAGTTTTGAGATGATCATATCCAGCATCACCTCGAAGTAATTCGACACGTCCTACTCCATACATATTTTCGTAGAAAACTTGAACGATGAGTTCTCCTGGAGTAGCATCTGGTGGGAATGGATATGGTACAGATAATGGAAGTGGTTTAGCTGGAGGTTTGCGTGTCCAATCTGCAGGACCATCAAATGGCGTGAATGGTTCATGGGTTTCAGGGGCAATGTGCATGACAAAGTGAGCTTCGCCAACTTTTTTGCCTGATTTAGATGGTGTCAGTGGATACCATTCATCCACAACTTTTCCAATTGGTATTGACTCGAGATTAAGTTTAATGTATCCGAAATTATCATTCTTTTTGAATGTATCATAATCTGTAAAACGAAATTCAATGGTACTCCCAGGATGGTAGAGGGGGATGGAAAATGTTTCATCCCATTTTGGATTGTACGTTTTTTTTGATAACTTTTGTCGCTTTAACATACTTATCATCGAGGAATATCTCAATAAATGGATCGCATTTCCCAAATAAGTCTTCTTTAGGCATGTCTTTTGCTTCTATAACGCGAAGATTCAGATTCATATAGAAAAATGAGATGAAATAAACAAATAACGGGATTGATAGATTTACAAAATATAATTCTCAGAAAATGTCAAATAATTATATACTCAACTACTAGAATTATCATAACATGAAAAAAAAATTGAAAAAATTTGACATTGAAATTTTCATACGGCAATCTAATGGATAAGTCGGATATTTAGAACACCCATCCACAACAATGGATTTTAAAAGATGTGAACATAGCATCACATTGCTTCTGGTAAAGCTCATATCTATAAAATCATTTAATTTAATGAAGCATATAAACATTTCATAGATTTTCAGTAATTATTCTGTGGTGTTGATGATGTGTAAAAACTGATTGCATTCATATGCCCACAAGTGATTAATTATTTCAGAAAATCAATGCTATTGAATGTTTGTCAAAATATCAAAAATGTCACTTTTGCAACAATATCCCCATTGAAAATTTCGAAAAAAAAAGTATCAAAAATAAAAATTCCTTCAAATGTCAAAAGATGATACTGATGAATTATTATTGACATTAGAAGGGAATGAATTAGCAATGATTAATGCTTTATATGGTGATGATTTTGCATTTATTATTGGAAAAAATGAATTTCGATGCAATAAAATGTTAGCAAGTGCATTTTGCTCAGATATATATGCCGCATTAAAGATTGATCCTATGCTCGATTCTTTTACTCTTGATTTAGAAATCGAACCAGAAATAATTCAGAAATTTGTAAATTCATTTAAAGGAGAATGTGTTTCATTCAAAGAAAACGAATTATACGACTTAATTACATTAGCTTGCAAGCTGAATTCTGATAAAATTTCTCAGTTTGCTGTTAAAAAATTATTAGATAGAGTCAATCCATCAAATGCATTTAAAATAATACAGATTTGCATTCAAAATAAGATAAATTACGAATATGCGAAAGATTATTTAATCAAAAACTTTACCCAGGTTATTTCTAGCTCAAATAAAAATTTTCCAGAATTAAGTCCATCATTCTATCAAGAAGTTATCAATAATCCTAATTTAGAGTTCGAGCCTGGCTCCATTGGAATACTACTTGATACACTTTATTCAAAATATCCAAAAGTTTATGATAATTTCATAAACAATCTTCAATTCACAGAAAAACAGTTTGCCAGATTGATAGAATTCTGTACTGATACTAATCTTCGATTACAACTTACAATTAAATCAATGAATTTAATTTCAAAATTAATCAACAGCGTTTCTAAGTTTGATGAAATGAATTTGATACTTCCTGATAACCAAGGCGATTTGGATGGTATTTTCAGTTATTTGACTGAATTAACAGGAGGAAATCCTGCATCAAACGGAACTGTTTCGATTTTTGTAGATTCGGAGCAGAAATTTGTTCACGATCTTATAGATTTTAAAGATGGACTTCGGAGACACTACAAAAACGATAATACTGATGAATCAAATTCTATTATATTTGATTTCAGGAATATGAGGATCAAATTGATGTATTATACAATTGTTAGTTGCTATTGTCCAACATTTGGTTGCGATCCTAAAGATTGGGATATTTATATTTCTGACGACGACAAAGATTGGGATCTTGTACATTCTGTGAGAAATGATGACTCTTTGTGTGGTAGATTCGTAGCAAATACATTTGAAATTCCAAGTAATACGAGATTTTGCAAATATGTGAAATACGTTCAATTGGCAAACCATACTCATAACAAACTTCCAATTATACATCTAAGTTGCTTTGAATTATTTGGTTATATTCGTGGTTTGAATCAGTTGATTTTGATAAATTCAAAGATTGATTCAATTGAACAAGAAAACGAATTAAATGATGAACCTGAAATAAATGGTCCCAAAAATGTTTGAATAAATCTTTTTGTTATTTAAATTATAAGGTCAACTTAAAATTAATGCAGCACAATTTTCTGGGTCCCAGAAATTTGACACATTCTGGCGTTTTGTTTCAATTTTTGAAGTGTTTGTTTGATTTTGATAAAAGAACGATAAAAACTTCTTTTGTAAATAGGCATTATTTTAAATATAAGTATTTCTATGGAAACTATTTTTAAAAAAAATACCAAGGTCCCTCATGAAGATGTCGGAACCAAAAAAAAATTATGCATATATCGCTATATAAAATCGCATAATTGTGTGAATTGAAAGATTTACACGCTAAAATATGATTTCGAGTTTCTCTGTCTCTTAAGTCTCCATGCGCATATATTTTGTATGGAGGGGGGCACAAACTTGCCCAGTGAGGTGAAGTGAAAAGTGACAGGTTTACATGTCAGAAATGTAAAGCGTCAGATTTGAAACAAAAAATGGATTAATTTATTATTATATGATAGAGAGATTTGGTAAGTTACTATCAAATTTGTAAGTAAGGGGGAAAAAAGTAAGAAAGAAAAAAAATTTAAAAAAATAAAAAGCCACTCGCTTCGCTCGCGGTTGACAAAAAGAACAAATTCGAAAAATAATTGTATGAAATTACGAAACTAAGTCCCTCGCTTCGCTCGCGGCTGACGAAAAGAACAGATTTGAAAAAAGATTGTACGAAACTACGAAACTAAGCCGCGAGCGAAGCGAGCGGCTTAAGTAAACAACATATTTCAGATTATCGATACTAAAAATTTTTTTATTTTATTACTTTTTTTTTGCATTTTTTTAAAGGGTGCACACGAGAGGATCATGTAAACTTCAGAATTTAGAACCTTATTTTTAGGCATTATCTTGGCTACCTATTTAGGCTCGAAAAGAAAAAAATTTCAAAAAATACAACTTGACTCCATTATGCCCCTTTCATGGAGGTAGTTTTTATCCGCTAGTATTTTCCCTTTGAATCTCTTTACAATTCTAAATCAAATTCAAAACTCAGTAGAAGAAAGGAAGAATCGACTTACTACGGTTGTAATACGAATAAATACATATATTTAATTATTTTTATTTACATAATAATTGTTTGAAGCTCATATTCCAACAAATTTTTAAATAAAAACATTAAAATGTTGAAAATGTTCATATATTTTAATAGGGTTTTGGCACTTTATTGAGGAATTACTACATACATAGTCGAACTGAACTTGATATTTTGAAATTTAAATTATTTATCAAAATTAAAATTTAACTTGAAATTTATAATTATTTAGTCATATTTTGCATAATTCTAAGTAGATTTTGTAAAAAATCAAGAAAGAAAAATTTTAACGTGCTTTATTTTTTCTTTTTATAATAATACATATTATTATATAATTAACATATTCATAATGTTTCACCCTTTCAAAAATATCCTCCTCCTCCTCTCAAATAAACGTACATACGGGTGGCCTCTTTTTTCAAAAAATTAAAATTTGAAATTTTGGGCTCAAATATTAGAGATTTTTTCAACCTTCAACGATATATGTTGTCTATATCAGACCTCCTTTCTTTTGATACTTAACATTGTTCCTAAATCTTAGCCGTTAAGGCTGTTCTGAAAATATTTTTTTTTCGAAAAAATTCGAAAAAAATTCTTAAAATTCAAAAATCCCTTAATTCCTGAGGATTTTGGAAAAGGTTTTTACATGAACATGTGTATATTATATGAAGTATATTGATAAGGTAAAAATCAAATTTTATTGCATATTCATCGAGAAAATAAACTAACGAATCCCTCAAAATTGAGAGGGTAATCCTCCTCCTCTCAAATAAACGTACATATGGGTGCACCCTTAAGAAGCTAAATTCTGAAGTTTACATGATCCTCTCGTGTGCACCCTTAAAAAATGCAAAAAAATTGAATACTTTACTGGCTGGGCAAATTTGTCGCCGCCCCTTTTGTATGCTCTATAATTTACTGAATTTTCTTTCTCAAAAGGATACAGTATTGCATTCATTCTTTGAACATATATTAACTACACGCACAAGTTTGTGTTTCCTCTTACTCCATCTATTGACTTTTGAAAAAAAAAATTATTACCATAAAAACCAGATTTTTTTACCTAGTGGTACGTTTCCCAGCACTTTTCCACCAGAACCAAAAAAAAAAAAAAAAAAAAAAAAAGGTAGTGGGGCTTCCAGGCACTTCGTGCCTTCTAGCCCTGAAGATGTTTAGTATAAATGAAGTTCTTATATACGGGTCTTCCAGGAGCTTTTCACAAATTATATATGTTTTCATGTTTTGTCAAGACTTCTTCGTAAATGTTTTGTCAAGACTTCTTCGTAAATGTTTTGTCAAGATTTCTTCGTAAATGTTTTGTCAAGACTTCTTCGTAAATGTTTTGTCAAGACTTCTTCGTAAATGTTTTGTCAAGACTTCTTCGTAAATGTTTTGTCAAGACTTCTTCGTAAAATCAGACAAAAATAATGTTTAGGGTAGAAGGTTAGATATAACCTCTTTTCTAACCTCTTTTCTACCCTCTTGAATTTGTCAAGATTTCTTCGTAAATGTTTTGTCAAGACTTCTTCGTAAATGTTTTGTCAAGACTTCTTCGTAAAGACTTTGTTGAGATTTCTTCGTAAAATGACCCAAAAATAATGTTTAGGGTAGAAGGTTAGATATAACCTCTTTTCTAACCTCTTTTCTACCCTCTTGAATTTGTCAAGACTTCTTCGTAAATGTTTTGTCAAGACTTCTTCGTAAATGTTTTGTCAAGACTTCTTCGTAAAATCAGACAAAAATAATGTTTAGGGTAGAAGGTTAGATATAACCTCTTTTCTAACCTCTTTTCTACCCTCTTGAATTTGTCAAGACTTCTTCGTAAATGTTTTGTCAAGACTTCTTCGTAAATGTTTTGTTGAGATTTCATCGTAAATGTTTTGTCAAGACTTCTTCGTAAAATCAGACAAAAATAATGTTTAGGGTAGAAGGTTAGATATAACCTCTTTTCTAACCTCTTTTCTACCCTCTTGAATTTTCATGAAATTTACACCAAAAATATACTACTAGGGTCATTTACGAAGAAATCTCAACAAAGTCTTTACGATGAAATCTCAACAAAACATAGACAAGAAAGTTCATGAGAAATTAGATGAAGAAGTCTTAACAAAGTCTTTACGAAGAAATTCATGAAAATTCAAGAGGGTAGAAAAGAGGGTAGAAAAGAGGTTATATCTACCCTTCTACCCTAAAATATATTTTTGGGTCATTTACACTCATTTACGAAGAAATCTCAACAAAGTCTTTACGATGAAATCTCAACAAAACATAGACAAGAAAGTTCATGAGAAATTAGATGAAGAAGTCTTAACAAAGTCTTTACGAAGAAATTCATGAAAATTCAAGAGGGTAGAAAAGAGGGTAGAAAAGAGGTTATATCTACCCTTCTACCCTAAAATATATTTTTGGGTCATTTACACTCATTTACGAAGAAATCTCAACAAAGTCTTTACGAAGAAGTCACAATAAAGAAATTTTATTGGTAAGTAAATGTGGTTTGAAATAGGACTACTTGTTTTAGGTTTTTTCCATTGTGTCATTTATTTATTTGACGTGGCAGAAAAGTACAGAGAATATGAAGATGAACCAATGCCTGCAAATGTTCAGTATATGTACTCGTAAGAGATATTTTTATCTAATATTAAATGGACGCACAGAACTTAGCGAATGCACAGCAACCTGGACAACCAAACCCAGAGAATATTCCAAATGAAGTTAGAATACAAACTGCAATGGCAAACTATGGTCAAGTGCCAACAGATGTACAAATGCAAACTGCCATGTCAAATGACGCTGCGTTAGGTTTGCCACCATGGTATGCAAATATGAGATGGAAAGAGTTTTATACAAACCCTGAAGTGGGATATAAACAACTTTATGCAGATGACGCGAACACAGGAGTTGACCCAGAATATGTTTTCTACCAGAGGAGAAACAGAATGTATGAGCTCCAGTTAAAGAATGCTATGGAACTCAACAGGAAACGTAAGAGACTAGGCGGACATTAGATTTTTACATATAGTAAAATGGGTTTCTTCAGTAAGATAGGAAACTTCTTTCGAAATGTTGGAAGAGGTATATGGAATGGAATAAAATCTGTCGGAAAAGGAATTTGGAACGGAGTCAAAAATATTGGTAAAAGAGTAGGTCAGTTTGTTGGTATTATACCTAAAGACCCTGAACCAGAAGAACAAGCTCCTGTTATACAACAGCCTGAACCTGCACCACAGTCTAGTTGGCAACCAAATCCAACACCTCAACCGTATTAAAAAATTATATTTTTACCGTTCGATAGTAGTTGTATATGAAACTAAGTTCTAAGTAAAACGCATGGTATAATGGAATTATTCTTTTTCTTCCATCTGTAGTAAACCATACTTGAAAGTCTGAAATACTTCCACTTGGTGGTTCGTATAACTTTGTAGGTTTTTCGTAAAAGTCATTTGCCAAGCATAAGAAAGAGTTTTGGGCGCCAGAAAATGAAGCATGAACAATAATAGCATCTTGGTCGAAAACATCTTTAAATAAATATGGTTCATCTCTTGCATATCGACTGTAAAATATTTGCTAAAGGAAGTTCGACTTTCTGATTTAACATTCTTTGCAAATAATACCATGACATTGCAGTGAATTCTGTATATATTTGTTCGTCTTTATTTGGATTGTTTTCGTAGATTTGAAATGACACTTGTGAATTTTGTTTGTCATATACAATTCTCACATAAAGTGTGCTCTCGGTATTTGCATATTCATCAGCATATTTTGCATAACATGAATTTATTTTATCTTCTATATTTTTTAACGCAGTCTGTAGAGAAGATGAAAGGTCAACTTGTATTAGCTCAATTTCTTCCCACATTTTTCGTTTCCCTTCAGATATATAATCTATATGAAACCTTACAATAAATGGAAAACTTTTATCTTCTACAGACACAAATTTTATTCTACGAAA